ATATGTTCGTAAAAATCAATGAGGCGGAGTTCAAAGTTCAGACACCTTGATTGAAAATGCATGTGTGGTAAACTATTGAAAAAAAAAGAAAAAAACAAATTAAAATTTCATTAATATTATGACGAAAGGATAAATTGGTTAAGTAACTTGTCAAAATCAGTTAAACATTGAAACCTGATGGCGTTTCATAATCTTCTCTATACGATTTTAATGAAGGGAATATGTACAAAGTTTAAAACACCTCACCTCACTACTTTGACTGGATCAACCAATAAATCGATAAACTGAGATGCTGTTGATCGAGATATCTAATTAAAAGTATGTTATAGGGTTTATATTTATGTTTCCACCCTCTTAAATTGATTTTTTTTTTTTTGTTGAACCAACTCTTCAGAAGATCATACACCAACCCTATAGAGACTACACGTTGATGACAATTATTGTGTCATTTATTTTGTTTTCAGTGATTTCAGAACCGGATTCTTCTACAGATATATTTTTTTATGTCTTTTTAGAAAATTTATTAAAACCAAAAAGACATTAATCAGTGTAGTTAAAATACAAAAACATCCTTATTTATTTTCTATATAACTCATCACAAACCAATGAAAATTCATTATAAATATTATTTCATTTCTAAGGCAAGGGTAACATTGGTAAAAAATGGTCAAATATACCTTTTTTTTGAAAACGACATATATTTAAAAAAATTCACCAAATCCTAAAATGACATATATTTCAAAATAGAGGGAGTACCATGTTACCATATTGCAAAAAAGAAAATGATAGGCAGTTAGGCAGTACTAGATACAATAGAACTTGACAAAGAATCAAAAACTGGCTAGAGATTATCTACTCATGCATGACATATCTGACTATCATATTATCATAGCATTATAATAAATTAAAAGTGTTAAAATTATAAAGAAAATGAGAGGAAACATCATTTTCTTTTCGAGATAATGACAATATTACCTTGTCATTGACAATATTACCTTGTCATTCTCTGAAAAAAAATAGAAACTTAAACGAAAACAAAAAAACATAAAATAAATGAAAACCGCGTCGTTTACGTACGTAAATGACAAACAATATACGGAGAGTTTCCGCAGAATAATTAAGAATTGGTCAAAATAACGTCCCAATAATAACCGGACACACACAGTTTCCATCTTGTGTTTAACATAAAACCGTGATTATTTTGTTCCTTTCTTGCCATTTTCAAATTCAATTCTTAGTTCTGCCGGTCAACGAAACATTTTCGGCAACTCATCCCAACATTTCGATTTTTTGGGTGAACATTTTTTTTTTTTTTCCTTAAGGAAGAGATTAATTCCATGGAAATTTGACTCCATATCAACCACATGATTCCCAATATGATTGTCATGTATGTTATGATTCTAAAATACTACATAAATTGGGATGATTATTTTTTGATAGAGAGAGTATTTTTAGTTAGGGAAGTCTTTTCTTCCTTAATGTTGAAATTGAAATGATCCGGGTGAAACTTTTGCTATTTTGGGCCTGTTTGATTGTCTTGAAATATAGGTGGGAATGTAATTTTTTTCCTTTTTTTTTTAAAATTTTCATGTTTGTTTTGTTCAGGAAATTAATCATTTTTCTAATTATTAAATTCTAATGTTTGCATGTTTAATTATAGGAAAGTAAAAAGATTCCCAAACTCAAATAAAATCAAGGATTATAAGTGCAAGATTCTAGGATTATGATTACCCACGTAAAAGCTGTTATTCTTTTTATTTTCTTTTGGATTTTAAATTTTTTTACATTTTTTTTATGTCTAATCTTCTTACCATTTTTTATCATACTAATCATTTATTTTTTGATTTACTCATGTTCTATTTTCAAATTGACACTATTTGATCAGATAAATTAGGCACTATAATTAATTTATATTGTCCAATATAAAATTATCTACAAATTAATTTTGATTTAAAAAATTTATTTTCATTTTTTAATTGTAAAATTACCATAATATTAAAATATCAAAATTCTCAATTTGAAAAAATTAAAAAATAATTTATTTATTAATTAAATTATTTAATTTAAAAGAGCTTACATTGACTTTGAAAATTCTTTAAAAATTAGTCTAATTTAGTTTGCAATATGAATCATACTGATAAGTCTTATTTTCTTGTAATGATATTTCTAATAGTTAGCAGACAAACAATGATCTTTTTATATTATTAATTATTAATTATTAAAATACTTGATTGGCCACATAAAACTAGACTCTTTATCAAAATAACTTTTTTTTGAAAAAAAAAAGAATTATTGATCGTTCATGTATAAATGTTAGATAAATAAATTTATAATTTTTTAACAAAGAAAATCAAGTTTCATTAAATAACTTGTAATATTAAAATGCCTATGGTAAATATATCTAACGTCAAAATTTAAGCCGATCACATTTAATAAAGTTTTAACTTGATTCATCTAGCTAAAAATTATGCAACTTTTGTTAAATTATATAATTATACACCTACATACGAATAGTTTCAAGATTTTGAAATGAAATTCAAAACCGGCATGTTTGAGGTTTATAGGCGATAAAAAAAGATTTAAAAAAAAAATTCACTTTCAAGCTTATTTTCCAAACATGTAAACAAACATAGGAAAGTATTTAGATTCTCCAGAATCATATTCTTAGCAATCATAAAGTAAAGTAAAATATGAATTTTTCCACGTTACCGTTTGCTCAATACATTTTTCCCCCTTTCCTGTGATTTTATTTTTGTGTTATATATTTTCATTTGTCATCTTTAAGTTAAAATCACGAAAGAATCGACACACGAACGATTGAATGTAACACGAATAAGAACTAAGTTGCTACTGGAACACATCCTAGATTGTGTTTTTCAACCGGACAATGTTTTATACTTTGGCTTATTTATTTATTTATTTTTTGGTTTAATTAATTTTCTCATTCTCTGTTACTGTATTTTTAAAAAATACTAATATATGAACGGATTGCAGCAGGAATAATAATCCATTTGAAACGCTCCGAATTTTGAGATAAAGGCCCAAAAACATCGTAAAAAGGACTGTTCAAATCCCATGATCAGTAATTGGACTAGAAAAAGAGCCCAATAGTAAAATCAAGCAAAAAAGAAGCAAATTCTGGATTTCTCTAACTTATTAGAAATTACTTGAACTGTTTAAGATTTGTACATAAATTTGGTTGGCAATAGTTATGTCTCATCAACCAAAATCTCTCGATTTCTTCTGGCTTTCGACCTGGAATCCTCCCAGCTATTAATTCCCACCTGTTAAAATTAATGAATTAAAATTAAATCATGCAACATCCTAAATAATGCAAGAAAAAAAAAAGACTTGTATTGTATCACCAAAAGCACCATATATATTTTCATTATTTACCTTACACATGGCTCATATTAAAAAAATATTGATCAGATGTATAATCCCTCCTACCAAATTTAGGCTATGTGTCTTACTCCCTTTGTCCTAATATTATTGTCCAGTTTGGATTTTTTACTTTTAGTTCAATTTGTACTAAAAAAAATGAAAATCCAAATTGGAAGAGTATATTTTTTCTTTTTCTTTTTTTTTTTAGAAATACCTGTCTCCAACAAGCTTGTGCATTCTGTAAACAAGGTCTTCTTCCTGTTCACTCAATCTAATGAGTTCCCACTCTATGCTGCTCACCTCTGTATCTACAAACTCAATTAAGCAAACATAAGAAGCTATGTATATATATAGCCCGGGTTAATTAATTATGTAAGTGAAGAAACAAATGAATAATTAACACCATATGAAACGCGCAAGAAGGGAAAGGAAAATGCGGGCATTTTGACAAATGCCAATTCCTCCTATCAATTAAGTAATTAACCTTCATTTGAAGAAGACTTGTGGATTTTGCGCTGCTTTATGTGACGTTTTTCCATAATTACTTGCAAACTGGTTGCGCATATAGAAGAACAATATATATCTGGGATGGGAAGTAAAAAAGAAATGCAATACCAAGAAAGTTAAAGCAAGGAGAATAAAGGAAGGGGTGGGAAGGTGGCTGGGCTAGCTATATATAGCAGGGTAAATCCCTCAGCTTTATTGTCTTAGCCTTCTCTTATATAACCATTAAAAATATAAAAGGAAATGAAAACTGTTGTTCGAACTCCAGCACCAAGTTTTCTCACTTTCCTTTATTGCTGAATGCTGCTTACTAAATAAGGGACATACGGTCACTTGTGAGTCTTTCTCGTCCATTTCTATTGACAATGACGACGTTTTGAATCAAATCGTAGTGACATGAATTATTTTATTACACATGCGCGATATTGTTTTGATAATAAATACGTGATTCAAGACTAAAGAGATGTTACATTGGTCATGTGAAATATGTAGCAACTTGCAGTTTCAAACTAGACTGATGGAGTGACGGTCCTTACCAAACATACAATCTTTAGTATAATTGGTTTGACTTATGGTTGTCGTCCAGGTACCTTTCCTAAGTAGTTGGCTCCATTTCAAGGAATATTTATAGATTTTTTTTTTAAAAAAAAAAATTAATTCAGTTCATCATTTCCATTTTAAATCAAATCTAGGATTGGTCTCTCAAGAATGTTAGCTCTTTTGCTGTGTAATTAGGTATGGATTAATCATTAAATACAGTATGTAGACGCTTCAAATCATTCGACTTTTGTAATCTTTCTTTATACTCTTGAAAGGATTAATTTGGATGATTAAAATCTTCTTGTAACCTTAAGTAGCCTTACGGAATACATATACACATGCATTCACCAAAGGCAGAATTTAGGAAAATGTTTTATTTACTAGATAGGGGGGAGTAAGAAGACCAAAACCATGGAGATGTTGGTTGCAATTTGAACGACTCGTAAACTCGTTAGCTGGGAGGGGAAATACTGACTGACGGTTTGGGCGTGTTTGGGAAATAACAACAAATCAAACGAATTTCCCACTACTGCTGAACGTGAAATTACACTGACAATTGACCAGAACTTCATCTGGAGTGGTCCACCATTTCTCAAACTTTCTGCAAATCGACCTGTGATGCATAAGTTGTCTGCAGATCAAACATGAACAGCAGCTCAAATTTTTTACAAAAATAAGGAACAACTGTGCCTACTCTTCCACCAGAATAAGCATATTCGGCCATGAGTGTTAAATTGGCCTAGACATCTTCATGATTCCAACAGGTTTACCTACAAGATGTTAGAACTACCCTACAGAAGCGTTCAGTAGTTAGTAGTTACTAAATGATGGACACAAAGTGTAGCTCTACACAACAGTCGTGATAAGTTAACAAAGATTCTCATCTAAGACACCCTAATGGAATGATCACCAAGGTTGTCCCTTTCCTCCAAGACGCCGTGCCAGCTCCCAATCCTTTTTCACTGCGTGGCAAAAGATAAGCTGTAAAACAAGCAGATTCTTTGTGGAAACGAGAAAATTGGAGATCAATTTTTTTTTTTGGGGGTTTGAGGTTTAAGGACCGTGTAAATTCAGACTACACATGTATTTGAGGATAGTTTTCTCAGGGTAATCATTTTCAGAGTAAACTCTAGAAACAATTCACTCAAATGACATGAATTCAGACCGACAAACTTGCTACTTCACTACATTTCTATACTGTATGAAGATGTGAGAACTACAAGTATCTCAGAAATTTGGAAATGCAGAGCCAGTAAAATCATACTCTCAATTAACCGTTAATCCAATGCATTGTGATGAAAGTAACCATACAAAGAAAAGAACAGCAACAGGACCTAAATGATTGGAACAGCAAATGCACAGGACACATTCTCTTTTTTCTTTCAGAAAGAAACACTTACTAAGTGTCACACGCTTCGCATGAATTGCACAAAGCATTGAATCCTCGAACAGCCGAATTAAATAATCCTCTGCAGCCTACAGAAAGAAAAAGAGTGATTTTGCATCTAACCCTTGTTAGTCATTCATAAATGCTGAAATCGGTTTTTCAATTATAGAACAAAATGAAAACTGTGCTTCTAGTCGCAACAACTTTAGCAACCAAGATGATAGAAAGATGACCAATCTATAAAATGTAAAAACGATCCCATACCTCCTGAAGTGCTGTCAGAGCCTCAGCTTGCCAACGACTCACCTCACTAGAGAACTCGGAACTGATCTCTCTCACCTAGATTATAAGCCACCGTTTAGAGTTATATAACAAATGAACTGAGACTAGAAACACAAATATACCTCTTACCAACGAAGAGAATTCTTTAAAATAGCAGGGAAAATAGAAGCTTGGTAGGCAGAAGTACAGAGGAGGCAGAAGATTGAAAGCACCAGTAATTTGCATGATACATAAAATAAAAGAATTAAAGCCTTCTTTTCTTACATAAGTCCTTGCACTCACCAAACATTAAGCTGTTGGGACTTATGCAGGCATTCTATTGAATCTTTGAAAACCCACAGAAGCAGTTTACTCTACGATGGGATACGAATACGAAATAGAGATACTTTTGTCAATAATGATGTTATTATTATACTAAACTTTTTAAAGGAGAAATCTGCCCAAGAGAACTAGGAAAATGATGAACTCATTCTTTGACAAAATCCTTCTAGTGAACAACTGCTTTGCGATTTCAAAAGTATACATGAGCAAGATAGTGATGTTCCTACACAGAAATTTTGTACAATTCAAGCTTCTCCGAAGTTCACCGGTGAGCTGCTACCTGGAATACCTATCCCACAGGTACCATTAATCACAAGCAGAAATTGCCTAATCAAGTAGTCCAGCTGAATGTAAAATGATCATTCTATTGCTTTAATTTTTGCTTTTCTTTTTAATTAGTCAAATTACGATGTCTTTGCCCTTTTGGATTGAACAAATCTTCAACCAAGTCAAGAACTCCTTCAACTTAAAACTGGCAAGCTCTATTCAACCATTTGGCCTGATTTCCTTAAATCTAAAAATTGGCCAAACACACACATGAAAGCTGAAACCACTCAAATGGACTAAATAAAATGACCAACCATGCCTAAACATCTCAATGCAAGCGTATCACAAGCCAACGAAAAATTCGACTACATCAATGCATATATGCACACAGAACCATTCATTACAGATACAACGGCATAAAAAAATGAACCATGTTTACGGAGGGGGGAGAACATACAAGTCTAATGAAAGGGGCAGCGGGAATGAGGAGCTTCCAAGTCTTCTGCAAATGCCTGATTTCCCTCAAAGCCACAGTTCCGGGCCTGTGCCTGTGCTTCTTTCTCTGAGTTTCTGTTCCTCTCGGACCTTTCATCAAACACAAAAAGCCCCATTTCACTTCCAACCCGCCAAGAAAAAACAATAATTTTTTCAAAAAAAGTAATTTCTCAGTCAGGTCCAACTCTACAATACTCACTTGCAGGTGTAGTCCTCCGACCACGCTGCAAACCCACACACACACACACACAAAAAAAAGAAAAACAAAAAAAAGAGGAAAAACTCTCATCAGTCCCAAAGGAACCACGAAAAAGAAAAAAAAATTACAGAAAAATAATTAATTAGCTTGCAGAAAGAGAAAGATAGAGGAACGTACCGGAGGAGTTGACTCGGCGGCAGCAGAAGCTGTAATTCGAGAGGAGAATTACAATAAAGAGTTAGGGTTTCAGAAAAATCATTAAGAAAGAAAAAAACAGATAAAAGAAGAAAAGTAATTGGTGTTTGATAAAATGACTGACTGGAGGGTTGCGACCGGCTGCGAGTTCGAGAAACCGGGTGTTTGGCTCTCGCCATGGTTTCGGAAGCTCCGATTCGGATTCTCTTCTTTCTGCAAAATGAAAGGATGTCTTCTTTTTTTTTAAATTGGTAAATGAAAGGATGTCAGTTGGAGGAGGACAGTTTTTCAACGGAAAATTTCTTTTTTGGGATTTCGTTTTCCCGCCTTTGGATTTTTCAGAAATTAAAATTGGGATATCAGGGTCAGCCCACCGTTGAGGCCCAATAAAAGAACTACTACGGGCCAGTTTCTGAAATTTGTCATACCCGCCAAAGTGGTGAGGCGGGTGGTTTTGAATTTTGGCGGTCTCAGGAAGAGGACGGCGTCGTTTGCTGTTACTTGGCCTAATTACAGCATTTAATATTTTCATGCAGGTTTAGTAGTTTAAGTAAACGTGGATTAGTACAAATAGGAGTAAGTTGAGTTTCTGGAATCATCTTGTAACAAAATTGATAAGCTTTTCTTTCTCTCTCTTCCTCTGTCGCTCCGGTGTGGCCTATCTCTTTCTCCCTCCGGTCAATTCTTTTACTTTTCCGATGTAATTCCGTTCATTTCCGAACCTGATTAAGTCAGTTCTTGACATTTGGTATTCAGAACTTCAAGTTTCTTGGATCTGTGGATAACCATGGCGCCTACGCGTGCATCAGCTCAGTTGCCTAAAAGTGTAGATCAGTTCGCGAGTTTCAAAGCGGAGATCTTGGCACAAATTGTAGCAGTGTTAGATCGAACCGAGACGGTTGCAAGGCAGTCAGAGGCGGTTCTGCATCGTACTGAAGATGTCGTAAAGCAGTCGGAGGCGAATTTCGCAAAGCTGAATGAAGAGCTGCTGACTCGCATGCTGGAGGTATTCAAGGAAAAATTCGAGTCAATTAAAGCAAAATTTGCAAAAATCGACCTCGATCGTTGTGCTGATAAAGGATCTCTGAGCTGTTTGGGTAAAGTTCCCGTTTCTCCTTCTATTACCTCTACTTCTGATATTAAGCAGCATGATCCTGGTGGAAAGTTAGGTCATGTTAGCCATAGGTTCACTTAGAAACCTAAAGTTGATGTGAAAAATGATGAGAGGGAACTATAGGATACCAGAATTATTAAGAAGCAATCAAATCCTAAACCTAAAATTGAATTATTGGTTTTTGAAGGAGAAAATGTTAGAAGCTGGTTGAGGAAATGTCAGAAGTTCTTCCGTATACATTGTATGTCTGATGATGAGAAACTGGAGTATGTGAAATTTTATTTAGAAGGGAAGACGGATATCTGGTTTCAGAGTTTTAGGAAGTGTAGTCCACATGCCACCTGGTCATTGTTTGAGGTGGAAATGTTAAAGAGGTTCAAGGATTTGGATAATCTGGATCCAATTGAGGAGTTTAATAAGCTCACTCAGAAGGGGAACTTGACTGAGTATTATGATAAGTTTGAAGATTTAAAGTCTCAGTTGCTATGTGTTAATCCTCATTTGAGTGAAAATTATTTTGTGTCAAATTTTGTGAGTGGATTAAAGGAGGATTTCAAACCTTTTGTAAGGTTCGTGGAGCCCCAAACAGTGCTAAGGGCTTTCCAGGCAACTAAGTCACAAGAACAAACTATGGCAATGGCTGGTAAACCTAGAGCTGTGGTCACTGCTTCTAACAGGACTTATAATTCTGGGGGTAAAATGGTTGCTCAGGGTCCTCCTAAAGGTGGAAATGAATTGTATAAGAGGCTTTCCCACCAAGAAAAGCAGTACAGGAAGGCAAACAACTTATGTTGGAAGTGTAATGAGTCTTGGGGACCAGGGCATGCGTGTAAATTGGAATATCTCAACTTGATCATTGTTAATGATGATGTTGATTTTGAACATGTTCAGTGGTTAAGTGATGAATTAGATAACTCTGGGAAAGTAGTAGAGTTATCAAAAATCTCCTGTTGGGATGACTGTAATGCTTTGGAGGATGAAGCAGAAAAAGATGGACCAAGGAAATTGATAGTCATCATTGGCTCTATCAATGGTGAGATTGTGAGGATTCTGATTGATACAGGAGCTATCAGAAGCTTTATAGACATTGACTTGGCACAGAAATTGGGTCTGAACAGGAAGATGGTTAGACCATACTATGTCAAGGTGGCAGATGGTCATCAAGTCAGGAACAATATAGTATGTACTGCTGCTAAGTGGGCAATTCAGAAACACAATTTCTAGTTTGACTTCAGAACAATGAACCTCAACCATTGGGGAATGATTCTGGGAACTGATTGGATGTCACATTTCAGCCCAGTCTTATTTGATTATGAATGTCACAGGATTGAGCTGACAAGAAATGGCAGGAGATTTATACTGCAAGGCCATTCCCTGGCAGCTGATGATGAAATCCAAGATATTCTTAGATCAGTTAACCCTGTTAGAATCAAGGATGGCCAATCTCAACATAAAAGACTAAGGGGGGATTACCATGATTTTAATCCTGGCAAAAGAATGAGGAGGTATCAGGAGGGGATCATTTCAGAAGAAGCTACTGACACTTTCTCAGTTTTTACTGTGGGAGACTGTAAAGGTATTGAAGAAGAGGAGGTGGAAGTGCCAACTGATATAGTGAAGGTGTTGCAACAATATGAGCAAGTATTTGAGGAACCTACAACCTTGCCACCTGAAAGGGCAGTAGACCATCAAATTCCACTCAAATCAGATGCCTCACCTTTTAAAATCAAACCTTACAAGTACTTTCATGCTCACAAAAATGAGATTGAATCTCAAGTGGAGGAGTTTCTTAGCAAGGGGACTGCTAGAGAAAGTAACAGCCCCTATGCCTCTCATGTCTTGTTAGTAAAGAAGAAGGACAATACTTGGAAAATGTTTGTTGATTTCAGACATCTGAATGCTTTAACCATTAAAAGCAGGTACCCCATTCCTGTGATAGAGGAACTTTTAGATGAGCTGAAAGGAGCAAAGTACTTCTCTAAGATTGACTTAAGAGCTGGGTATCATCAGATTAGAGTTTGTCCAGAAGACATACCAAAAAAAGCTCTCCAAACTCATCATGGGCATTTTGAGTTTTTGGTTATGCCATTTGGCCTTACTAATGCTCTTGCTACATTTCAGAATATGATGAACAATGTGTTTAAGCCGTTTTTGAGGAAGTTTGTTCTAGTATTCTTTGATGATATCCTTGTCTATAGTGTTACTCTGAGTGATCATGTATCACATCTCACCTCAGTGATGCAAGTGTTGGTGGACCATGAGTTGTATGCTAAGAAATCAAAATGTTCATTTGCAAGGACTTCCATACAGTATCTGGGAGATGTTATCTCCCAGGAGGGTGTTCACATAGATCCCGAGAAGGTTCAAAGAATACAGGATTGGCTTTTGCTTGCTACAGTTAAACAGCTCAGAGGGTTCATGGGATTAGCAGGTTGGTATAGGATATTTGTCAAGGGATTTGGGTTGATTTCTAAACCCCTAACTCAGTTACTTAAGAAGGGAGCTTTCCAGTGGAATGACAAGGCTACTCATGCTTTCCAGCAACTGAAATTTGCACTTACTACTCTTCTAGTTCTCAGATTGTCATATTTTGCCCAAGATTTTGTGGTAGAAACCGATGCTTGTGGAGATAGTATGGGGGCAATTCTAATGCAACAACAGCATCCTATAGCATTTCTGAGTAAAACCTTCTGTGAGAAGAATAAGGCGTTGTCCACTTATGAAAAAGAGTTGTTGGCTCTTGTGATGGCAGTTAGTAAGTGGAAACATTACTTATAAGGAAATCATTTCATTGTGAGGATAGATCATTATTCCTTGAAGTATTTGCTGGATCAAAAGTTGAATTCTCCCTTGCAACATAAATGGTTGGTCAAGTTGTTAGGCTTTGACTATGAAATTCAGAACAAAAAGGGGAAGGAGAATATAGCAGCTGATGCCTTGTCTAGAAAAGAAGGAGAGGTTGATCAGCTTAATGCTCTTACTACTGTACAGCCTGTTTGGCTTTAACAGTTGGCAGAGAGCTATGTTGGTGATGCTAATGCACAACAGATAATTTTGAGTGCTAGTTTGGATGGTACTAAGAATCCTAAAATCCAATATGTTAGGGGATTGTTAAAGGAGGATGGGAAGTTGTATGTGGGAGATCAAGGTGGTATCAGAAAGATTTTGCTGACAGCTTTCCATGCCTCTTCTTTGGAAGGGCATTCAGGACAAAAAGCAACCTATTAGAGGATCAAAAGTCTTTTTGCATGGAAAAATTTGAAGAAGAATGAGAGGATTTTGTCAGAAGTTGTAAAGTGTGTCAGGCTACTAAGGCTGAGCATGTACATTACCCTGGGTTGTTGCAACCTTTGCCGGTTCCACAGCAGGCATGGAAGAGTATTGGAATGGACTTCATAGAGAAACTTCCAACATCAGGTTTCAACTGTATTTTGGTGGTGGTTAATAGACTTACCAAATATGGTCATTTCATTCCACTTAAGCATCCATTCACTGCTCAAGATGTTGCTGATGCTTTCTTCAAGGAAATTTTCAGGTTGCATGGATTACTAGAATCTATAATCACTAATAGAGACAAGATTTTCACAAGTCACTTTTGGAAGGCCTTATTTCATATTCTAGGAGTTGAACTTAGTCTCAGCACAGCCTACCATCCTCAAATAGATGGACAAACTGAGAGACTAAATCAGTGTTTGGAGAGTTACTTCAGGTGCTTTTGCAGCTCTTCACCCAGGAGTTGCTCTAAGTGGATGGTTATGGCTGAATGGTGGTATAATACCACTTATCATAGAAGTGCAGAAGTGACTCTTTATCAGGCACCGTTTGGTTACCAACCAACAGGAATTCCCCTTGGTCCTTAGCATGATGTGGTTATACCAACAGCACTTAATATGGTCCAGCAAAGGCAGGAGGTGCAGCAAAGGTTGAAGGATAGTCTTCTGAAAGCTCAAGAGAGGATAAAACAGTATGCTGATTTGTTGCGCACTGAGAGGGAATTGAAGGTGGGAGAATTTGTGTACTTAAAGTTGCAGCCATATAGACAACAAACGGTGGTCAACAGGAGCTGTTTGAAGTTGATGTTCAGAAATTTTGGCCCTTATAAAATCTTGGAAAGGATTGGAAATGTGGCATATAGGTTGGAGCTCACAGTTGGTTCCAAGATACATCCAGTGTTTCATGTATCATTGCTAAAACGTCACGTGGGCGCTGATCAGACTCAAATCTCAGACTTACCTAATTTGGAGGACAATGAGGCTTGTGCATTGGTTCCTGAACGCATTTTGCAGAGGCGTTTCATCATGAGGGGATCTCATGAAGTTGTGCAGTGGCTGATAAAATGGAGAGGGCTCGAGTTTGAAGATGCTTCATGGGAAGACAACTCGTTCATCAAGGGGCAATTCCCAGGTTTCCTAATTAATGCATTTAATATTTTCATGTAGGTTTATTAGTTTAATTAAAAGTGAATTAGTATAAATAGGAGTAAGTTGAGTTTCTAGAATTATCTTGTAACAGAATTCAGTTGAATCCTTGGTTTAATTGATAAGTTTTTCTTTCTCTTCTCCTCTTTCGCTCCGGTGACCTATCTCTCTCTCCCTCCGGTCAATTCTTTTACTTTTCCGGCGTAATTCTGTTCATTTCCAAACATGATTAAGTCGCTTCTTGACAAAATTATCACCACTGCTCACAAACATATTGATTAAAAAAAAAGAAATTATTACGTAGCGATTGATCACATAAATAATTCATCATTCTCTATCATTTTTCTGTGTCACAAAAAATAATTCACGTTATAATTGATAAACTACTAGATATATGTATATATATATATATATATAATTTTACAATGTATATTTTTTTGGGGGATGAAAGGAGTACTTAAAATCATTTGACGTATGTCCGGTTTTATGGCATATGTATGTTTGTGATTATAGATAACAAAATGAATTTGTACATTGATTCTGAACCTTGAAAATCGTTTATATCATCATACAGACAACCAATAAATGATGATCATGTGAGTGGAGATGCAAATTAATTATTAGAGATCTTTAATGGCATCAAGAGAGCTCCAATCTCTTCCAAGTACACATTTCACACACAAAAACTCACCTAGGTTTTACTACAACAAGGAATGTTGACAAGATTAAAAGGAATATTGATAGCAAACAGAGCGCACATTTGATGAAGAATATATATATAGAATAGCCCCGTCAGCTTTGCTCCTCGAATGGCTGTGAGACCTGTGAAGGAAAAGAGGCCAATGAGCTTCAAATCTGGATACTGCAAATGACATCAATAAGTCTTCTTAATAGGTCACTACTTATTGTTACAAAAAAATCATTAACACCAAGACGTAGTAGGATTGTTAAGTTTTGGCAAAACACTCAACATGCCAAGTCTTCTGAGACCTCTATATCCTTTAAACAAGGAAACGCTTCAACTTCTTGAATCATCATCATCATCCTCCGAGTAGAAGAACAAAAAACAAGAACAAGAAGAAGATGAAGATAGCTCATTGTTGGATTAATAACGACAACGCCAATTGCATGCCACCATTTCTCCGAAGACTAAAATGTCCAAATGGTCCCTTACATTTCGGCCTACTTGAATTTACATCCCTAACATTAACATTTCAATATCGTAGTCCCAAACAATATGTTTTCATACTTTTTCGGTCCCATTTCATTGTTTCCGGTTGTTCACATGCCAGAATCATGGGTATTTTTGTCTTTTAATTTAATTTAAATTTCTATTAAAATTTAAATCATTAAAAATATTTTAAAATTCAGATTTTATTATTTAGTTGTTAAAATATTATTTATTAATTAAAAATATTATTATAAAATTTACATTATTTTTAAAATTAATTTTTTCATTTATCATTTACCTTAGGTCAAAGTAAATAGTAATTATGTTGCACTTTTAACCTTGAACCCACTGTAATTTAAAAAATTTACCGAGTTATAGTAAATAATTCAAAATTCAACTATAGCGGTCAAAGTAAAAAAAAAATCTTGGTTTTGCTTTTTCTTTTATTTTTTAAAAAAATTTAAATTTTGAATTCTCTGGGTTCGTTGGGCTTAATCCAAAGCTAAAACTTATGAAGTTCGGAAGCCCTTCAGCCCACGAGCTTCCAAGCCCGTCCAATATTTAGCAGCATAATGTATTTCAACAGTTTCCGGCCCAAGGGTTCAACTTCAACTAGTTTGTTTGTGGGCAGACAGTTGCGCGCCAAACTTTTGTGACATAAATCTGAATTGTCCCCAAATTCTCGAATCAATGGAGACACAATTGGTGCTGGCTTCAACCAACGCCGGAATCAGCTGCTGGGAACTTCGGTCAGGAGCCGGGCAGCCTTATGCCCATTTCCGTTCTGCCTCTTCCCCTCCTCACGGTCTCACCTCCATCGTTTTTCCTGATGGAAATCGCGTTATTGCTGCCTCTCAAATTCCTCAATCGAAGAAATCTTCTGGTTCCGTCTTTTACTGGACATGGAATAAGGTATTTTACAGAGTTTCGTTGCCAAAACTTGTTTGTGGATGTGTTCTTCAACGAATACAAGTATATAATGCATTTAACCTGTTCCATGTATTTCCTCTTAAAGATTATTTGGCAAAAAAAAAAAAAAAAACACAATCCCTTTGCTATGATTTTTGACTCTAAACTGTTTTTCTTAATTAAAATTTCCTTTTGATTTGTTCTTGATAGCATGAGCCGGAAGTGAAGAGTTTTCCGTTCGAAACGTTTATTCCACTTGTTTCCGACAGTGAGGGAAGTTATATTGTTGGTGGAAGTACATCTGGAAAGATATATATGTGGAAGGTTGTATATGTTTTTCAGTCTATTCTCGTTGATTACTGGAATTTGTGAATATATATATGGTCTTCGGGTAATGTAAGTTTTCGATATTTATGTAGGTTGATACTGGTGATCTGTTGGCGAAGCGGGATGCTCATCTCCGGGGTGTAACATGCTTAGTCTTGTCTGAGGATAAGTCCCTTTTGATCTCTGGGTCAGAAGATGGAGCAGTTCGAATGTGGTCGCTTTACATGTAATTTTCAAACCATGTTCCTGTGATTTGTCTCATCATGTCATATGATTCATTCATGGTTGAGTCATGATCCTGGATGTTATTTTAGGATTTTCAATGAACAGCTAAGGAAGTGAGCAGAGTATATGTATGTGTATAGTTTCTCTGAGCACAGTTTAAAAGTTACTGATATTGCGGTTGGTTTTGGAGTTTGCAATGCTGTCATTGTGTCATCTTCTGAGGATCGTACTTGCAAGGTTATCCATTATTTAACGTTGTTCTATTAGTCTTTTGCATTATACTCTCGCTTATTGCATTAATAATTACATTTTAAAAAAATTAAATTCTGACTCTGACATCGATTATCCTAGATTTGGCGCTTGTCTCGAGGGAAACTACTAAGGTCTATTAAATTCCCGTCAATAATTGATGCAGTTGTGTTGCACCCGGTAGAGCATGTGTTCTTTGCTGGTGGCAGGGATGGTAAAATATACGAGGCTGCCCTTAGTGCTCAAGTGAAGCTCATCCTAGTTATGGGGAACATATCAGTCGCTCTTCAAGTGAACATAGGTACAAGTTTTGTTGGTTATTCTTTTACCTTACATAGGTTGAATAAGCAGAAGCAACCCTGTGGGACGTTATCATTATCTGTGGCATTTGACCATCTTTGCTGTAGAGAATGGAATTGCAACATAATGAGATGCTATTGGGTTAATAAATTTTTCTCATTATTTCTTAATCTCTCCTGTTTCCTTGCTATGAAGCATAATAGACGTGTGAACATCTGCTATCTGAGACCCACGATTTCGAAAGCAAATGAGACATGTAAGGAAAAAATTTATTGCAAGTGGCTGGAATTGGGTTAAAGTTAGAACTTTTGCTATGGGAATTCTGAATTGTTTTACATGTAGAATCTGATCTTTATTTTATCTGTAAAAACTTGTTTGAAAACTGAAAGATATCTTCTTTGTATATGTTTGTAACTTTGAAAAACTTTACCATTTTTCATTCAGAACATGTAGAAGATCTTACAATTTTTAGCAGTTATCAGATAAACCTCTTAAAGTATCTAAGTTGTGGTGATATTTGTTTTGGGCCTCTTTTAACAATTCTCCATCTTTTTCATTTGTGTTCCTATTTTCTCTTTCTTTCACCTTTTGCAATACTGAAAATATTGTCACTTTTTTATTGGAACAGTAAAGCTATAACCTGCTTAAAATTAAGTTCGGATGGACATCTCTTAATATCTGGATCAGAGGATGGGATGGTTCGAGTTTGGAATGCTAAAACCCTTCATATTGTTCGGGTCTTTCGACATGATGCCAAAGGTAAGTTATATGGATATAATTAGGTTGGCACCTCCCTTCCGAAAGTTTTCTACAACTGCTATTCTTACCTTTTCCAATTCACATGAGTTTTTCATTTCATTTAATTATGTATTAATCTGGCAGCAAATTAGATTTGCACATTGTATAAGAAATGCTTGCATTTTCTCGGTTGGTATCTAGATAGCATAATTCAGACATCTAGTGCCGTTTTCATTTTCTTTCCGTAGATTGTGGTTCCTGATATTTATCCTTTCTCACTACTCTAAACTACTTATGCTTATGTAATGATGAAGGGAATAAGGAACAGAATAATCTGGAGTTTGATCGAAAAAATTTACCGTCGAAATTACTCCCTTTGTAATGTTATTATATAATGACTGCAAAATTGCTTTAAATCTCCATAGGAATCAGAAGTTTTGGTTCCTTTTTCTTTCTTCCTGTGTGTGTTTGTAATTAGGTAATAGGCAATTACGTCTTCTGATATTTTTTTTTGATATATGTGAGTATGTGATTATATTGTGGCTACAAAACTCTGAAGGAATTAGAAGTTCTTGGTCTTATGCTTGCTGATTGTCATCACATATCTGAAGATATCTGGTTCACTAGTGATGCAGTTAAATGTTTTGAAATGCTTCCGTTTCAATTTGGCTGAAATGTCGTGCTTTTGATCTTTACATTTGTCCTTTAGAGCTCTTAACTGGATTTTTTCTTGTTCAGTTTCCTCTCCAGGCCCAGTCAGTAATGTTCTTGTCATTAGTCAGCCACTTCCAAGGATGGCGTTGACTTCTCAAGCTGTCTCATCGAGGAGACATGAATTAAGACCATTAAAAATGAGTTCTGATTCTCCACATGAAAATGTCAAGGCATTTCTCATATCCGATGATCATACTGGTGATTCAAATATTTGTGTTCAGACCCTACAGCAGAAGCAGATAAACTCCAGGTCCATATTTGCCTACATTTAGTTTGTCTATATATTTAGTGGTGTTTCTTTTCTGATATGTCCATTTTCAGATATGTTCTTTATTTTACTTTTTCTTTTTTAATGTAACTTAAACTATTCGCTGGTAGCTCTTCGTGATGCAATGAAACTTTTTTTCCTATTTGATATATGCACCCAAGGGCTGGTGAAATTGGCTATTGTCTTAAGTTTGTGGCATTTGGTTTGCAGTTTCACCTCACTTGAAGGTGATGAAAATTGTTGTGCAGGCATATTTGTACCTTATTTTCCAGCTTACACAGTATTTTAATTTTGCTTTTAAGCCTCGCTGTTATGAGGATTCTAACCATCTGAGACGCTGCTATTTGTACTCTGCGACTTTGTTGTTAGGAAAACAGATGATATGTATTTTCCTATGTTTACATGGACACCTCATGATGTAAATTTTAATATTGATAAAAATTTGAATTATAGAGACTGAATCCATGGAAAGTATCTGACGGTCCTTGTCTCTTACAGCTACAAGGTTCTTCTGCGGCTAATGAACGGGAAACGGAGAGGGTGAAACTCGAGCTTAAAAAATCCCAGCAATTGAAGAGAAAGTTTGCTGATCTTTGTGAACTCTATCTGAGGTAACGGAAGGATCTACATCAAATCGGTGCAAATGGAAGGAAATGAACGCTGACCCTGTAAGATAATCACGTTCGGTGAGCAACAACTTCCATTTTATTGATAGGGCCTTTTTATAAGGTTTTAGCAATTTGACTCTTATATACTCCCTCCGTTCCATAATTATTGTCCATTTTGCCCAAAAAATTTTGTCCCAAAATTATTGTCCAATTTGACTTTTTATGGATCAAGTTACACATTTGTCCTTAGTAAAAAACATTATCCATAAAATCTTAGTGGTTAAATAATTACTTATGTAAGGGTATATCCGGTTGTTTAAGGTAAACCATAGTTAAGTTTGACCAAAAATAAAATCTTTCATTTTAGTAAAACTGTACAATAATTATAGGACGGAGGGAGTATCAGTTATTTTTAGAAATTACTCCTATATATCAGTTAGGTCTATTTATCCACTTTTACCTACACTATTTAAAGCAACTTTTCTTTTGTTAGTCAATTTTGAAAGGTGAAGTGATTGTTTGGACGTCAACTTACATTTTATTTTGCCACTTAAAAGTGGAAAATATTTCAAATGGAAAACTAAATGAGAAATAAAAATGTTGTTTGGATGTTAGTTTTGAAAAAAAAGTATTTTGAACTACATTTTGAAATATCAAGTACAAGTCATCACAAAACAATTAAATACTGTCAATTATGATCACTGCAAAAAAGAACTTTTCCAAAAACAATCACTCAACAACGGAATCCTACCAAATTTGTCACTGAACTATTTATAGTTTTAAAATGGTCATTACATTAACAAAAAGTGTTTAAGTTGGAATTTAAAATGTAAATAAGAAAATTGTTTGGATGATGTTTTCTTTTTTATCGGATTTTGTGTTTAAGAGGTAAAATGAGTGAAAATGCAAAATGGAAGGTTGTCCAAACAAGGCCAAATTTCTTCTCGGCAGGGCCATTGGTTACGTACATACTTGTACATCTGTTACTGTTATATTTTGAGACATCTTCTGTTCCAAAATATCAAGTTATGTCTCTTAGATAAAAAAAATTCTCGGTAGTTTAAGAAACAATACTCTACTTTTATGGGATGTTGAGGAAATTATGTTCTTTTGGCATGTATGAGTTTGAAAATGAGAGTGAAAGTTTGCAAAAGCTACTCGATACTTCTTTGATAGAGATGGAATTGTAATTATTAACAAGATATCGTGGAAAATTTCTGATGCAATTTGCTACTGCAACTGCTGAGGCAAAGGACGATGGTCACGTTTCTAAGTCCGTGTGGCCGGTTGAAGTTATCATTAAAGAATTCAGGCAACTCTTTTCCAACAGTACAAAAATGCTCAGGGGTAAGAAGAATAAGCGACGGGATGGGTCGGCCCAATGGTAAGGATTCTGGCACTTATTTGCTGTGACGGGAGTTCGAACCTTCACGGTAGCGATTTATCACTTGCCATACTTTCCTACAGGGTAGGAGGCAGTCGCAGCCAAATGAGGCCCTTTCAAGGGTAGACAAGTGGATTGAACATGCACATGTGCCATACTTTCCTACAGGGTAGGAGGCAGTCGCAGCCAAATGAGGCCCTTTCAAGGGTAGACAAGTGGATTGAACATGCACATGTGGAGTCTTCCCCCGTAGTAGTAGTTGTATTTTCTTTTCCATAGACCCCGCCCATATAATATTCGGCAGTCGTAGCCAAATGAGGCCCTTTCAAGGGTAGACAAGTGGATTGAACATGCACATGTGGAGTCTTTCCCCGTAGTAGTAGTTGTATTTTCTTTTCCATAGACCCCGCCCATATAATATTCTAGGCACTTGTAGTTGGTTCTTGTCAAAAATAACTATAAAAAAAAGCGACCGGACTAAAATGGATACGACTTCCATGCTGGACGAAGCCATTCATTACGTGAAAAATATGAAATATATTTGGCTGCATGTCTACTGCAGTTAATTAGAGAGAATCTAAGTAGTAAGTACCGTATTTGGCACTTGTGATATACCACATACATTTACAACCTCTGAACACTTGTAAACTACACAAACATTGATTAAAAAAGAATGTCGAAACCAAACTAAGACGAAAAAGATCGATCCCGCAACTAATATTGTCGAAAGGTACCCTCCATTGACTTTTGACCATCACCATAGCTTTTCCAGAGAGTGTAGTTGTCCCCAAAAAAAAATAAAAATAAAAAATCTTGCGTTTAAGGCGCACAAGTGTTCAACAGAACCCGTTAAGAAGTGAATCTCGTCGAACCTAGCTTACAAATCTATGGTTGTGAAGGCATAGGCGATGTGGGAGGCTTCAAATCCGGATACTGCAAATGACACATCAAACAAGCAATCATTACTGCTCTTAAAATAAAAATGCAAGCATATACAAACAGAACTGAACCTAAAAGAGAGAGGCCAAATGCTCCTAGGTTGTAGAAATGTCATGCTATCTCAAGGTAGTAATTTTGTTTACTTCCATAAATCCATTGTATGAGATCAATCTATTCTTGAGTTATTTTGCAACTGAAAAAGCAGAAATAAAAGTTCGGGTCGACCAAAAGAAAACTCTATCAAAGTGTTGCAAGTCAAATGAGAATCTAAGAGTTCCGAGTGACAATGTTCTCAAGTGTATAAAAAGGCCATGGTCAGACTGCAATGTGAATTCAGACTCTAGCTAAAAAGATTTAACTAAAAAGGTGCAGACATCTTACGTTAGGATAAGGCGAAAGTGGAGTTGAAATTGGCGGCAGCGTATCTGTTTCGGCTTTAGCTTTAGGGACCGAATTGATTTCTGGCGTACTACTTTGCTCAGTTACTGTTTCCACTTTAGATGGTGCTGCAGCAGCAGCATCCTCCTTCACCTCGGTTACTGCTTCGACTTTGGATGGTACTACTGCATCATTTACCTCAGGGCTGGCCTCGGTTGCCGCAGGTAGAGCCTTGCTGGTCACAGGCAACGGCAGAAGAGCCTTCCCGATTTGCTGAAAACAGAATAAGAGTTGTTTTGAATATTTTGGTACCCTTACTTGAACAGAATAGAATTAAAACTAAATGTGAAAGGCTGTAAAGGCAGGAATTATGATGAATTAAGAGCTAACTCTGAATGATCAGTTACCTTAACGTCATCTACAAGCTCCTTCGGAGCAACTTTTGTGCTCAAAAACTCATCAACCTGTTGTAGAGTCTTCTTCCTATCCTGTCAAAAACAGTGGACCAAAAGGTTCAACAAAGTTCCTTACAAGTTAAAAATGTGCACATGGCTTCAAGTGGCTAAGGTTAGTCCTCAGGACCAATTAAGTAAACATTAAGCCTTGGTGAATTTTAAGCGGGAATCGGGACAAGCACAGTAACTTCTGTTTATGGAATGAATTTTACAGTGAAAGAACTGTTTAGGAGCTCTCTCATTCAAATCAACATTTTGATCATTGGAATTAATCTGCTAACCTTACAGAATTACATTACACAGAATTAATGAAAGTCCGGACTCCAGAGTCTAAGACTAGAGCAGCTCAGTGTGTTCTTTTATGTTGGTGGAACTGGTAATATTTAATGCCATACTTGTAGAAACTTACAAGGGAGTAATAGACAAACCTCTGCAAACAGAAACTTGTTGCTGATGACCTGAATAAGCGCGGCCGAACCCAGGACTTGGAGAATAGTCTCGACCTAAAAAAGCCATGGAAAAAGATTAGCCCAATGATCCAGAAAAAGCTGATTAAGATGTTAGAAGAGATCTTAACCTCTGTGAATGCTAGTATTCCTAATCCAGCAGCAGCAGCAACAATGCCAAGGTTCAGCGCTAATGAATCCGACCCCCCCTGAAGACCACAAAATGAAGATAACATTCACATCCAACTCTGCACAAAATGAAGCTACAAGAAGCTGGCAAAAAATTAAAGCATTTTACCCCAACTGAACCACTGAAAGCATCAGTCAGACTGCTGATATCAAGGCTGAATGCTTTTGGACTTATCCATGGAAGGCCACTGTTCTGCATTTCGGAAATAACCCAATATGAGTTTTGACTTAACCAGAATTATGTATATGATGATCCCAAAACGAAAAGGATAGATTAGTCCAGGGATATTACTATCCATCCTCGGCTGCCTTCAGCTCCATCTTTGATAGCATAAGCAGCTTTAAAGCCATTTGATGTAACAAGCTCAGCAACCAATTCAGAGTTTCCATCAAATCTGGCTTCATAAAAGGTTAAACAGCTCATGATTTGAATTTGTTTGTCAATGTTAAACAAATAAAGTTCCCTTTCTGGCAGAAGAATAAGTTTCATAAGTAGCAACTCAATCCAAGACATGCTTCAGAAACTGGGTTCAAAAAGTATTAAGCCAAAAGACATGCAGTATTTAGGATTTGTTAAACAACTAATATTCATTGATGAATAGAATGAGAATCGAACTCTCGCAAACCAATGAATAATTGGATACACAATCAATCAAAACAGGACCAAAAAGAACCATGTATACATAAACAAATTCTTACTTGTCCAGGATGAACAATGTAGTATTCTCCGGTTCCTTAAATTTCAAAGACAGCTTCTTTAAGAATCCCAATTTGTCATCACCTTTGTAGACAACATTAACAGCCTTCTTCTTCAAACCTTTCACATCGGGGCTCCCCACTTTCCTTAATTCAGCTGGAGGCCTTATATCAAGCAACTGTGCGTTTACATCCTCACTTAATTTTGCATAAGCAGATTTAGCAGACTCAACACCCCAAGCCTTGGGTTTACCACCCAAAATTTGAGCCAAAATTAATGGCACCGCCACAATGGCTACACCTGCACCTGCAACCAGGGGATTGTTTACTATGAAATCGATAATAGAATCAAATTCAGAGCTGGAGAATCCATCCACCGATTGCTCCAAAGCTTCCTCATATGTGAGAGCTCTTGCTAATCCATTTCCAAGCAGACAATTCAGAAGAACTAACCCACCACCCGAATTGATATTTCTTGGAGAAAAGACTGATAATTTGGCTGCTTTAGGCAAATTCTTCAGCTGAGAAATGGTATGTAAATGTGGGACTTTTCTGGGTTCAGTTCTTTTTTCTGAAAGAACAGATAAAGGTGTCAAACCAGCAGCATTAAGGGCCTCCATAGCATAACTCTGGGGTAATCAGAAGATATTGCTGTGAAGGCCAAGTTGAATTGAGCTCAATATTGAAAATCTTTTTCCTTGGAAGCTTAAGCAGCTGATTCTTAGTTTGCTTACTCTTCAGTTGAGTTTGAGAGGGTGAGTTGCTGACTGGAAAGCAGGATGAATGGTGAACCACTAGATGAATGACACGTGGGAAGTGAGGATCGGAGTGTTTTGTGATGATCATGTTGCTGGCCGTAGTATATATAATATGATGATGATGGACTTTTCAGCACTTTGGGATATTTTTGTGGCTGATAATTTTCTTCTGGAAAAATGTTTTTTGGTAACTTCTTGATGGTCTAATGTAATAGTAGTACAACATTAACCAGTTCACGTACCACAGTTCAATCGTACATCCATCTGATTGTACGCCAAAATCAAGCATTTATCTTACAGGGCACTTATCTGTAGAGGAAAGGAAATTATAAGCCAAGCAGACAAAAACTAGTAATAAAAAGATTCCCGTATAGAACTGGGAGAATGGAAAGAAAGAAAGGTTTACATGCATACGAGGCGGAACCAATGTAAATATCCAACAACCTAGAAACGTGATCAGCTTGTAAATTTTACTACACCAACTAGATAGTGCAAAACTCTCAGTTATGTATTAAGTGAACTAACAAAATTTCATCTTACAAAGACAACAGAATCTAAAGAGAAAGGTGACAGTTATAGTACATCGAAAAAGTAATCTAATCCTTGCCCTATTTCCCAAATTGAGATGCCAGCGCCCCATGAACGAGCTTCCTCAAGTCGCATGGCAATTGACAGCAAAGTTGGGTAGAACACGACATGCTTGATACGTCTGTTATCCAAGTAAATAAAGAAATGCTCCGCACTATTCTTCTCCCACTGGAGTATAGGTCTATGCTGCTCCAGTAAAGATAGATACTCCCTCCCCACTATCGGTCCTCCACCCTCTGCAAGTTATCAATGAGTATCTTAAGTTATGACAATCAATCCCATGAATTCTTTCAAACAAAGATATCTTTGATACATGTGAAAGAACACTTCTTTTGATTGCCTTTAGTAAGCTAAAATAAGAGAAATGTAACCAACGGGTGTATCATCAAATCATTTCCTCAGTCAAAAGGAGAACCACATAGACAACCATGGATCAATTGGAGACACTTGAAGGGCTAAATGTAGGTACATGCTCACAAAATGTTTTCTAACGATCAACTGATAAGGGATTTGGGAGTATTCACCTTTCTCTCTCTTTTTTCTTCTTCTTTTTTTTTTGGTTTTTTTTTTTTTGGGGGTTGGACTTGGGAGTATTCCAATGTGGCTTAACTGCTCTACGACTACCTTATGAAGTATGATCCTGACAGAAAGTAAAGAATTCATAACTTTTGTCAAGTGGTGCTTCATCTCAAGCCGTTTAAAACTGACCTAATCATATCTCTAAAGTAAACTGAAAGGACGATTTTAACTGTTTAAATAGCTTGTAAAACGAAAAGATTCACCAGGGAGAACAAGCAAGACACACAAAAGCATATCTCAATGGCAACTATATTATATGATTACAACCTCCATCATACCTCCTGACTGTAGAAAATCATTGCCGTAGAAATTAATGCCGACAAATATCTTTCTGGCCAAACCCTGACCAGAATTATCAGAACCAAGTAGAAGCTTCAGGGTGGATTGAATCCACTTCAAAGGTGCATTTGGACCAGGATTATGAGGAGTTGAGAAGTCATATGTCATCAGAGAGAAACCATCTACTGCTGAACTCAAGCCTAACAGATCTTCAGGTCCAAAATCATGTGACTGCAGCTGATCTGAATATGGTGGTCCAATAACATACACCAATTGTAGACTTTCCCCATTTCTTTCTGTGCTCACTCCATGCATAGCTTCTCCCAGCTGCTTTATAAATTGCAAGGCCTAGACTCTCAAAAGAAACAAAAAATTTATCAAATCAAAAACCAACCAGGAGATAGCTATGTAGCAGAATATATACAGTTTGTAAATAACATGCACCAGATACTGCAAATTTACAAAATTAAGCTTCTTAGGGTGAGACTTTCCAGAAATCATAAAACATCACGAGATGGAGTGCAATTCTCAAAAGGCTGTTTCTAAGAGAAGAGAAAAAAACACAGTTTGATGAAAATGTTACCATCATCCGCATTTCTGGTTTGTGCAAGACACCATAAGCTGCCCATCTTGACCATGACTCAAGTACAATACCATCATAATCGAATTTCCTGAACAAAGAGACTACATTATGACAAACAGAAAAATGAGAGTGGATAGATAAACAAGTAATACACGAACTGTAACCCAATGCAAATCAGTTCAGTTCGTTACTTATGATGACACAATGAGCATGATAAAGACTAAAGACGACAATTAATTCAGATCTTAAAATCTGAAAGTAGCAGAACTGAATACGTACTGGAAGCTTTCATTTGTGAATCAGATGACCAAACATGTACAAATCCTCCTCCACCAACCACCCCCCACCCCCACAAGCAACAACAAATTTCCCATCACTTCATCAGTAGAACACACCTTCATATTTTTAAAGAAACTTGTCCTTATACTCACACAATAACTCAGAGATACAGATCTAATGGAGCAAAACTTAATTGGCAAGAAAAAAACTGATATTGGATAGACAGTCATTCTGGAAAAGAAATTACTCCCTCTGCACCAAAATTATTGTCCAGTTTGGATTTTCCTTTCAGTACAAATTGAACTATTAAGTGAAAATCCAAACTGGACAATAATTTTGGTACAGAGGGAGTATATGTACATGATAAATATTCGATGATATTCTCTGCTGTTACATAGATGATGCTCAACAATGACAGTTATCTGGAACATGGATGCTTAGAAATACAAATAGTTAAAAAATGAAGCCAGAAGACAAAGCGATCACAGTGATACAGGACTAAAACATATCCAATGAGAAGTTTGCACTTACTTGCATTCTTCCACAATGAGGTTAATCACCTTTTTCCTTTGTTTCTTCTTCGTGAGAAAATCCATGGGCATTGCTTCCAAAACCACTCTAGGTAATATCTACAGAAGCATCATGGAAAAGGTAACATTTCTATTCAGCAAAGACCCAGATATTTTAATTACACTTATCCGATTGACCGGACGTTCAGCCGTAAAAAATTGCTTCTGTGGAAGATTCAAGTGCTTGGCTGGCCTAAAACAATGGAAATTTACTTAAAGAAAGAAAAAAAGCTTTTTTATTTTTTATTTTTCGTTATAAATATAGCTCATCACTCTACAATTATCAAGAGTAAACAGACCTGGTTCATGATACATGTCCCAATATAAAGACTACATTTTTTTTCCCCTAGAAAAAGGTAATTTATGTGCTGGAGGGTACAGAAGGATTTTTCATCAAATCCCATCATGGATGCAGTTTTCTCTTCTAATATCCCATTCTTTCAAATTCAAACATAATGTGCTAAGCATAGTGGATAAAATAAATAATATACTGGGAAGAAGTAAGTTGACAATACCTTAGCATTACTGTTCATTCTAATTTCTGAAATCCATCCAATGTCAGCATTATGCCTTCCATCTAACACAAAGGAGCTTCCTTCACTGCCATCAAATGTGAATGGTATAAAAATAGAATCAAGAAAGAACATTTCTTTAGAATCCCTCTTGCAGAATTATTAGCTAGAGGTAAATTTCTGATTCAAAGACGAGGAAGCATTTTTTCAACGTTCTCCCTCACAATCCCACGCAAAAGGAACGACATAACAAATATTCTTAATATCATAGACGAATTGCATCGAATCAGCATGCAGATTTTACCTTTTGAGGTCATACCATACAGGAGATAGATGAGTCAGCTTAGAGTTGAACTTCTTGGCCAGGTCATATCCTTTTGAGTTCCTGCACCATGTGGCCGTTAAAGCATGAAATCTGATACAATATCCTTGAAGTTTGCAAGTGTGTCAATCAGTACAGATGGCTGCATTGCCTTCTGACCAAATAACCCGTACCATTTCCAGAGAAAAATTAAGTTTTGTATCAACAGGAATAAAGGGTACAAGTACAACAAAACGCAAGGAACATCATAGGAAGCGCTCATACACAAGTGAAAATATTCTCATGAATTATCATAGCAACTGACGTGAGTGACCCTTATAGACAATTTATATCAACCAATCGTGAGGCTACCACAATGTAACATCATTACTCATTCACAAGGAGATAAAGATCAACAAAAAAATACTACGCAGAGTCATTAGCTTTATCTAACAAATCATCTCTTCATCATCCCATCCCTATATAATCTTAAAAAGCAATAATAGTTTCTGTGATAAAACATGGTAAATTCGTATATTTGATCAGCTAAGGACTACTCAACCCAGCGACAGTATTTAATAAAAAAATAAAATAAAATTTCCAGCCACGGGATTGTCGCCGCAAATGATTTCGATTCAATCATTTCTGATCTTAAACATTAAAGCTTTCAGGCCTATTAACAATGTGGGGGAAAAAAAGAAGGAAAAGAGAATATGAATTTAGTTGAGATGATCTTAAGGAGCAAAAATAGTAGTACCATGGAGTAATGTAGGCAAGAACAGAATTTTCAAACTGCCGCCGACTCACATTTGCTGAAACCTTCACATGCTCCTGCATTCCTTCGCGTAGCAACACAATCAAAAAACTTTTTTTGTATAAGCCAGAAAGAAAATAATACTCAAAATTCCAGGACGATGTCGATAATTAACCAAAAAAAATAAAAATAAAAATATTAACAGTGTGGAAAGTGCCTTACGTCGAGAACTTGCCGGTAATTGACGTCAGCTTTGACGAGTCCCCTCCGGTAGACATCTGGAAGGTCTGTTTCGCTGACCGATTGCGACGGCGAACTGATTCTGCGGTATAAGATAACGGAAATGGCGGGACATACGACGAATAGAAGAAACAGTATCGTGCTTCGAATACGATTGCGCCTCGGAGATTTGGTCCGCCGTTCACTAGTGGTCGACGAGGACGGCTCTTCGGAGTTTGATCGCCGGTCAAAGGAGCTGAACTTAGCTCGCCGGAGTCTTTTCTTTCCCATACCCGACCCGATGCTTCTAAGTTCAGGGAGAGAGTTTTTTTTTTTTGAATTTTTTATCCGTTTTCCAGCATTAACATTTTTGGGAAACATCTTTCTTTTCTTTTTCTACATTTCTTCCTCCATATTCCTAGTAACTTTTATATATCTTGTCAATGCACGTAGTAAATTTTTTTTTTTTTTTGAAACAGTCAATGCACATATTTTATCCACGGACAAAAATCTTTTAATTAATACTCCCTGTGTCTCATAATTATTTTCCAGTTTGAGTTTTCATTTCTAGTTCAAATTATAATAAAAGTGAAATCTCTAATTGGACAATAATTTTGGGACGAAGGGAATAAATCTTTAATTATTGTATCTTAATAAAACTGAACAATAATTTTGGAACGTCGGGAATAATTTTTATATATCTTGTCACACAATGCATATATTTTATCCACGACAAAAAACCCTCTAATTTAATTTTGGTTCAAGGGAAACTGATTTTCACATTTTATTTTAGTACAATTGTGGGATAGGAAGAATACTATCTATTTGAATAGCGTAGAGGCGCAAACACACTAAGTATATTTCTTTAAAGAATACATTGCAAAACCAAGGTTAGAGGGATTCGCCACAATTTTATCCATTTGTTGTAAGTATATATACTTGCTTTACATATTTGATGAATCAAAATCTAGTTCAGGAGTTGATAAACTTTGGAATGTATATGAAACTAGCTAGGTAGATACGTGAATTGGGATATAAATCTAGTTCCCAACTCCTAACCAACTTATGGTTACTATTTCTATCAAACTTACGTTTTATGAACAAAAGAAAATTATGGAACAAGTAGAAAAAATGTTGGTTGGTTGAGTAGTGTTCATATAGAGTGGTGATATTGATGATGGGGGGTTAATTGCATTGCTGCTGCCAAATGCCTGAATGCCAACCAACCAACCACATAAAATGAGGTATGATTTTGGAGCCATATATTAACCCAACCAACATCACCACGTATATCCAATTCCAGATCTTCTTCATCATCATCATCATCTTATATATTCTTCGAGTTTTTGAAAGATGAGCCTTAAAAAAAGAAAACAAAACAAATGTAATGAAATGAAAAGTTTTGTGGTTTTTTTGCGCACCAATTATATATCAGCTAGCTGGTTTACTATACAAGTCAAAATGACGTACGTAATGCGCTATTCATTTTATCTTCATCAGTTGTTACAACTCACAACAAATATGAATTATATATGTGTCCACACAGCATACTCGAGATTGATGTCCACACCACAGAACCAAATGAAAAACCCCAAAAAGAAAGAATTAATTCCAGATCAATTTAGAAGACCACCCTTTCCTTTATCTTCTGCTCTTTCTTCTTTTTGCATGAAAACTTGAACCAATTTTTCCTCTTTTATTTAAGTCAATGATTGATGAGACATACGATACGACTCGCGTACCACGTACTTACTTCATTACTCTATCAAAATATGTATTAAACACCCCCTTCTATAAATAGAGACATCATCAGTCCGGCCCATAGGTTTTTATTCACAATTCATTGCTTCTTCTTTCCAGACTCACACAACTCTTTTGCGCTTTGTTCTTTGGGGAGTTTTCAGTTAGTTCTTCACATTTTTCTAACTAGACTAGGTCTCTAGTATTAATTAATGGATTCTTCGGGTGGATTAAGATGGAGAAGATTAGGAAGCCTTAAACCGATCCAAACAAAAAAGGGTGCAGGAAAGAGCTACAAAAAAGCAGAAGAAGATGAACAACCATTGAGCCCATCAGCAAGATTGTTCCATGAGCCTGATTTCAATGTTCATGTCACGGCTATCATGGGGGGAGACTCCCCTATTTGTCCCAGGTTAATCAAAGATAACCTGGTTCTCAGTATCCAAAAACATCCTCGCTTCTCCAGCTTGCATGTGCGTTTTTATATTCATGTTTACTTAATTAAGTTAATTTTATTTTTTCAAAGTTTTAAGTTTACTTGTATGAAATAATCACTTACTACGTTTTTTGAGATGTGTTACATGATCTAATCTTTTCGGTCTGTGAGGCATAACTTTATTTCATGCATATGAGAGATATTAAAATTGAGATACAACGAAAGCATATTTAGTACTCCCTTACAATCTCAGAGAAAAAGTTGATTTTATTAAGCACTAGTAGAGACTAGCTAGCTATATACATCTTTCCGGTAGAGAACAACCAATTTAACGCATAGAAGCTAATATTTCATTTTGTATCTGTACGCTTCCCCTAAGTATCACCTTTCATTTTGTTCATAGCCTTCATATGGTTGTACCCAAAATGAAAAACATTTTTACTTCTACATATTTCTCGTTATAATCAGGATAGCTAAAAACTTTTACATGTACACAGTGACGGATTTAAGGGGGGTCAGGCTGGTCGATCGACTCCCCAACCGGTCGGATTTGGCCAAATTTTTTCTTAGTAGGGTGTCCGTTATTTGAAATTTTTTCAGTTCGACCCTCCGGTGACGGTTAAATAATCCTATTTTTGACCCGTGATTTGAAAATTTTCCATCACTGCTTGTACAGATTTTGCTAGCCACCAAAAAAAAAAAAAAGGTTGTATGGAAACTGAAAAAGCCCATATATTTCCAAAAATTTCCCCCGTGGTTGTATTTTGTTTGCGTATGCGGAGATGCCCTCAGCTCCCGTGACCTCTTTAAATAGTTCCAAATGCATCATGCATACTTCCATGAAAACTGTTCGGCAAATTAATTAAATTAAATAGCCCATATTAACCTAATTTTCTCCCTCTCTTTGATAGAGGAAGATCAGAAAACTACTACAACCATAAAGTTAATTAAAAAAAAAAAGAAAAAAGAAAGAAGCACTAATAATTTATACTAATGAGTTTCATATGCGAGTTGTCAAAGAAAGAAAAAGTCAGTTTATAAATTAATTGTCATGTCTAAATATAGCATATACTTCAGTACTAACTACTACTCACTATACATTTGTAGCTCCCCATCTTATGATATTTCAGCAAATTATTTATTTGAGAATTTTGATTGACCGATTTAAATTCATCATACATATACATACATATGCAGGTAACGGATGCGAAAACGGGAGAGATGAAATGGGTTCGAACAAAAGTAGATATAGAAAAGCACGTCCTGCTTCGAGACATAACTCCTCTAGACTTGGAACAATTCGGGTCACCCGAGAAAATCCTCGAGGAATACGTCTATAATCTCACCAAATCTTCCCTCGACAAATCCAAACCCTTATGGGAGCTCCATATCCTCAACCTCGAAAGCTCCGAGATTGGCCGGACTGGAGGGTTTGGAATTTTCCGAATCCACCATTCTCTGGGAGACGGCACGTCCCTCATGTCGCTTTTGCTAGCTTGCACCCGCCAGGTCGATGACCCGGAAAAGCTACCCACAATTCCGGGCCAAGATAAAAATAAGAAGAAAATATTGGAGAGTGCTACTACCAACAGGAGCACTCCTGGTATTAAATTGTTTGGGATGATTTGGGAATGCGTGAAGAGGATATGGTTTTTGGTGGAATTGATGTGGAACACTTTGGTTGATGTTGTCATGTTCGGAGCTACTACCTTTTTCTTGAAGGATACCGATACGCCCATCAAGGCTTTGCCGGGGTCGGAATTCAGGCCCCGACGGATTGTTTTCCGGGTTGTTAGCCTGGACGACATGAAGTTGATCAAGAACGTCATGAAAATGGTAAGCTCGTAAATTACTCATGATAATATTACTACTGAATTAATGTAAGTAGTAAGTATATCTTGTTACAAAATGATATTTCGTCTGTTCCAAAAGAAAATAATAAATGTCGTTTTTACTGTTTTAGAGTTAACAATTATTTCGTTTGTGGGTAAATTAGGACACCGTGCACAGTATGAAAAAAGAGACGCTTGCTTGTATTCATTTTTTCGCATTTGCTAATTTGGGGTTTTGTACTTTTGTTCTATCTTTGGGGTGAGAACAGACGATAAATGACGTTGCATTGGGAGTTACACAGGCTGGTTTGTCACGATATCTTAACAGGAGATATGGTAAGTCTTCAATCAGTAGTGATGTTTTCATCTGTATTAATTGCTGAGAAATAATTTAGAATAAAATTAATCTTCTAAAATTCTCAATATTTCATTTTTTCGGATTTTTCAGCTGAAGAAAAGGGACATGACAATGGAGCAACAGAGAAAAACAACAATTTGCCAAAGAATATCAGACTTAGATCAACCCTTCTCATCAACTTAAGGCCATCTCCCGGGATTCAGGTTAGCCCCAATATTTTTATATATGTTTTTTAGTACCTTTCCCAGAATTTGTTTTTTTTTAAAAAAAAAAAAAGAAAAAAGAATCAGCACAGCCCCTTTGTTTAAGTTAATTCTCTTTATATGCGGTTTCTGTTCCCCCAAAAAATAATATTAATAATAATAAAATTATAGTAATACATAGCTTTCAAAATTACAACCATGATTTTCCTTCCTTCTTTTTTTTTTTTTTGTTAATGAACTGAATTGATGAATGGGATCAATTTTGCAGGCTTTGGCTGATATGATGGAGAAAGACACAGAAGCAAAATGGGGGAATTGGATTGGATTTGTTTTGCTTCCATTTAAGATTGAATTAAGAGATGATCCTTTGGATTATGTCAGAGAGGCTAAATCCACCATTGACAGGAAGAAACGTTCTCTTGAGGCTGTCTACACTTTCTCAATTTCTGAGCTTGTCCTCAAGTTCCTTGGGATCAAGGTATGGTTTTGTTTTTCCTTTTCTAAAAAAAACTATTGCAAATTTTAGATTTCTCAACCTTAAGAATTACTTCCATTCCAAAATAAGGGTTTTGTACATTGAGCTATTTAGCACAACAAGACAATACTCATATTTTGGAATCGAGAGAATAATTTCTTTTATTATAGGAAAATAAAAACACAGAAAGTGAATGAGTTAGGGTTTGAGCTCTCATAATTTGAATTCATGGAACAGGCATCAAGTGCATTATCCCACAAAATAATCACCAGGACAACAATGTGCTTCTCCAATTTAGTTGGACCCCAAGAAGAAATAGGGTTTTATGGCCACAAAATTTCTTATCTGGCTTCTGGTTCCTATGGTCAGCCCCATGTAAGTATAGAGAACAATTAATGAATATTTCTAAGTCATTGTATACTTACGAAGTTCTTCTCAAATGATTAATGGATGAACGTTATATACGTGGGATTTGCAGGCATTGATGATTAATTATCAAAGCTACGCGAGCAAGATGTCGGTGGTACTGTCGGTTGATGAAAGCGTGATTCCAGACCCTCACCAACTGCTTGATGATATTCAAGAATCACTTCAGCTCATCAAGGATGCTGCAATTGCTGCTAGCTAGTTAGCTAACTTGCTATACGTACCTTAAGATCGATGATCAATTGTTCAAAGTTTAATAAATTTTATGCTCAGTAATTTCCAAAATAGTTGCATTATATATGTAGGTCTTAGCCATTTTAATAATCATATATAATGCATTAGTTATTTAAATATTCAAGAATTGTTTAATCAATTTGGGGGTATTTCTACTACTTAATAATAAATGAAGGTTCCTTCGAGTGAAGTGTTCTTTGTATTTTTTTTCCTCCATCATTTTCGGTTATTGATAATATATATCGTCTCTGATAAATTAATCTTCCTTTTTCCCTTCGTATAGGCAAATATGCAAACCATCAATGTGCCTACAGAAAAGTAAAAGAAAAAGAAAAGTGATGTCTTTCTAGTCAAGATTTGGGTAGTCAATTTCCTAGTTATGTAGAAGACCAGCCTCTAAATTTACTGGTCAAACAAATACGACGAAATTTTAGGACTGCCAGTGGAATATATGTAGAGTATATATACATATATATATATAATTTTCTATTCCCTTGTTGTGTGTATTTTTTAAGATTATTAAGGCAATTCATACCTCTCTTTTTGTGTAACAAACTTTTGATTAGCTTGCTTATATTCTTCTTCTTTCTCCTCTTCGGGTAGGAGGTTTGTGTAGCAAAAGCAAACCCCTAACATTAATCTTCATAATCTTTAAAAAAAAAAAAGAAAAAACAAAAGTAGTTCCATGGATTCTTCGTGGAATTCTTCCGGAACTGTAAACATTTTGATAAGTTACATGTTACTATTCGCGACGTGCTTTTGTTCGGTCGCTAATTCTACCATCCCTCCAAAAGTGCAACAAATTGCACAAGAATCAGCGTCGGCCCTGGGCCAAGTTGAGTCCTCCATACAAAATGCCGCTGGTTCCTTGTTAATGGCCGGAGAAGAGAAAGCTTTCCTCGCGGCGCACAACAAGGCGCGTCTCCACGCAGGCGAACCGCCTCTCGTGTGGGACGCGAAGTTGGCCGCCTACGCCCGACAATACGCCCAGCAGCGCAGCGTGGATTGCAATATGGTACATTCTAAGGGTCCTTACGGGGAAAACATCTTTTGGGGAGGCGGAAGCCAGTGGACCGCCAATGATGCGGTGGCTATGTGGATAAGAGAACACCGATCCTACGATCGAGCCAGCATGAAATGTGAGGCGGGCAAAATGTGTGGACACTATACCCAAGTTGTGTGGAGGGACACCGTCAGATTAGGATGTGCCATTTCTCGTTGTGTTTCCGGCGACACTTTTGCTGTTTGTTCTTATGATCCTCCGGGGAATTACGTCGGTGAAAATCCTTTTGCTTAAAATATATGATTAAATCAGCAAAGATCCATACTAGTATTGCAATATTTTGTGTTCGAATTTATGTATTTGGATTAATGTAACATTTTGAACTCCTACATTAATAATATATATGAAAGATAGATCTGCAACGTCATTTTGTACGTCCCATATCTTTTAATTCTCCTATTGAACCCAAAAATAAAAATAAAAAATAAAAAAAATCTCTTTTTAGCTAAATTTATTGCCATTGGATTCATTGGTCTTAATTCCAGTTCTTTTGTTCAAATCATCGGTTGCACTTGTTGTAATTGCAAGACGACAGGAGTTTAAATTAATTTGATCGAGAGCAATCTCAGTAATAATACTAATATATATATTAGTGTTTTAACTGGTGAGCTCATTTAGACATGATATTGCCCAGAAACAAAAAAAAACACATGCAAGTTGTAAACCCCCCAACCTCCAAAAAAAACACATACAATTAAATGAACTTATGCAAGTTAAAGGTTGTTTAAGGATAATATACAATTCTCAAACTGCAACCAAAGATTAATTTGTATGGAAGATTCTTTTTTTTTTCTAATATAACTTTATCATTTAATAAATTTGGCATACAATCCTATCCAAATTGTCACAAAGCAGTTCTAATCCGTAGTAAACATGCCAAAAAAACTCAGTCAGAGATCAATTTACTGAAATTATAATGAAAGCTTTATGAAAATGCATGCAGTCGAAGTTTCACAAAAATTTAGGAAAACTGTTTTGCTTGAGATATGTGGAAAGTTTAAGAAGATAAAGATCATAAAAGTTACACTTAAAATTATGCATAAAACCGTGTAGTCCCATAATGAAATACACACTATTTCTGACACGATAATACAGACAGAAGATTCTATGCGTATGCCGAAATATTTGGCCGCGGTTTCATACACAACCAATGGTTCCAGTTCTACTACTTGAACCCTCCTCCACTCATATAATATATAAGGGAAAAACCGAATGAAGAAATAGACACCCTAATTAGAAGCCATTAAAACAACTAATCAAAATAGTTGTTACATTTGTCATTATTGTTGAAAAAAATAAAATTAAGAACTTTAAAGCAGACATTATACACTAATTGTCAAACATTTATTATTGCCAAATAATAAATAAACAACAATTGTGTTTGAGGAAGATGGAATGGTCTGCAAAATCTGCAACGAATGCATATCTTGATACCCTCGAACTGGTATGTCGACAAACGCATCTTTTAATTTAGATTCCATTAATTCTTTAAACTCTAATTTATTATTTGTTTGATTACATGGGTATGGAGATTGGTAAATCCATCATCATGATTAGGTCTCTCAAAAAATTCCCCTCAAAAAAAAAAAAAAAAGAAGAAGAAAAGAAGAAGGAAGAATAAGAAAAATCGTTAACGACGTCGTTACTTTTTTTTCCCCCTGTAATGAACAACATTTAGGAAGGAAGATATATAGGAGAAACTGGAAAAAATTTTGTTGGTTTTCAAGGACCGTAAGACTTATAATATAGGATATGATATCCTTTGTTATTAATGGATTAAGATAAAATGAAACTGATTATATTAATTAAATGTTGTAGTGTAAGAAACAAAAAGAGAATTGCAACCCTTGTGAAAATCACCACAAAGATCTAGAGAGTATTGAATTCATATCAGCATTGGCAGCCGGAATGAGGGCAAAGCTAATGGTTGAAGTCACACCCGAAGTTTCTACCTCAACCGTGGCATTGGCCGCGGCCGCGAGGCAAACCGGCGGCAAATTGGTCTGCATTCTCCCAGAAGACAACAAAGAACAGAAGGAGAAGAAGGAGAAGAATGAATGCCATCAAGTGATTGATGATTCCGGGCTAGGTGACATGGTCGAATTCAGGACCGGGGACCCGGCCCAGGTGTTACCGAGTTATGGAGACATTGATTTCTCTTTAGTGGATTGCAAGAGCAACAATAATGAGGAGGATTATGGTAGGTTGTTAGGGCAGCTAGATGATCATGTGAAAACCCCTAGAAGAAGGTCCATGAATATTGTTGCAAACAATTTTGTGGAAGGGTGTAGTAGGCGAGTTTTATCGGAAGGAGGCCGGATTTTTTCGAGAGGAGGCGTTGTTGTTGGTGATGATGATGATGATGATCAAGAAGGATGTGTGAAGCAATATTCTACAGGGAAAGGTATGAGTAACTATGAGTATTATAACCGTAAAAGAGAGAAGAGGAAAAATGGCGGGATTGCTAAGAGAAAAGATCATGTTAATAATATTAAGAGCACATGGCTTGTCAAGATTGATGAGAAAACTGGTGAGGAACACATTTTCAGGATGATGCCAAAATAGGTGAATTTTTTCAAGGATGGTGATCATCAATAAGTACAAAGATATACATATGAGAGTGATTTTTCTGCATGGGTTTGAGAATCATTAGGGTTTTTAATTCGTACCCCTCATAGAAGAGCTAGTGGAAGTGATGAAGGGAAGGAGAGCAAGTGATGATGATACAAATGCCAAGATTTGAGGAAACAAGAAAGGATCGAGGCAACATGCATGATGAAGCAGTTTTTTTTATTGTTTTATTTATTTTTTTACTCTTCTCCGTGAAATTAAGTTTATTTGCCTTCTGGAAAATTGTGTACCTAATTTTGATTGATGAATTCATAGGGCTATGTTTGAGAGTGAACCCCGCAATGTACATACTACGTACTACTTCATGTCAATTAAGAAAGAGTTTTGTAATTGGACTCTTTTTGTTATTGGTCCCCTTCCGATGAATACCTCTAACAAAATTAACAGGTGTGTTTGACATTGTCTTGCAAATAGCAATTAACGAAAGGGGAAAACCGTGGAAACATTAACCAACAAACCAAGAATGTAATTTATATGTATCTCCTATCTTAAAACACTGCTGCTATATATAGAGGTCTCAAGGAGGATCTTAGTTTTTTTGCTTCACTACTAGTTAATTTTTGTTCATCATTAGTCCTACTTACTGATGTCTAGTTTCTCCATTCTAAGTGGAAACTAATAGTAATCTTACCAATAGTAGTACTGGTCTTCTTGTAAGCTTCTAACTGCTTTAGGAATTCCTCAGAATTTGATGGTTGATGAAGCTGCGGAGGCTGTCCGCCCTTTTTGGAAGTGTCTTGGAACATCTCAATACTCGTCACGTCCCATAACTTATCATGGAGATGATGATCACCAGATATCAGCATTTCATAGATTTGCTTGGGGTATTGATCATAGTCTGACCAATTTTGAAATGTTAGGGTTTGAGGTCGGCAAATCCAAAACACACTACGCAAAACTGCATGAACCGATGATAGAGAAGACCTCCTCTTACTTATGGATTTTTCGTGTATGACAAATTCTCGAATCTCTGGTTTTTCAAAGACAACAGAATCATCTGTCCTAACCTGATCAGCGATATCATCATCCACATTCTTATTATTCCTTGATAATGGCAAATAAAGAGTAACCAAAGTTTGAGACCCTCTGAATGCGGTCAAGAATTTCTTCAGTTCTTCCAACCGTGAAGTAATAATTTTGATGTCATTGCATTCTAATATGATGCGTGAATTCCATGTGCCTTTTCTCGATGAGACACCGCCGCAACCAACATTAAATGACAGCTCCGGAAAACACTTGTTTCTTAAGAACTCGCGGCTTTTGCTATCAATGTAGTTGTCGTATTCAAAAACAGCAATGTTAGGCACATCAAAGCGAGCCTCTTGCAAATTACAGATCCTTAACAGCTTTATTTTCTTCAACGACCGACTTGATATGTTGATTGTTTGGAAGTTTTGGACTCCTTGGATTGACAATTCTTGTAGCTGAGGGAATTTATGTGTCATGCTCATATCAAAACTGTGGCTCATAACTGCACTCCTGTTTTCATGAAGAAACAAGCTTTTGAGATTTTGATATTCAGAGTGCCAAAAAATGATCTTGTTGTAACCATCTCTAGGGTTATGTGAACCAAAAGCCGCGGATTCCAAATTCGGGGATTCATACAGTTCAACAGTTGTGCCCGGAATTAACCTAACACTGAGTTGCTTAAGATTATGAATATTGGTGATCCTAAATGAACTCTTCTGGTAAGGACACCTTAAACCATTCATCTCCATGGTTTCAATCAAAGGGCATCCCTTGACTATATCCTCAAACATCCCTTTCTTATAGAAAGTTACATCTTCAAGAATTAGTCTTTTGAGATTAGGCCACCATGGTGTTATTGAGGTTGATAGTGATTTCTCTTCTTCTTTTCCTAGCCCCTCCAAATAACACCTAGTTAAACTCAACTCCACCAAGAATTCAGCCTGAAAAACTGATGATGGCAAAGCGGCTCCATACACGGATAGATTAAGGATCCTCAAACCCTTTTTAGCGACGGCTAATTCGATACATGGGTTATAAAGATTCTTGAACTGGTGACTGCAGTTAGCCTTCAAAGTGAAGGCCTCCAGATGAATATTTTCCTTGTGGTATGTAACCAAAGTAGAAAACACAAAATCAAGTTCTTGTTTGCACTTTTCTTGCTCCCAATGAGTATCTACTACTAAAGTTTCCAAAGGGGGACGGCTGCGAACCGCAGTTAAGAACTCCTTAGCTAAGACACTTACTTGACTTATAGCTTCTTTGTGTGTGAGGTATGAAAGTATGTGATGAATAATGTCTTCTGGCAGTTCTGATAGGCTTCTTCTTTCTCCCATGGCAGTTTGTTCTGCCGTGCCAATTTAGCTAATTAAAAAGACGAGGAAAAACCTACACCTTAATATGTAGCTTCTTGTTACGGTTGCTTTCTGTATCGTACATGTAAAAGGACTTGGATTCAATTAAGGTTAATTAGGAGACCTATCTCTTTTTTCTTTTCTTTTTTTTTTTTTTGAAAGTCAATTAATCAATGAGACTATACAAATTCCAAAACTGAATTGGTTAAGTTGACAAAATACTGTTAGTGCCTTTTTTATTTTTATTATTATTATTATTATTATTATTTAATTTTATGTTTTGGGGCTGCCTTTTAATTTGCATATAGCAACGAACTGAAAGATTTGATGCTTTCTTTTTAATAATGCATACAAAACTATTGAAGGAAGATGATACTCAAAACTAATTAAAAAACTTGGGGCAAAAGAATAAAAAAAAAGAAAATTTTAGATGATGATACTCTCTATGGTTTAAAATTAATGATGAGACTCATTGTTTTTAGTTGAACCCAAAAAAAAAAAAAAAAACTTCTCTAAAAGATCATCTCTATTTAAATCTTGCATTTAGTTATGAATATTCTTATAGTCGAGCGCAAGTGAACATTTATCTTTTTATCCTAAAATTACTGTCCAATTTAAATTTTCAATTTTAATAAGAAAGAGTATTATCGAAGATGTTACTGGGCATTTTTTGAGCACTCCAACAAACTCCCAAAATTACTTGCTGTGCGAAATCTCACTTTGCTCCGTTCTTCAAAAAAAAAAAAAAAAAAAAAAACAGATACATTATCATTATTAATTTAATTGATTGAGATCGATATAAATATATCAATCAATCGTTTGATTTATTTATTTTTTTATTAACGATGTAAAATCGTAATTGCAAATATTTTGAATTTCTGAAACTGAATGAGAGAATAATTAATTAAGATGCTCCAAATTCCGGTGACAACAAAATTATCATTTTTGTTCTCAGTAGGAACAGAAAAGACAGTCTAACCTTAAAGCTCTCAAGTTAGACCCAATTTCACGCAATAACTGAACTGAATACAAAATGTAAGTTGTAAGCCTGCACTTCAATCACTCCAAAATTCAATTCATTTCTCGAGATCTTTTTAGTTAGTTGAAGCCTTTGGCGGAGAAAGGAAATCAGGACCGCCACCCGCCACCTTCAACCACCACCCCTTTTTTCCCTACCATAGCTAACCATCCACGACGTCTCACCTTCAACAACAGCTATAGTATCCTAATTCCAAATCCTTGATTTCCAAAATCACTACCCTTTTTTCTTTTCATCACATTGTAAATTTTCAAACATCATCAGTTCATCATGGATGGAAGCTCAAAGCACATCTCGTCACTAAGAAAATTGTTCACGTTTGCTTTTCTACTCATCATAATCATCACATTGGATTATAATCAAAAAACAAAAGTTAGTGCGAATGATGTTGATGATGCAGTTGTATGTAGCACCGATCTCTCTTCATTCCTTCCACTTCCATACAGCAATCTACCCAATATGGTCTGCAAACGTCTTTGGAATTCATTCGTGATCAGAGTAAGTTCTACTTTACTTTTATCTATATTTTTCCATCTTCATGTTCTTCTTCCTAGGAGGATTAATGTGTGCATGGCCATATATACCAAATTAAACTGCCTGGTTTCGCTTCTCTGAGGATTAAAAGTCACATGGTTAATTCAATAAACTAGATTCATGAGAGATACACTTTCAGTTAACTGAAAGGTGTACAAATGGTCTTAGTATTATAAATTGGACTTCATAATCCCAATATTCCTCTCTTTTTTTATTAAAAAAAAAATCTATTTTCTACTTTTCTCCACTAAATAATGCAAAGTTGTAGATAAATTATATTGTAGGCCGAATCTCTTCAATTTCCATTTCTTTTGGTTAGCAACAATTGTACATTTTGATCCCATTTTGAGTTACGAGTTAAAAAGGGAAACTTGACAAAAGCCAACGAAAATATTGAAAAATGGTGACATCCCTAATTTGGCTGATTGAGTTGATTACTTTGGTTATGTTTTCAACAATGCAGTACTCAAAGACAGAAGATCACTTGATCACCGTACTGCTGTCAGCCACATACACTACCGGATGGGTCGGAATCGGGTTTTCTTCCAACGGGATGATGCTGAATTCTAGCTGTATGGTGGGATGGATTAATATAGAAGGGAGAGCAAGAATCAAGCAGTATTATGTAGAGGGTTTCACACCTTCAGCTATCAAACCAGATAAAGGAGAACTGCCTCTAACTAGTGTACCACCCTATGTTGCACTCCATGGAGCAACCATTTATTTGGCGTTCCAGTTGAAGTATGCATCTCACCATGATCTTCCTAAAAGGCAACCAATCTTACTAGCTTATTCTACTGCCTATCCATTGCATCACCATCTTACCATCCATGATGACAAAACGGCCCTTGTTTTCGACTTTTCTTCTTCTTCAGGTTGGTACCAGTAACTAAGGTTATCAAAACTCGAAGTCTCATAAAAACTGAATTTTAACATGAAATAGTTCTTAATCTTGCTGTGTTTCAGGTAATACGGGTTCCCTCTCATCAGGAGGGATTGCCGCATCTTTTTACAGGACTGAAGACATGAAGAAAGCGCATGGTGTATTAAGTTTATTGGGGTGGGGATTGTTTCTTCCTATAGGAGTAATCTGTGGCAGATACCTGAGGCATAGGGAACCCTTATGGTACTATGTTCATGTAGTGATTGAGTTCATAGGATTTATACTAGGAGTTGCTGCAGCAGTCATTGGAATTTCCCTCAACAACAAGCTGCACGTCCATGTTGTTGGACACAAAACCATAGGAGTTTTTGTGCTGGTACTCAGCATACTTCAGGTTTGCCACTGAAACTGACATTTCAAATTGAAATATGCTATTATAAGCATTGGACTCCCTGAAAATCTGATTCAATGACTGACCTGTGAGGTTTATATACTTTAGGTTATCGCATTCTTTGCAAGACCGAGTAAGGACAGCAAAAAACGCCGATACTGGAACTGGTACCACCATTGGACAGGAAGGCTTGTCATATTTCTAGCTGTCACAAATGTGTTTCTGGGGATTCATGTGGGCGATGCAGGACCAGCATGGAAGATAGCTTATGGGATCCTTCTTGGCCTCGGCTTGATTTCCTGCATAATTCTGGAAGCATTGACAAGAATGAAAAGATTCGACCAACCTGAATTCCCTCATCCAACTTTTCAAATGAATAGTATGTAGCAGACGGTATGATAGAAATTCAGATTTTGAAGAAAAGAAAAGTTTTGCATCTCTGTAACATATATGTTGAATGATGAGCATGCTTCGATTAAGTATGTTTGTCATATGGAACGGCAATTAGAATACAAGAAATTCAAATGTCTATGTTAGTATCTAATCAAGTTTGTCTACAAAAAAGAAATAGGAAAAATGCTATAACTAACAACGAATTCCATCTTGATCTATCCTTTGGCTAATTCTTACTCAAGAAGGGGTCAGTCAACTGACCTATACAATTGAATGGGGATAATAATTGAAGCAAAAATATCCAAAAAAGAAAAAAGAAAAGAAGCTGATGCCCTTGATATCTCAAAAAACTTGGACCTGGAAAAAAGGACTCTGCGGTGGTTCCATTATGCAATTCAAAACATCAAAACTGCCAGCATATGCTGACCAAAAACGAGAAAGACTAAGGTCGGAAAAGACCAGCTAAGCTCCAAAATTGAATCTGCAGGACGAATCTGGAAAAAGAAGAAAAGAGAAGGAATTAGCAGACGAAGAAAATCATTGACTCAAATTTTCAAAAAAAATAAATACCAAACTTAAAGTATTTGAAAGATTGAACAAGGGTCGTTCATTCCACAGAGAACTACAAAGTATAGCAGTCAAAACTTGAACTAACCTGCTGCATTTTAGGATGGGAACTTAATCTGTTGAAGCCAGATACTTTGATGTTCATCCACTTCTTCTTGACTACCATGATAATCGTATACAAAAGCTCAAGGAAAGATTTAGGTTTCAGTTGCTGTTGTAGTAGTATCATCTGAAGCAAATCTCACCGATTTTGGAACTTCAGTTTCCCTGATAACTCTGCTATACACAACTTTGAAAGGTTGTGAACTATAAGGTTTCTTGAGCAAACTGATTGGCATTCTGAGAGTCTGCTTTCTATTCCTTCTACCCCTTATCAGAATATTAAATGTTTTCTCATTATCATCCTTTTGCACCTGTCTACGTGATTCTTGTTGACTGCCTGCCGATTGGTTCCCAGGAAATGGAACACTTGATACGTTTGAGGTGATTTCACTGAAGGTCTCAACTGCCTCAGATGCCGGTAATCTTAATTCTTTTTTATCCTCATCACCGGAATTGAGATCCACTGGCAATTCTGATCCCAAACTCAGACCCTCAGAATTATCTGGCTCCTTCTTTGGTTCGACTGTTGAATCAGTTAATGGCTCAACTATGGGTTGTGAAACGGTAAATTCTACTGGGTGGCAGCCAGGCCAAACAGGTCCATGAATGTAATCTGATGCACTCGGGCTCAGACTGCGCTGCCATGCAAAATGGCTGGGATGATATGGGCCACTGGTCATAGGGAAGGAGGTCGGTGGCAATGATGGAGCTTGAGTGTATGGAGGGTACATAAATGGCAATGGGTGCATCATGTTGGGCGTTGGGGGAGGCGATGGGTAAGGATGGTGAGGAGACGAGCCAATTGGACTATGCAAGACAGTTCCGGGCCCTGGATGAAGAGGGACGTTCATTGGCCAAGGGCAAACAGCTCCTGGACCAGAAGGGAGGTTAATATTCATAGCCGGCAATGGTGCAATGCGTGCAACAGCAGGGGAGGGATTGAACGGAGCAGCTGAAGCAGACAACTTCTTAATAGACAAATCTCGACTGTCAGTAGAACCAGAGACTGTAGGTTGCACACGTTGATCATCAGCCCCATGCAAGGTGGAGATCATACTATTTCCCACGCCAAATGGTTGTTGTGTGTCCTCAAACTGATTTACTTCAGTGGAATTAACGAAATGTGACCTGACATCAGTCTGCAGTGAACTTTCTTCTTCCATTTGATCAACATTAAGAACGCCGGATTGCTCTGTTTTCACGTCTGCAGGCTCAGTTTCAGAATCTTTATTATCTATTAGATCATTGGGAAGAGTTGTATCGTCCTCCATACTGGCTGCTACTGTATCATCTTTTAAATCGTACTCTACATCCACAGGATTATTTTGTGTATCATTCTCTATTCTGGTCATACTATCTTTCTCCCCACTTTCCTGAGCAGCTTCATCATCATTTGAAGGCTCATTCTGGAAAACTTTAGCCTGCAATGAAGGTATACTACCTGGTGGAGCCAATGCCACTTCCTTGTAAGAAGGAGATCTACCCAGGTTTACTATCGAACTTTTCCTAGGTATTAGTCCAACCTCGGTTGGCATAGAAACAAATCCATGATCTGGAGTTGGCGTGGATGATTCGCCTCCACTAACGTTATCCTTGGCAGATGAAGGGACAGATTTAACCCTGTATGCTACAGATCTGACAACCCTCCTCCCGAATTTATTGCTTGGCTGGCTCTTTGCTACATAATAATCTGCATAACTTCCTGGAGACGTTCCGCGCCTCTTGACAAGGTAATATCTACTGCCTTGAAAGTTGTTCTTAAGTCTATTGTGCTCCACTTCAGAAACATCGTCTTTTCTTGAATAACCAAACACTTTGGTTGGCCTTCGCTGCCTCAATCTACGCCCATATGAACCTGCTGATCTGGGCCGTTGAACAGGCTGCCATCCATCATCGCCTTCAGCGGGTATTTCAGAAGAGACAATTCCAGAAGCAGCATCAGCAACGAGAAGATTCTTGCTTTCTGTTTCAGATCCTCTTGATTCAGGTCTTGTCCCATCATTAGATACATCGTCCACATTTTGCTTGGTATCAACTGGGTGAGTGGATGATGATTCAGAATTTGCTTCGGGAGCACTTTCGGTATCATTAACTTCTCTGTCTTCCTCATCTGATGCTTCTTTCTGATCTCCTTTATGAGTCACCTCAGCTGTAGATAACGCCATATCGGTCTGGAAAGATTTTCCCCTCATCTGGAAAAAACGTGATGAAGAAGATCTATAGTCATTTTCTCCAACACGTATAAAATAAAAAAGATAGGTCTTCCATGAGATGTACCTTTGTAAGATACTTTTTCTTCTTTGCTCCCACATCATCTTTCCCGCTACCGGCGTGGCTTGGATTAATGTAGTCAAGCAAATCTGAGACACTGTAAAGTACAAGTTTGAGAAGCTTCAATTAGCCAAATGACCTCCATAACCACTCAGATAACTTGCTGCATCATAGAGAGGTGACAAACAATAAACTGTTTCTCCCTCATGACAGTTCTAATCATTTTGAAAACTGTAGTTTCTTCCAGAATTTGAATCATTATCGGAAAGATGTCAATTGACAAAATGACTGCAAATCTTGGATTTCAATCAAATTATGGTAAGTATAAATGCCATCAGATTCTAGCCAATCCAGTTCGGGTGGCAAAAGCTAGGCAGGAAGTATCAAGTATATAGTGACACAGGATTCCAAGAATCTCAGTTAAATGCCTAGGGAAACTAGGGATGCAATTGACACAGAAAATCAGCAATACTTGAAAGATGATAACAGTAGCCCAAATTGATTCTAATGTTCAACAAAATGATGAATCACCATCACTTATCAAATGCAGTTGTTCAATTGTTCACCTGAGGTGCCCCTTGCTGGCAATCGATGCATCGGGTTTACGGGTACCATTTCTAGCAGCTTCTTGTTGCTCAAAAGCCTTAGATTCAAAGTACTCAAGCCATGCAGCAGCATCCTGAAGAATTAGGTTCACAAGACTCAGACTGAGAAAAGTTCAAAACAACAATGTACATTTTTCAAGGCTAATAACTGCTAGATTAGAAAGTCATATAACTTGTTTTGGACATAAACGATTACTCTTCTCAAAGTTTGGCATGGGAATGATAATTGTCAATATTAATATACATATACACTCAACAACAGCATTAAATAACTATTTGCTATTGCTCTAGGTTTGATGCAAACATTGTTACAAAAAAATACAAGGAACAAAAGATGTACTATGATCCTCAAAAGTAGTCATTTTATCCAAAGGTAAAAGGGTAGAGGAGCTGAATTACCTGTGTGCGTAGGTCATCTGGACCCAGCTTTGCACGTAGAATTTGCAAGGTTGTTTGTTCATGTTGCACACTCAAAGGATATGCTTCCATCAAAGAAAGTGCAATTGCAATGGCATGATAACTTGCTGCTGTCTGTACAGCATAAGAAATTTGCATAGCTAAATTAGCTGAGATGGCCTAAATTTGATATAGGCATGCATATACTATCAGCATATTACAAAGAATTCCTAATTAACATCAACTTTGAATATTGATTATGATAAGCCAAATGAACCAAAGGAAAAATCTATTTTCGCTAGATAACTAAGCAAAACAGAAGTTCTCTGCAAAGTGCAAACTAAAAAACTGAAATTAAATCATGAGCCTTGCAACAGCACATCAATTAAGCAACTGAAGTACAAAATCACCTGAATGTGGTCTGGACCAAGTAGCCTCTGGTTGCACTTTAGTGCTTTGTGGAGATACCTGAGTGCAACATGGACATTGCCCAGTCCTTCCTCCATCATTGCAACATTTATGTATGTTGCAGCAGTATTTGGATGGGATGGACCACAAGTGAGATGTAATAAATACAGAGCTCTCTTGACATACCTACGCAACAAAAAGATGGGATGGACCATAGGTGAGATGTAATACATATAGAGCTCTCTTAACATAACTACACCATAAAAAGTTGTCTTTCAAATGTCATTTTCACCCTTCAACAATTTAATAGGTAAAAACCATCCATGTTTCCTCAGACCATTGAATCTCATTTCTGATGAATTTGTTTGGTGTTGCCCATCAACAAAGTTGACTTCTGTATGAATAGTCATCCAATCAACCACCAGTACTAGTAGACTGATGACCAAAAGGTGAGGAGAGTAAAGTCGACAAATTTTACAGGAGCACAGGCTACTAGATGTTTATTTCATATTTCTACAACCCTCACTGGATGAGAACTAAAATGTTAGGTAGCATTATTAAGATGTAATCAGCTGATTATATGATTGTATGGTAATTCCACTTCAGGAGGAGAAAGATAGTGCTGATGACTGTCATTTCTGCTAGATCACAAATGATTTAGCATGACCTAAAGGAGGAGGAACATGAGACATTGCAGCTCAAATGCAGATATCCATAAAATCAACCAACACATAACCATGTCAATAATCAAAATGCTTAAAGAAAAAGTCGAATAAGAATATCCAAAGGCTGCTTCTAATATGAAACACACCAACAATACCGCAGAAAATGACATACTTGAGAGCCAGCTCTGTGTGTTGAAGTCGATAATAGAACACAGCAAGATCTCCATAGCTTTTCATGGTATCTGGATGATCAAGTCCTAGTTCTCGTTCATTAATATCCAGGGCCTTTTGCTGATAGATGGTCGCCTGTTTAGAGTATAACAGTTAGGTTAGGGGAAAAGGTGAAATCAATGCTGTAGAAAAAGAAATAGAAATTTCTTGGGTAGGTGTTAAATGTGATCATGGAAATCTGGGCTTCCAAACTTAATCTAATTCCAAAACATGATAAAAAAAAAAAAAGAGAAAGGACCTGATTGAAATCTCCAGTGTGATACAGAACTACCGCAAGAAGACTGTAAGCCCCTGCGGTCATACGATGATAGGGACCACATACTGCTACCAGCTTTGCCAGTGCCTGAGGAAACAAATCAATTTCAGCAACTTTATCTATTAATTCTACAAAAGAAACAACATTTAGAGCACAAAATTGATAGAGAACTAGGGATGATATATCACAATCACATTACATGACAGTAATTCAGAATTCTACATGCGAGACCAAATGAAGGTTACTTTTTTGTTTTGGTAAACCCAAATGAAGAATATTCCTTAATTCGCACTGCTTTCTTGCGATAAGAAACTTTACCTTGGTCCCGTAGCTCACAGCATCCTCAAGTTTTCCCTTATCAAGAGCTGTTTTTGATGATTCAAGAAGTTGTCGTCCATCGGCAGAAGAGCATGCAGCTTGCTGCACGGAAACATAGACTCATTTACATTTTAACAAGAAATCAAGCCAACTGAAGCAGTATTCAATGATGCGAGAATCTTTATCACCTTGTGCACCGGAACAAGGCTCACAATGTCTACTTTCCGGAAAGGATTTGGAGAGTTCATATCAAAGTCTCTTGGAACAAGCTCAATACCCACCTGAGCCAAAAGAGAAAAGAAAACGATGGGTTACCATCCTTCTGAATGCAAAACTTTAATTAGACAGTTTCACATTTCTAAAGAATATCCAATTCTATTCAATTCCATTCTAAAACCAAAGTTTGATAGAAAATATAAACATCCTTTGTGTTTCTAGAGATATAAGTAAACCGATTACATCAACAATTCCACGTGAAAATCAGATGCATTGCAAAACTATAGGTATCTAATTATCTACAGAGAGAAAGTTTCAACTTTTACTCCATCCAACAGATGTCTTTACCCAAGCATTACTATTAACAAATGAATGTCTGTGCTTGTAATACACAACCACATCTTATAACATGGGGAAACAAATCAACCAAATGCAGCAATACAGAGTAAAAGATGTGAAAAGCATATTACAAAATAACAAACAAACAGTTACAACTTTCATGATAGAAATTACCTTGTGGCATAAACCACGAAGAATCGCAAATTTTCTGACATCTTTGTAGTTTGAGCTGGTAAGGTCCCAGTCAAACCTCTTCTTCAGAAAAACTTCCAACCATCTCCATACTAGGTCATGCACACCACAAAAGTCATTTGATTTGGTGTTTTCTGGTACACCAAGCATCATATTTAATGCAGCAGCAATAGCAGCAGACATGTTGGTAGTCTCAACAACAGCAGCAATGACTGCCTGTAAAATATGCTTGAACGCCCGTGTAATCATTTCATGTATACAGAGAGATTGCACATGGGATAATTTTTCTGAAAGCTTAACCTGCCAAACAAAAGAAATAACAAGCATGGCTTAACATGGATGTCTTCACTACCAAAACTCACTTATATTACATAATGATTAGATAAGAAAACCCATTTTTTTGTAAACTTCAGGTTATAGATACTTCAACGAATTGTGAGGTCAAGAATATTATAAACAGATTTTCGTAAACAGACTTTTGAAAATATGGACAATCTCAAATAAACATCAGTTAAGGAGCACAAGAATATCATAAAGCACTGAATTTGTCTCCTAATACAATTGCAAACTAGAATGTAAGATGCAGACCACTCAGAAGTCAGTTCCAACAACCAAAACTGTTTTCTGTTGAGCATAAAATTAAATTAATTGTCCTTGATATGGATGATAAAGTTCCGACAGAATACTTTAACTGAGCCGGTCATTTCAGGGGTGGTTAAAGGGAAATAAACTACAACTCAATGATGGTAGGAAGAAAGGATCTGCTTATTTTTATCATATCATGTCTGAAAACAATTACTGCAACATAGGAAACCAAGATAAGTATAAAATCACTTACAACTTGTCCAAGGGAGCGCATCCTAAGGCCTCTGGTATGCATGAAATCAGTCAAAGTCCGACCATCAACTGGTGAGAGTTCTAAAGATCCAAAATCGGCAACCTGCAAATTTATGAAATGTTAATAGGCATAAATTGATTTCATAAAACTTGAGGCATAACAGCTAAGAAATAATATGTTTTGTACCAGCTTAGGAAGAGCAACTTCAGAGTAATATTTCTCCGATAAGCCAATCAGCTCATCAATTGACTGCAAATGAGAATAAAATTAGTACAAGTGTGGCATGCATGAATCTTAATCCACCAACGAAAAGATGCCTACCTTACTATGAAGCCCAGTCTCAGAATCCTTTAACCTAGAGAAAGCTGACTCCGATAATACGGTTTTCAACATAAGCTCATTTTCGTTGGCTTCTTTATTAGACTGCGATTCTGTCAATGACATTGTCTTTTCCGATTCCGCAGCACTGTCCTCTCCAACAGACATGACTTTTTCAGATTGTGTTTCCAAATTGATTCCATCAGAATTTTTCTTTTTCTTAAGAGATTTTAGATTTACTCCAAGTCCCTCAACCTTCATTTCATTCTTCGCCTTTTCGCCGGATGGTTTCTTTTCTTTCTCTGTTTTCTTCTGATCCTGCAAGTGCTGTATCCAGCAAGCTCCAAGTTCCCATCTGATGTAGGTTTCCTTTTCCACTTCTTCTTCCTGAAGCTTTACGAGACTCTCTTCCAGAAGTCTCTCAACAAAAGCTTGAGAAGAACTAAGATTTTCATTTTCTGAACTATGAGAACCTGATATATTCTTATTTTGCTCCAAAGCTGCCTTGTCGTGGAGGAGAAATCGCAAACTGCAGAAAGGTTTTTCTTGCATTAGCTATTTTCTACCAGCAACATACAGAATAAAAGCAAATTCGTATCATGACAAAACCAATCAATGCATTATGACAAGGAGAAAAAACAGACAATTTTTTTACTAATATGCTCAAATCAAAAAATGACTTAAATAAGAAAGACACCAAGATTTCTTCAACAAGTGATGAACAGTAATTTAAGTTCACAGGTGCATCTCAAACACAAATCTTGGCAAGTGGTTCTATCCAAATAAGTTAATCTTCATAATTTCTTGGGTGAAATTTTAGTTTAGTTCATTGCAATGAGTCCCTTAATGCATATGAAAAATTTAACAAAATTCTCTGTCAACAGAAAATATAACAGCCAAAACATAAACATCAAGAGCCATTAACAGTGCTTTTTGGAAAAGAAGTTTCCATATGTTTCAGTGGCAAACCTGTTGATGTTGAGAGCATTAGCCCCACCTTCAGGCTGATCAAGAAGTTCAATTTTTTGAACTGGTGGACCAACCTTACTATCTGTAGCCCCACGTACTTTTACAGTTGCGATATAACCACAATACTTTACGTTGACAACACCTAGAGTGGCAATGTCCTGCAAACAACATCATGACAAATTTAGTCAACTGCATAGGAGCCATTCATACCAAATGATTTCTTCATTCTCTTACATGGGCAGCTGTATTTTCATCTGCTGTTATTCCCTTCAGCAGGTTTCTTTCAACTAACTTCTGCGAAGATACATCAGTGGCCTCAGTTCCATCAATTTTCGTATCTATTTTGCAACTAGCATGGGAAGAATCTCGAATGACCGATATGCATAAATCCCCTATTCTCTCTGTGTGTGGAATGTCAATGTTTGGAGAAGAATGAGCCACTTCTAGTCTGTGCATTACATGTTGTATGGTGGAAATTGCTCTAAAAATGGCAACATCCACAAACAAACTATGAAGAAGAAAAGCTTTTCTATCTCGAATCTGCCTTTCCTCTGCTGTCTTACATGGCATCGAAGCAAGAAACAAAAATTCATCAGCATACGGTAGCAAATCACAGTTGCCATCTCTACCTAGACCTCCTCCATTTCCTCCCCACTTTTCATCCTCAACAGGAAGTGGTGGAAAAACAGATGGTGACAGTGCAGCTACAGGGGGAATAAGCCATGTGTTGGCTCTGAAGCCATAGGGAAGATTTCCAAACTGCCACAACACAAAATAGCAGTATTATATTAGGTGGCAAAGTTATCCTGGAAATATATGATCAAGCATATACAAGGCTTCAAGGCAAAGAAAACATAGACAGACAATGTACCTTGTTTCTCTCAGAAAATGCTTTTATTAGATCACCATAGGCCTGCAAACCAAAAAACAATGACAAGATCTCAATAATACCATTATTAAATGAGAACAACTACCAAGATTTTCACATGCACAGAACCAGCCATTATCATGTACTATTCAAATTTGAATAGAAGTAATAAACTAACATTGTCGAAAGCTCTACTAAGTTGCCTTAGCAAATCAACAAGGTTGTGACAGAGAATCTGCTGCTTCCCCTTGCTACAGAACCCCTTTCTCAGAGCTTCCACTATAATCAGCTTCCCATTGCAGAGCTTTACCTGTTTTTTTCCCATTACCAAAAAGCATGTCAAATTAACAACTGAAACCATTCTATTCACGAATCATCAATATATAAAATTCATGATCAGATAGCCAGAATAGTCCCTTGTATTTCTCAAAAATGACATTAGTAGACTTGTAGTCCTTAGATGCCAAATAAAGAAAAAACAGAGCTCTCACATCCACAAAAAAGGGGATTATTTCGGTTAATTGATCCCTTAGGGGTCAAATTCCCAAGTACAGAATTCATGTAAGCAATACATTTCTCTTCAATTTGTCAACAGCATCTCTAATTTTGTCCTCCAAATATAAAATAGAGCTTGCATCCTTATGCGGATTTAGTCATGGAATTTTGATCAAAAGTCATGTGCAATTGAAAGGACCATTTTCCTCATATAATATGTAAGGGATCAAAAAAAAAAATCAGTAATATAGCAACTTCATCTAAATTCATTAGACACGAGCCTTACTTCAAGAGAGAAAATGAAATCGTTTCCTGAATTAGCATCATCGTTATCCACCTGTCTTGTTCCTTTCCGAATAACTGCCATGAAAAAACCAACAACTAACTCAGTCAGTTACATGCGCTTGAATAGAAATTGAAAGGGTAAAGGGAGCTCAATCGGAGGCTTACATTGAAGAGGGGGCGTGAGATGAGAAAGAGAGAAGAACTCGTAAAAGCTGCCAAGCTTAGGGCAAGAGCTGTTGGTTTCCCCTTCAATGTCGATCGCGCCGCTATCTTTGGACGCCGGCGAAGTAGGAGAAGCCGCCGGCCCCTGCGCCGGAGTCGGGGTTGGCGGTGGCGAAGAAGACTGCTGTTTGCCGTTTCCCCGAGACTTGCTTGATTTCTTCGACGACTTGGAGTCCCGAGCATTTTTCTCGCCTTTCGTCGTCGTGTCCTTGGAGGCGGACGGCGCCGCCGCCGTGGACGACGGCCCGAAACACGAGGTACATGCAACAACGTCCAGTAGCCTTCTCACGTGCGACGTGGCGCGCTGGTCATCGTAATCCTCTGTAGGAAAAAAATACTTTTCAAATTTAGCTGATTCAATAAGTTTTACGACGACGTTCAGCAATTGGGCTGGGCTGTTCACCTTCTACAAGCGTGATAACACAAGGCTTTAATGCGGAAACGTCTACGGTGTCTTTCAACTGTGGGCCTCTCACCTGTAAAAAAATGCCCAATTGAAATCCAAATTTATTGAAATTTTCTTGCAATAGTTAGCATGATTAAAATAAAAACAATAATAATTCTCTTTCCATGTTAAAAATTTTGGGATTTACCTCATGGGACAGTGAAAAATTGGTAAAATGGCAAGTAAGGGTGTTGACGGAGAGCAATCGGCGAACATCTATAATCCTATCCGTTGAAATTCCCTGTAAACAAAAATAATTATTAGAAATTTATACTCCATTGGGTCGAAAATAAATCACATCAACCGCAACTAGTAAAATGTATGTAAGAATATGAAAATAGCGGGGAATAATATGTGCATGTAAATTTTTGTTTCTAGGACAGAAAAAATTGTTGAGAGTAAAAATTGTGATTGAGATTTTGTCAAAGTTCTAAACCTCAAATTGCAAGTAAATAATAATAACTATTATAATGTTCCATCAGTCCATAATAATTACGTGAACTAGTTTTCAGAAATGGACTATTTTTGAAATAACATATAGCAAAATGCATTGATAAAAATGAATAGTCCACATTTGGCGCGTTTTGCATTGTGGTTAAAATAGCAGTCTAATTACGCAACCTTTCACCATCGCTCAATTCATAGTGGGGATTGAAAGTCCATTAGTCAAATACTTCTTTTTTTGCGGTTTTTTTATTGGTGTTTTGACTAATAAAATAATAAAAAAATACACTAAAATGATTCTTTCCGACTTTAAAAAAAAAAAATTGTTTATTTTCGTGTTATTTTTAAATCAAATAAAATGGGCATTTTACTTTAATGAGAAGATGGACGGCCTACACAAAGAAGAGGAAGAAGAAGAAGGGAAAAAAAAAACAATAATATACGAAAAATGAGATTGTAAGCCACGCATGCACCACACATGAGCTGTGCACACAAGTAGGTTTTTTTTTTTTTTTTAATAAGATTTGATTTCCTCGTCAATTATTGGCTTCATTTTAATATTATTCGACATTATAACATTTATTTTAATTTTCTCTCGTTTTCTACTTTTTTTTTTCTTTTTTTGTGGTGGAAGTTGTTTGGGTTGGGTGTTAGTTATGTTTGGTAATGGAAGAGGAATTTGGGAAATGGGGAACTTTGGTAGGTGAGAAAGACACCAAAAAAAAACTGTGAAAATTTTGAAAACGCAAGTGCAAATTATACTCCTTTAAGTCACAAAATGATTATTTTTTATTAGTTTATAAAAAACAATAATAAGTAGTATAAAATTTTGATAATTATTTAGGAATGAGAGACGATATGTAGTTAATAATTAGCGTTTCAAAATATCATCATTACTATTCACTCTACTATCATTTGGCTCAAATTAGTTCAAAGTTCGAACTCTGAAGGAAAAGAAGAAGAGGGGGGAACCCAAAAGGGAAATGTAATTTATGTAAGCGTCTACATATAGAAACACAAATCTATAAGATTTTAGACCAACCAAGCTAATTAAAAACTCATCATTAGCATGCAATTATTCCCTCCGTTCCAAAATTATTGTCCAATTTGAATTTTCAGTTTTAGTTCAGAACTAAAATTAAAAATTCAAATTGGACAATAATTTTGGAACAGAGGGAGTACCATATAATTCACGCGTAGATTGAACTAAGTTAGTTAATTAATAATTACATGATAACTAATTAATGAACCACGTAAATGAATTAACTAACTAAACAAACCTTGAGAACAACATGAGTCTCATCTGGAAGGTTCACTCTTATGTCCATTACAACAGGAAGAACTGCAACAAATACAGAACCAAAACCAGAACAACTTATACATTAACATTAGAATGAAACACTGTTCCATCCCAAAAAAAAAAATAAAAAAATAAAAAAAATCAATGAGAATGAACAACATTATCTATAAATTAATTCCAAATTTTGCGATAATTAACAAGATATATTATACCCTTCTCTTCCTTCTTCTTCTTGTCACCTTTAGTCTTGCCACGACCATTCTTCGGTGCCATTTTTCCTCTCACCACTCTTTATCTGTCTGTCTATATGTATGTGAGACTGTGTAATTGTGTATCCAAAAATGGCCTGCCGGAAAAAAGCTTACACTTAGTGTTACAAATTATCAAATTATTAGCCCAAAAAAAAAAAGAAAAATGAAGAAGAAGCAGAAATTTTAGGTAGTCATTAACTAGATAAGCTACTAGAAATAACCAATGAATTATTACCTCAAAGTAAAGATATATGATTGAGTACTGATTAATACTCAACAACAATAACAACAACAAAAAGAAAAAAAAAAGTGTGAAAAATTGAAATGAAAATGAAAAGGGGGGGTGATAGAGAGAGTTCTTTTAATGCAGCTGCAGCAACATTTAATATGTCCCTCAAACCCAAAAAATGGATATCGGCATCAAAGATTGAAGAATAAGAAGTTTAATTTATATCTATGAAGAAGTTATACTAAATATGTTTATTGTGTCTGTGTATGTGTGTGTGTGTGTGTATTAAGTTTAGGATAAAATGGAAGAAGAAGAAGAAGAATAGCAGAAAGAAGAAGAAATGGGGAGAAGGAGATGATAGAGAAGGAGGGAGAGGGGGAATTATGGGTGGTGGGGTGATAAGGTAGGAAGGGTGGAGATTTAAGAGTCAGAATTCAGATTATGGCATTTTATGGCAGTTTTCTGCTCCCCTCCTCTTCCTCTACTCTCTATCCCAAACCTGTCTCATTTTAATTTATTTTTTTGTTACATTTATCATCTTTGCATACATTCATTTATACTTTTTTTGTTTACCAAATATGAAAAAAAATCTCCCAGATATTTATTATTAATCCCCTTTACCCCTCTCTCAAAAATTAAAAGAGAAAAAAAAAAAAACTTAGCTCCAAGATATTTATTAGATACTCCGCAACTTCATCTAGATTCTATAGTACTTGAAGTGTTGTGTTTTCAAAAACCAGTTTTTCTTTTTGGGTTGTTTATGACGACAAATGATAAATGTTTTAATTTAAATTATTATTTTGTTCATGTGTGTTTTTCGTTATTTTGGAGCGTTGAAACTAATTTTCATTCGAGTTAGATAAATTTGTGTGGGACAATCACACTAACAAAGAAAGGAGACACTAATTAACACACACGTACGTATATCTTTTTACGGCCAAAATAAATCAACGTAATTTAGATGGCAAAAAAAATTCATTATTAACAATTTTTAATACCGCTAAAATTCATCTAGAGCTGAAGAACAAAAATTTTGGTGATAAGAAGGGGCGGGTCCCAAGTTGCACCTCCCTTTTGGTCCCCCTGGACAAGTATATATACATGGAGGGACCACTTTTTTTATGAGCTTATTTTCAAATATAAATTATCACTACTACTTTGTAGTATATTAAATTAATCAATTAATAGTAATAGGTTATAAATATGAATTTCTATTGGCTGTTAATTTCTAATCATTAAAATATTCCACAAATTGTCATAGAACCTTTTGTTTTGTTTCCCATCAACGGTTGCTGTCTTTACAGCGCGAGCTTAATCAAGCTTCGCAAGTATATATATGTATATATATAGATATATATATATTTATTTATTACCGGAATTATTATTATTAATAATATTTTTCTAGGTTTTGCTCATCATTTCAGCTGAATACGTCTTCTGTTTTTTTCTCTGGGGGAATCTCGACAGTGTGAATGAGTATAACGCAAACAACTCTCTTATCTTCTTCTAATTTTGTACTCTTTCTCTGCTATCCGATTCAAGAATCAAAACCACCATTTTTTTAAACATTCATAGTATCAAGTTTTCTTAATAATATACAGCAATTCAACATGACCCATTTGATGACAACAAAAGATCTTCAATTACAGTTATTACAAGTATCATAACCTAATTATACAAGTCCATACACATTACGCTAATCTTTTGTGGTTTTGACTAAAAAACTACGTATATACCCAGATGAGAGAAAAAAAAAAAGCATATTTCTATTTTTATCCATGCTAAAAGAAATTGATGACGCTGTTGACAAGCTCATGTAGTGATGTGTTGGGAGACTTTGTTGAGTCATAAGAGAAATGACTTTAACCAAAACAGAATTCATTATCATGTATTATAGGTCGCTTTTTTAAAGAAAATAAATACTACTCCCTCTGTCTCAAAATTATTGTCCAGTTTGAGATTTCACTTTTAGTATAATTTGAACTAAAAATGAAAATCCAAACTGGACAATAATTATGGGATGGAGGGAGTATTTGAAATAACCAATTTTTATTTTATTTTTTTCAAATGGATAGAATATCATTTTGTAGAGGGATGCTAGAAGCAGTTCAAAAAGAAATCACTTGAATTTTATCTTAAATATACACAATCAGAACGTAATAATCTATAAATACCACTTTGCTGGATGTGGCACAAAACTTGCTAATGAAGTATCACCATCGTAGCTAGGGTTTTATAATGAAGACTAGTGCATCTTTAATTTGATAATTAAAAGAAAATATGTAGACGTCGAAAATGATGAAAAAGACCAAGCATGGTTGGATACGCAATGGTAAACTGTGCCCTTCCTTCATTAACCCTTTGCCAATACGCAATTGTTACATGTACGTAAGAGTTACTTCGTAGTTCTCGTACATGCACAGATTGTGTGACCCCCACGCTACAAATAACATAAGTTTTAATTTTATCTATTCTTCATTTCTTCATAAATTATAACGTGATATCGGAGAAGAAAAAGGAATAAATTGACATTACTCCCTCTGTTCAAAATTTTTTTTGTTTAATTTAGATTTTCACTTTTAACTTAATTTATACTAAAAATGAAAATATAAACTGGACAATAATTTCGGGACGGAATAAGTAAAATTTGATCATCAGCATGACTTTGTCGAAGAACATCAGTCATCAAACAAAGGGTTCCTCAGTGGTGATTAAACGTTACAAATAAACTGTCCATGAATGAATGCGATGTGTTAAGGAGGATGGATCAAAATGGACCGCCCATTGTTTCCGTTTGGTATTTTGATCAAATAACGTCAACAATTCAACATAAGTGCTTATAATAGTTTTTGTTCTTTGCCACAAATAATTGGGTGGATTTACTGAAATTAATTATGATTCTTATGTATGTGTAACCTCCTCAGCCTCTCCGAACTTGTCTCTAGAATTAGACAAACAAAGAAACCCTACAGAATGTGCTCTAGTTTCTGGAACCAACATGAAAAAAGTATTTCAATCATGCTTTACCAGAACTTTTAATAATGTAAGTAATCCCGGCCTTATGTAATCACAAATTCGGCTCCATATGACACAAAACTTTTGTTTTTTCTTTTGAGGAATAGTGGCTTCAAATTTCGCTTTACCATAAAGTGCTCGAGCCCGTTTCCTTCTTTGCTAGAGTTGGAACTGACTTTACATTTGAATAACATTTCAAAACTATCATTGGTTGATTTTCTTGTGATTTTGTTTTTGCACCATATGTCACAAAATAATGGTCCTATTTAAATTTTCACTTCTAAGACAATTTATATTTAAAATAAAAATCTAAACTGAACAATTATTTCGAAAAGGAGAAAATATTTTTCTTAATGGTTCTTTTATCACTCTTGTTGTTTCGGAATAAGAGTTTAAAGAAGCAAAACTAGTTTTTAGACGGGAGAAACATATACAGTGAGATGTGATTAATTGATAACACCTCATGCCCCAAATTTGAGCCCTTGGAGTGCATGCTTTTTCGAGTTATATATATATCCTATATATATAGCTTGTACGTTATTCAATAGAAGAAAGACGATTTATCTGAGAGACCGCCGATTTTGAACCTAATTGACCTTGATTCTTTGATGGCATTCGCCAATCTGCCTCACCAATTGAGATTGGATTTGAACCAATGATTTAAAGGGTTAGCCAAGCATAACAAGTATAGAACCGTAGCTTATGTATATTTGTATTTAATTTGTGATGACGGTAAGAAAAAAGAGAAGAGATATATTTACATAATTATTTAGAAAAATATTGTAAACTTTGAAACTCTTTCAAGAAGTTATTAGTTTATAACATATATTCCATCCGATTTCATAAAAATAGTTAATCAATCAATATCGTAAGTTATAAGTTGTACTAAAAATAGTAAAATGTGATTTTTTTTATTTTTTTATTTTTTTGTGGGAGAGAGCGTACTACGTACAAAATTTATGTTTGGTATGTCACTAATTAAAAACCAAGCTGATTTGTCCCGTTGCTATGGAACTCCTGAGAGGTAAACTCTACTTTAAAAACATGGTGGATACTTTCGTACAATATTTATTATGGACAAAGGCTACAACTGAAAATGAAGCTAATTTATACACATGCAGATTATGAATCCTGTAAGAGATTTCAGCCCATGCCAATCAACATGGCCGATTCTACGTAAGAGGTTCCAATAATAGCTTGGCAGCTTTGTTAGAAGCATGATCTAGCTAGTTTAGAGATTATGAAGGTCCGACGATTGTTTTCTACGTTTTAGACAGAGCTTGGTGAACAAGAAATTAAATACAAATAGAGAATTGTTTATTACGTTGTTTTCCCCCAAAATTAGTTCATTTGGGTCCATTTTTTTCAGATGAGATACCTTACTTCATCAACACGTACGCAAGCAGCAAAACGATCAAATATATATACATATTTGATATTACATCAAAAAGTAAAAAGGATTTCCAACAAATTAAGAAAGTCAACCTTAATTTAGTGACACCCTATTTCCACCAATTACTAAGGTAGGATGAATTCCTAGGACAAGGGTAATCCAGCAGACCAACCACACTAATCCAAACAAATGGGGCGGTATTGAGATGTACTCTCAATCCAAAATTAAATTAATTAGTGTTCGTGGTGTTTGATCAGATTCGACTAGATATGCCTCCCCCCCTCTTTATTTAGTGTTATTACACTTGCCGATTCTGTGCTTGTTAATTTTCTCGACTACCATTAATTAAGTTATTTCTGTTTACTAATAGCTAGCTATGACGCAGCTGACAATGGATCTATGAAGCAAGCTATATGATTGGTCCAGAATAAACCATCCCACATACCAGCAGTTTAATTTGCTTCCCTTTCGGTGGCATGAAGTTCTCCTCCCCTCCACTTAATTACTCCCCACTCCTGTACTTATTATAAAATATTTTGATTTTTATAATAAATTTCATTTACTATATTTTTTTATTTAGAAAAAAAACTTTAAAAAATATTTTTTAATAATTAAGAGAAAATAATAAATGTTAAAAACATATATTTTTTTTAATTGAAAAACCATATTATGTGAAACTTATGACAAATCAAAATACCTTTTAATACGGACGAGAGAAAGGAGTAACACAATTATTTATGTTTTCGATTTTAAAGGGATCCTATACTAACTTGATATAAAATCGCTAATTAGAGTATCATGTAATTGGCTCATTTACATAATGTTGGAAAATATGTTTTTCATATCTTTGTACGTTCCTTTGTAGCAAAATAGAAACAAATAAAACTTTAACTTGATATGTGACACATAAATCAAGTGAAAATTGTAAAATGAATACAAGGGTTTAGATCGATCACTATGGAGCACGAGAAAACTAAAATAATTTACAAATCAAATACACTCTGTGAACATATATTTTATTTAAAGGAAAATGACAAGTATAATGATAAAAAATAGTGAAAAAATAGCAAGTGATGTGAAGTATTATGAAATCCTATTTTTTCGCTTTTCTGTTAAAATTTTATTTTCTATCCAATATTTTATTTTTACTCTTAATTAATTAATTTTATTAGTATAATGAAAATTTATTAATTTTATAAAAATAATTAATAATTACTATTTTACCTATAAATTAATAGCTTAAAGGGTTTTTTTCCCAATTATATTAGGAACAAATATTCAACCTCAACACTACTTCCTTATGTATTTATGATACCATTAATTTCATTTACTCTTTGGAGGGAAAATCAAAAATAAAATTTTCTTTGATGAAAAATTTAAAGAAAAAACAAAACTCAATAGTCTCCTACTTTCTTAAAAATTCTTAGTTTTTTTATATTTAATATTATTATTAATTTATAATTTTTTTAGGGGACCTATATTTATATAGGAATTTTCTAAAAATATATTATTTTAATAATTTATTGATTTTGTTTGGTTTTTGTACTTGACCTGAGTTGGGACCGAAGAAATTTATTATTTAATAGAGTTTTTTAATTTATAGAATGTTAAATTAGGGAGTTTATAATGTATATTCCCTCCATTTCAATTTGTAGGTCATTTTAGGTTTGGAGATATTTTTCAAAATGTAGGTCGTTTTACAAATTCTAGGCAAATTAATGACCATTTTTTCAACTTTACCCTCAATAAATGATGCCAATATATTTTCATTAGTCTTGTTTATAATTCTAATATAATTAATGAGGGATAAAACAGATATTTAATACATAAATTAATTGTTGAATGATTGTTTCCTTAATTTACGTGCAGAGTCTAAAGTGACCTACATTTTAAAATGGAGGGAATAAGACATAAGAATTTGATTTATTTGGCCTTTAGGATCTAATTTGGATATACTTAAAGGTTTATAATTGTAAGTAACTAAATTATGGGACATTAACTAAAATATCTATATTTGAATTGAATAAATATAATAATTACAATTTGCAAAAAACATCGAAACTTTACAATAAAATAAATTAAAATGTGCAAAAAGCAGATTGCTCTTCTTTTTCTTCTTCTTCTTTTTTTTTTTTTGAATAAAACACCCTTTTTAAAAGAGAGAGATTTCCTAAAAAAATAAAGTGGGGAAAAAAATTGTAAAGCAAAAGACCGAAAAAAAAAAAAAGTGAAGGAGAAATGGGAATTGGCTGTTTGGCAGAATTAGTTTACTACCACAAAGGAGAGGGTCCTCTTATTGGCCCAAACATGTATCTGGAACCTTTCCCAATACACAAAATGGTTTTTTGAGATAACAGCCCTAACCCAATTTGAAAAATGTTAATAGTACTCCCTCCATTTCAAAATTAAGTCACTTTAAACTCTACACGTAAATTAAGGATACAATTATTCAGCAATTAATTTATGTGTTAAATATCAGTTTTACCCCTCATTAATTATATTGAAATTATAAACAAGACTAAATGAAAATAGATTGACATAATTTATTGAGGGTAAAGTTGAAAAAAATTCATTAATTTACCTAAAATTTGTAAAACGACCTACATTTTGAAAAATCCCTCCAAACTTAAAACGACCTACAAATTGAAATGGAGGGAGTACTACTTTAGACGTGTCGTGTCGGTTGTCCTTGTAAATCGTGTCGAAAATTGACACCTCTAAATTGACAGCTTTAAATGTGTCCCAGTTGTCACTGTTGCTAAAGTAGACACCCTGCAAATATAAAAAAAAAATAAAAATAAAAAATTGACACCTCTAAATTTTGACAGTCGAAAGCCTTACACTCCCGCCACTCTTCAATGGCGGCTGAAATTCATGGGTTCTCCGACTTAACCTGGAAGGTTGCGCTACTGCGCTCGCTTCTCAGAGAATCAATTCCGCACGAAAACTACCCTTTCACGGACCGTTTGGACATCCATCACGTCTTCACTCAAGCCCCAAATCATGGCCTCCTCTCTGAACGCACACCGGAGCTTACCGACCAGAGCCTTATTGACTGATGGAAATCGGCAGTCGATGCTTGGGTCAACCGGCTGAGCTCCCTCACTCGCTGCACAACGGTGAGATGCTTTTGTATCCAGCAATTTAGCTTTCCTCTTTATGCAGTACTATAATTTTATTTTATTTTTGTATCTTTGTTGGGTAGTAGAACGGAAACATAGGTTAGAACGACTTATAGCTCATCATCATTATAAAGGAGATCATTGAATATGGCATTTTAACTTTTATTTATGCTAAGCTTCAGTAAATTTTCTTTTGAGACATTCATTTATCGTTGCAAACTTAGCTACATAATTTATGCAAAGGACACACTGTCACCTGCATGCAATTCCAAATGACTGGGCTAAACTGTGAAAAGAAGCTAATGAGGTTGTGGTCTAATGGTATAATTCAGTCTTTTGCTCCCGATTCCATTTGAGCCTGTGCGCTAACTTAGACCAATTTGTGTGGGTATTATGTTGGATCATCTTCGGTGGGTTTCTGTTATGAAGAAAAAAGTTGATTAGGAAATACAATGTTTGAAAGTAATATTTTGAGTAATGGGAATGAACTCCTTGCTGCCGGATAAAGTTTGTGCTGGGATATGCTTGCTGGGATTAACATTTCATGAATGCAGTCCAGAACGTTTTTCAACTTCCTCTTCAGAGTGGTTCAACATTATCTTCTCTCATATTCAGGTATTGCGATTTCTCTTATCTTTTTTTTTACTTTATGTTGTCACACAAAAGAAATAAAGACAGGGCATCTATATTTTGAGTTTATATTGTGACAAAAAAAAGAAATAAAGACAAGAAACATACTGTAAATAGAGGCTGCTTTAATATGGTATCAATAGCAATAGTAATGTCATTTTATATTTCTTGACAAAATTATGTTTGTGGAGAGAAAAAATTTAAATTCTCCATTTAAAACAAACTTGTGAGTGAAATTCATCTTCAGTAGAAAATTTAAGGCTATGTTTGGATTCTTTTTCCGGTATGTGTTTCCTTTTGTTGAACATTTAATCGGATGTAAGGGAAAGGTGAAAATTCTAAGGGCAAATTACCAAACACCCAAAATAAAATCAAGCAAAACCAAATATTCTTTTTTCGAGAAAGATAAACTAAACACTTCATGAAAGACTGTTATTTTACCTATCTTATCTAATGTATTATATACAATATGTGGTGTATCATTTATCATAAGTATTGAACTATGAAAATTCTATCTATTTACAATTAGTTGTAATACATGATATGTGGCATATCATTGATCGTATGTATTGTATGAAATATTGCTACTTTATTGATTCACAATCAGCTGCAATACACCTCCACTGTTGGTATCGATATCCTTCATTTTCAATATGCATCGTGATACTGACAGCTATGCTGCTAACCCTTAAATAGCTAAACTCCCATGTTCCTAAAATCGAACGAAGACTGATTCTTGATTTTCAGAAACTCCATAACAAATGTTTAGGTCCATGAGTACGTTCCTATATGCACTCACGGTCATTCCCCATTGCTATGTTAGCACAATCATCATAGGGACGAGACCAACTTTTTCTTTGCAAGGCGCAATCTCATCTCTTCCCAACACAGATTCAATCCTTGTCGTTGCTGTTCCAAAACATACTCAACTTCTCTCCACAAATTTTCGGCTTTGCTAACAAGACTCTAATATATTGGTTTCTTCCAAGAATCATAGTATAGAAGAACTGACGATAGCTTCTTACCTTTCTTGTTTGTATCGCCATATTTCTTTGAAGTTAGAAGAATATGTAATATGCTGCATATAACAACATATCCGGTATATATCCAATTTCTATTGAGTTTGGGGTCAATTTGTATGTAGCCTTCAATATAGGGAGGTTGTTTAAGTATGACCGAAGATACAATGCTGCATTTGTTGTATTGGTTTTCAACAATATACTAAAAGCTAAAAGAAATTTCAATGATGACTTCGCTAAAAGATATTTCAACAATATACTGGATTTTTGTTGAGCCACATCTTGATCTTGTACATTATTAGCACAAAGCTAAAAGAAATTTCAATGATGACTTCGCTCTGGCTCTCTTCTCCTTCCTTGGGAATTTCTATTCTTTCTTTTTACGGGTCGTTAGTACTCCATTTACAACGATGTTATAAGCTGATAATTAAATTCTGTCTTGTCTCATTTGGTATTAGCACATCGATCAGACTTCAGATGCTCCTTTTGTGAGGGTGGCTTCTTGGATTTCGTTGTCTGCGCTGTTCACAAGGTTTGTTTCTGTACCTTTACCCCTGTACCTTAATTCTCAAATATCATGTCTTGAGGTTCCTTGCTCGATGTTCCATTATAATACTTGAAAACATATCTCATAGGCAAAATTCAACCTACAGAATGAGGTTAAAATGTAATATAGTCCTCGTTTTTGCCTTTTCTTCAAGTGTACCTGATAATTATGATGGCATAGTTAAAATTTTCTTTATCCTAAGATCTTTGGTCCGAATTTAAATTTGTTGAGCAGTTGACATGGCTTTCCATGAAATTGTATCGTCAACCTCTTAAATTTTGGTCACTTTTGATTGCATATCAGGTTGGTTGGATCTCCAACTGCAGATAAAGATGGAAAGACATTAGCCAAAAAGCTTATTCAACCAGTCTTAAAGCTATTAAATGAGGAGTCATCTAATCCTGTATTTGTCAGTGCAATTCTAACTGAAATCATTTTATTTTATAGGCCATTAACTATGAAAATTTCTATGGGTGGGGTCATGTTTATTCTGTTGCCCATTTTGTCTGGTATGTCTCTGTTGTTTTTTATTTCATAGCTCCATCGGGCCAAATTATTCTAATGAATACCTCTTGGAGAGGGAGTCATGTATCCCCGAGTTCCACAATTTGGACTATAAACTTAATCAATTAGTCGTGCAATTGGAATTCTGGCAACTCAAAGTTGTACAAGGCACTTGGTGTTCTTGTAATTCATTGAGATAAAAATTTTCCATTTTCTTTTTTTGGACTTCCCATGAACAACTAAAATAATTCTCTCTTTTTCCGACATTCATTCTTTCTAAATGCCTTTTTGGAGTAGTGCCTTCTTGGACACTGTATGTGTTGGTTGTCCCTCTTTGTTTATTTCTTAGAATGATACAGTGTGGTTCAAAACGTCTTCATTTCTTATCAATAATACTCAGAAAAGTATTCTTAAATTTTGCTTTGGTTGTCGTGACTGTCCGGAACTTGTTTTCTTATGATTCAAAATATTTTCCCCTGATGCACTTGTGCAGGAAGAGGCCATTTGCTTGTTCTGCAGGCTAATTAACTACTTTCCATCTTCCGTTGGCGGTCATTATGATGGTGTAAGTAATTATTTATGTATCATAGTATTTTGACTCTCCAGAATGGCATTTTATAGACATGCCACCAGAATTTTCGCTTTTATGCTATTCAGAATGTAAATGTTGTTTAATATGTGAACCTTTGGTTCCCAAATTATTTCGGACTATTACTATGGTGCATCAGAGAAATACAGGCAATGAATGCATACCTAATTTAGTCGAAAAGAATTTCATGTAGTCCTTTGTCATTCCATGTTATGTTATGTCCAAATGGAGGATCTAATTTTGAAAGTTGAGATAAACAGAAGAATTAGGAGTGTAACAGCCTGAGCCTGTCTGGTCTTTAGTTCTTTTTTTAAGACCTGGTGGATCTGGTGGCATAAGTTCATGATTCTACTTGGTCTGGAAGTTTTTGGATAATCATCTTCCAGTTAAAGATTCTTAGTTTTGAATTTTGTGAGGATAAGCATGGAGAAAAACTCCAGTGCATTTTGACTGGTTGAAGTGGTTTGGGATGTGGGACTTACGTAGATATTTTATATGCCTAAACATATTGTACCCCTTTACGGATAAACTTCGGACCTTCAACCAGAGTTTCCTGTAGCAAGCTTCATTTTGTACTGGTTGAGTGAAGCAACTTGATGTGTGTGTGTGTGTGGGGGAGGGTTCTGATACTGATTCCCAGATGGGTTCTTATTTCTCCTGCAATTCCGTACTGTTTTACTCTCAACTCTTCTTTAATTTTCTGCGGCATGATGGCCTAAAGAAGCAACCTAAGGTCTGCTGTATAAGCCCCTGCTTGTGCTGCATCATCTTTTTTTTTCTAGAATGGTTGATTTATGTACCGTTATGTGAATCTTACTATGACAGCCAGCCTGCTTTTCTGAATGCATTTAAAGGAAATCATACAAAAGAAGAGATTGATGCATAACTGCTAATCCAATGATTTTGTTCCGGGCCTGGCTCAATGGAATTCTCTCTGGTTGGCTGATCTTATTTGTGATTGACTGACATACTGAAAGTTACAGGTTGAAGCTGCGATCTTTTCAAGATTTATGTCAGAGAATGACGACACTGATTTATTGAAGGTGTAAACCCCTTACCTAAACTACAATTTGGCATATACTTGTGATGCAAACCGACTTATTTACTTTTGCTGGCAGAAACTTGGTCATTGCTCGGTAATGCTTCCTAAATCGAGAGGAGATGAGGAAAGCTGGTCACTCATGATGCAAAAAGTCTTGCTATTCCTGAATGATCAGCTGACTCTTGCATTTCAAGGTCTAAAAGAAGAAGGTATTATTTGGTTTAGTTTGGCATTGCTACCATGCTTTTGTTGGAATATGTAGATACTCATTATACTTTCACTTGCAGAGACATCTAATTATGAGGTAGTCAGGCCTTTAGTTCCACCAGGGAGGAACCCCCTGCCTCCCTTTGGAAGTCCCACAGCATTAAAGGAACACTCAGATCTGCCTGTGAAAAGATCTTAATGAGTGCTGGTGTCTAGAGTGTCTACCTTAATGTGTTGCTGTAAAGTCATGCTTAGTACTTATCCTGTTCAGGTAGCATGCTGTTTGTTGTGTTGTTAAATTATGAGAACAAGCACGAGCATGATTTGGTATTGGTGCATGAGCGGAACATTTTAAGAATTTCTTTGTATTACACATAGGTTCCAGTGCCTGTACTGATAGCTCTTGCTAAGAGAGTGTTGATGGTTGATGGCTCCTTCTCTCCCTCCTCTCCTTACATGTTTGATCTTGAGACATGAGTTCCTGTGCTCAGAACTTCCTACTTTGCATATCTCCAGTCTGGATCTCCTCTGTTCTGTAACAATAGGACGCGGGAGGTGACTCATTAACTTTTCTTATACATTTCGTTTCTTTTTTCTTATGATTCCAAAGTAGACAGTTTGTCAGTTAGATACGCTCTTTTGCAGTGAATTATCACTGCATGTGGCTGCCATCACAAGACTGCTAACAGAATATTTAAGGACGTGGTCATTGGCATCTGTGCCAGAAATAAGGATTAAGGCTTACTCGGGTTTGGAACTTTTGCTGCATTCCATGGGGATGGGTTAGCAATTCAACTGTTATTTATCTTGTCAAACTCTTCACTCATAAGATAGATCCTTGTTTGCAAAATTTGTTCATCATCGCTGTGTAGTATTTGATGTTTGCTCTTTTTAGATCTTCTGTATTTCTCTTACTTGTAGTGTTGATATTGTGGATGATGTTGGAATTCGCTATTGACTAGAGCTTATTACTTGGGGCACACAACTTTAAGTGCTTTTTGTTGCTGCTCCTTAAGTTAATTAAATTTAAATGTTTGGAGGAATTCCTAAAAGCCCCTGATTCCTCCTCTATACTTGTTTCATTTCTACTCAAAAGTGGTTATCATTTGCAGGGTTTGCAATATATGTCATCGAGGTGGTTATAAACAATGCTTTCATTGATTTGGGTTCCTCGTTTCATGAAAAGAGTAGTACCTGTGATGCTGGATTCTACGAGGCGTCAGAAAAAACAGAGCAACAACCTTTCGGCAAGAAAAGGAAACATGCAATTTCTACTGATTCTGTGGAAAAGAGATCTCGAAGAGGTGGTATGGCAGTGGAGAGGTCCACAAATTTGACTCCAATCTCTGTCAGGATTGCTGCATTAAAGTTGTTAGAAGCACTTTTAAATGTGGTACGTTCCTGCTCTAACTATTTGATTGCATAACTTCATTTGGATGTGGATTGGAAGATTAGTAAGTTATCTTAACCTAACGAATCAATATCTTTTTAACTCTTCTATTCCACATTTGCAACACCATAAATATCCTGAGATTGCAAATGAGATTAAGAAATTAGACAATTTAAATATAAATGTTATAGACTGTCTTGCTGCCACTTTCTGTGAGACTGAGCCGAGATTAAATTTTGAAGCTCCTATTTTTGTCCTGTTTGACAATTTTGCTTTTTTGCTTTCTCCTGTTTCACATGCTATTGTCAAATGTGCAATTCTGTTCAGGTGAGCTATATTGTTTAATTTATTGTTTTGGAGGTAAGAATAGTAAACACCAACATAAGCTAATGGATTGCCTAAGCTGTCGTCTTCAGCGGCTTTCTGCTTGCGCCTTGCCGCCTTATTAAATGCATTACAGTTAGCTAGCAAATATGTCTTCAACCAACTACTTAGTAACTAAAAGGAAGTTCTTTTGTTATTAGGCTCTCTGTTTCGATCACAAACATTTTCTCTTTTTTTTTTTTTTGGATAACTTGTTTAAGTTTTTAAAAGCTCACTGGGAAAGTTTTACCTCCTGTCTATAGGCAGGTGGGTATAGATCGGGGGCTTGGCGACCAAAAGTTGATAATCTCCTCATAGAAGTTGCAACAGATGCTTGCAACTGGGGATCGATTTATAACAAAAGTGTTGCTCTTTGTGCTGAAGCTACTCCAATGAGGCAAAAACTTCAAGTCGCTTCTTTACGTGCACTCAAGGCATCACTCCTCTCTTCTCCTCATTTTCCCCCTCCGCATCTACCTCAAAGTCTTGAAATTTTCCGTAAAGGTGAGTATTCCTCTATCCTAGTTTTCTATACATTTATACTGACCGGCTCGGTGTGGCATATATATCCTTCATGTGCTACGTGTTACTCTTCCTTATTCGATAAAATGGTTGTGTCCACCCCCCCACCCACCTACCCTCTTCCCTCCCAATTTAGAGTTATTTTAGTTATTAATTTTTTGGCAAAATTATTTGCTAAAATGATCTATATCCCAATCATATTCCTTGAAGAATGTTTTTCACTGCCACGTAGGACCAATGCCACCTGGCACCCAACTAGTGGGATTGGCCAGAATCTGGTTGGTTGGCTGCTGGTTGGCGATGATTCAGCGGCAGGTGGTGATAAAAACATATATATTATTTATTTTAAAACACCATGCATACACTATCTCTACTTGCATAGTTGCGTCTACAATATCTTGTAAACCAATTCTCAATTCTATAATGAAAATGAAAATGCTGTCCTTATAGAGGCCCTAATACTTGCTATTTACCGGGTTTGTTTTTAAGTCTTTCTACCTTCTGCATTAATCTTTCAAGATTAAGATTATGTTCCTGCAATTTCATGAGGAAAAAGATGGTTTCCAATTGCAAAAACTGACCAATCTGATGGGGAAGTTTTGCATTCTGGATCATCAATCTCACCAAAATAATGACCCACATCTGAAAATCTTTCCTTCGTCATAAAGAATTCAGTCTTGTTCCCTCTCCCATGTTCTACTTGTTTAGGAAGAAAGGGAAAATTACCGTTCAAGATGATTAGAAAGAAAGCGAAAATCGACAGAATGAATTAAGACAGAAAGATGGGAAGATTGGTTGAGGCAAGAAAGAAGAAAGAGAAAAAAGTAATAGGATTTCAGAATTCTGGGTGGAATATGAATCAATTTTAGAGCAAGCGATATATTTCTGAATTCCAGTTGTTAAATAGAGATGCTGCAATTAGAATCTATTGAAAAACGTTATTTGAGGAAAATGATATCTTTGGGATATAGTTTTACACAAAAGGTTATCTTAGAGGGAAAAAACCTTCCTAATTTACTGTTTAAATCTGATGAATATGAATCCTTTGTCGTTGGCTTTACGGGAAAACTGAGAGTTATGGCCTGAAGAAGATTATACGTTAATGAAGTTTCTTATTTTGAATCCTTTCTCGTTGTCTTTATGGGACAAACTTGGGTTATGGTCCATATTCGTTGTCTTTATGGGAAAAACTTGGGTTATGGTCCATACTGTATGTAGAAAGAGCATAGATTCATTTAAGTTGGACAACTTATTAACCCTGGATAAAACTTTGAATCTTACCCTTTTTCCATTTAAAAGGCTGTATATCTTGAGCCCCCGGACCCCAACGAAAGTTGGGAATATACGGGTTATGTTGTTGTTGTTGTTTGGTTTCTTGCACTTAAATGTTAAGTGGCCGGCAGGTACCAGTAAAATTGGGAGGAAGATATGTAAAGAGTGTTCACGTGCCCTGTTGGCCTTGGATGTGCTCATGCGTCCAAGAGTTCTATCTTTGGTAGATTGTGATGATGATGTTGCCAGCGATAAGCTTCCCGAAATCGATAGTCCTAGAGGGAACGATTCCTTCCTCATTGGAGCACAAGGAAAGCAGCTCTCTCAGCCACATTCTGATGATGACTTGTTTGAGAGGTGGACTGGACATGGTGAAACAGAAGTTGGATTTGGAAAGGATACAGGCACACCTTATGTGACATCTGGTTATTTGCCGCCAGTTGGGAAGCTTCTGCCGAGGGATCGTCCATCTGAGATTGGAGTGGATAACCTCAGGCCTTCAGGAGCTACTGCTGCTGATGTAATTGGTGTAGATGGGGATGGCCTGATGGTTAAATCAATGGCTGATGAGACACACGAGCAGAAGGGAAAAATGAATTATGTTGAAGGTCAAAAAATTGCTTGTTACATTGGTGAATAATGAAAGTGCTGCCACGATATCAAATGCAGAATACACTACAGATGCAGCATCTAATGCTGGAAAAGGCTAGGGAGATATCACCGAAGTTGATGATGACTACATTCCCGACATTGTTGATGCTGATCAGGACTCAGAGTGAGTGTGAGCTGCTGCCAAGTGATTTAATAGGGGAATTTTATTCAAGGTCGTGGAACAAACTTATTGTGATTTTTTTATGAATGAGATCATACTAAATACTCCCTCCGTTCCATAATTATTGTCCAGTTTTACTAAAAATGAAAGATTTTATTTTTAGTCAAACTTAACTATATTTTACCTTGAACAACCGGATATATCCCTACATAAGTAATTGTTTAACCACAAAAATTTTAATGGATAATGTTTTTTACTGAGGACAAATGTGTAACTTGATTCATAAAAAGTCAAATTGGACAATAATTTTGGGACAAAATTTTTTGGGCAAAGTGAACAATAATTATGGGACGGAGGGAGTACTACTTATTAATATTTTTATTTCAATTGTAAATTAATGCTCTCTTGGTAGCTATTGTTATAGTGTTAATATCAAATAGGGAAAAAAAAAAGGATGAAGTATATGATGGGTTATTAGTTAAGAGCTGAGACAATATTGTTTGAATAAAAAATTTTAAATCTGTATATAGTGGAGCGTTGTGTAATCAATGTAATTTGTGTTAAGCTTAGCGTTGGGTGATCAATGTAATTTGAATTAAGTTTTCAGTTAAATAATTGCGTTCATAAGGGTTCAAAACTGCAAAAAGTGTTGTTATATATGATGACAATGAGAATTACAACTAAAAAATTTTCTTTATTTCATTTTTAATACTATCTATCATGTTTATGTTCACATATTTATCTTAACATTTTTATTTTCGCTACTGGAACTTTTACTTATTTTCATATTTAGTAGCTCGACAATTAGATCCGTAATACATCACCGATCGAATGACTGTTCGATAAACTTACTTTTCAAACTCAATAATACTTTATGTTCGCAAATTATTGATGATGTGCTTTGCCATTTGTTCCACATTCGACGTTAGTGTTTTACATTGATTTCTATCAATACTTCTATTTTCTACTGTAATAGATCCTAAATATTTAAAATATTAAAATATATTTAATTAATGTTCTCTAATTTTAACATTTATCACCTTGTTTCTTAATTACTAAAGTAGTATTCCATATATTTTGTTTCAGTTCTACTTATTGTGAAATTTTAAAACTCTAATTAGGGGTGTACACGGTCTGGTTCGCCCGAATCATGTACACACTTAACTCTAACGTCTCCTTTCAAATGTCTTACTTGGCATTATTCCCTCTCTCATTTCTTTTATTAAAAGTATGATAATTGTGGATGGTTATTTGAAAAAAAAATGTAATTTCATTAATTACTAAGTAAAAAATATGCAAATTCAATGCCAATCCTTGATGCAAACAAACAGTGATTCAGAATTCACTTGAAATTCCTACAAAGGTTATTATACATGTTACTGCATTATTATACCTTTTTTCCCCCTATAGTTTCAATATATATTACTCTTATTTCCCTCTTTACTAATTTTCGCCACAATATACTTTGACTAACCATATCATATATTTTCCAAGGTCAAAAAAGATTAAAAACAATATACAAATTTTGTTTTTTTTCCTCATTAAAATGTTCACATAGTTTTCATATTAAATGTATAACTTATACTGTTGATTTTCCTATCACAAAGGCAAAATTGATTTTCCATTATATTTGTTTCTTGCTTTAACATAGTTTATGTCACTTTTTTCTCATAATTTTATTCTGACATTAGTTTTATATCTATAGTTAGCATTTTATATATCTTCCTTATTTTTAAATATTGATATTAATGTACTCTTCACTAGATATTTTTTCTCACTTTTCATGATATGGTTAAATAATTGCATAAGCCATTCGACCACAAAATTGCCAAGACACTCTACTCTTCTATTGGGATATCATCGAGACCTAAGGCTTTACCATTTTTGCATAATTTTTTCAACATCTTTAATTTAAATTTTTCTATAATATGTAAAATTTTTATGTTTATTTACTTTGCTTCAATTCACTTAGTGTTGTTTCCTTATTTTATAAATATTCATTTTTCCATTCCTAGTATCTGATTTTTTTTTTCTTGTAAAAGTTTTCAAAATTTTTTAATTTTGCATTCCTTTTAGTATTTTTATACTTTTTTTTTCAAGTTTTTGTCTCTTTTACAAGCAATGGCGGAGCTAAAAATTGAAGACAATGAGGGCGAAATTTGAGAAAATAATTAGCAGGGCCGAAAAAAAAAAGCTAAAATTATTTATTTATTTTCTTTATGGTTTCCTTATAAAGATTTGAAGAGAGGGAGGCAACTGTCTTTACCAGTTCCCTCTCCCCGCCACTATCTATAAGTTTATAGTGATTTGTAACAAGTTTTTTTTTTTTAATAATTTTTTTAATCTCTTTTACTTTTCTACTTTTACTAATGAATAATTCTTTTTGTATGTATTATTATATATTTCAGACATCATTCTAAAGGTTCATTTGATCATATCAGTTATCTTTTCCGTTGGAATTAGCGCCATATAACCATTGGTTTAATAATTTCGACGACTTTTTTTTGGCTGAAATATTCAAATGACCATTATAAATTGTATTGTTTTGTCAAAAAAATGCATGAACCAAAAAGAAAGAATGCTCAATCTATAACACTGTGATTTTGGTTGATAGTAATTATTTGTTTATAAGAAACAAAAAGACCTTAATTGAACTTTTCTCAATTCAAGAGCCATAATAGAACTAATAAACTAAACTTAAGGGACCAAAATTGTCATTTAATTAAGAAAACCATCAGCCCCGGTGGGACCAGGGTGGGTGTCGTGTGGTGGTCTCATCCTCCCTCCCAATCTGAGTTTTTCACTTTTGGGTTTTCGCGGTTCGAATTTTCGCACAAAAATCCCCGCAAATTCTAACCTTTGGAGCCAATGCCTTCAAATATATTTCATCCCCTTTTTCGGTTTTTCCCCCAATTTATTATTGATTTCCCTAATTTCTCATTCAGGCGGAGCATAGATTCAATTCGATTTTTTCATGTCTTCATCCACACACACATCAATTTCCAGATTTAGCACTTTCTCACAGATACAGGTGTATAGAATCTTCATAGGTATCCTGCAATAGAACGATACATACACACACACACACACGCTAGATCAACTGCCTCGATAAGTATCCTTTTTTTTTTTTTCTTGTTTATCTTTTTTGGAGAAAAAATTCGAATTATTTGGAGCAGAAGTTTCGCAATTCCTCCGCCGACTTATTCAATTCGCGGAAGGAAACGGTTTATTTTTTATTTTGTTCCATCCCGGGTTTGAATAAAGTGGAATCTGAGTTAGGGTTTCTTCTGGGATGCTCAATTGATACGACGTTTCGCCGATTGCGAGTTCCGGTGCTGACTGATTGGATTGGATTGGATTGGATTGTTTTCCTTCCCCAATTGGTTTGAACATTTAGGGTTCTGGTTGAGTGTGGTTGCCCTTTGTTTTTCTTTTGTGGGACGTTGATGTGGATGTAGTAGGACTAGAGCATGATTGCGAGACGGGCTGCCGTAGTTGAAATGCCGAAGCTCAAGCGTTCCGAGAATGTTGGAATCGATGGCGGAGCCAATAATGACAACGAGGAAGAGCTTGGCTTTGGCTCCGGTTCTAATAAGAAGCAAAAAAAGAGCAATCTTTTTGATGATGGGTTTTTTCCTGTTCCAGTTTCGGGGATGACAAATAATCTGGGTCCCGCTTCTGCCGGAGCTGCTGCTTTACATGACGGCGACGGCGTTGAGTTGGACTTCCCAGCTAAGGTTCAACAAAATGCTGGCCATAAGCCTCCATTGTTAAAGTCTTCTCGAAGACGTTCTCAGGTACTTCCTTCAAAGTTTTGCGATTCGGTTTTGCATTCATGGAAGAAAGATAAAGATAAGCAAAACACGGAGACTGAAAGAAAAGTTGACTGCTGTCCAAGTTTTGGCAATAATAATGCTGTGTATAGTAAGAAGAGATTGAAGTGTGGAGGGTTGTTTTCCGATGTAAAAACCTCAAAAAATTCGTCGCATTCCGATAATCAAGAGTCTGTTGGCTTCCATTTGTTCAACAGCGTCGAATTGATTCCAGAAGATACCACGGATACCACCAAGGTCAAAGCAGCAGACTTGTTGGACAATAAAGTACATTTTAGTCATCCCTCAAGCTCCGTGACATCATCAGCTAACCAAAGCTATTCTAATGCGTCAAAATTGGCAGCTCAAAGTTGTGATTTTGGGACGAAAAGCGTGAATGGTTTTGTGACATCAGGTAACCCAGGCTACTCCACATTGATAGGGCAAAGTTGTGAGCCGAAAAGTGTTAATGGTTTTAGTGATGACGGGGGCAAACGGGTGAACGGTAAGATGAATGGACTGAAGGAGAAAGATGAGAGGAAAGAGGATTTCTTTCAGCTTGGTGATTTTGTTTTGGGTGACATAGTTTGGGCCAAGTGTGGGAAGAAATTTCCTGCTTGGCCTGCTGTTGTGATTGATCCACTCTGGCAAGCTCCTGAGGCAGTTTTGAGGGCGTGTGTGCCTGGTACCCTCTGTGTGATGTTCTATGGATACTCTAAAAATGGAACTCAGAGGGTAATGTATTCTCTGAACTACTCTCGTTTTGCCTCTCTAAATTCAAGAATTTTAGCATTTTGTTTATTTAGTTTCATGTTAATAGTTGGTACATGGATTTTTCTTTCCCTTTCAGGATTATGCATGGATTAAAGAGGGAATGATATACCCTTTTCAAGAATACATGGAAAGGTGTGCATATCTTGGCATTGCTGAATGTTTCTTATACTGGTCAAATTGTGGTTGTATACTGATAAATATTTTTTTTGGGGGGTTGCCTAGGTTTCAGGGACAGACAAAATTGTATGGCAGCAAGGTCCAAGATTTTCGCGCAGCAATAGAGGAGGCAATTTTAGCTGATATTGGCTATGGCCACACAGATTCCGTGGTCGATACTGAGATATCTGGAGTTTTGAATAATCATAAAAAATCAGATGAAGCTCCCGGATCCAGCCAGGAACACTTCTGCGTCACCAATAGAGTACGTTTCCTGCAAAGAACAATTTTTCACCCTCACTTTGATTGTAGTAGAAAGTCTGTGTAGTGTAATTTGTCTCTAACAGGAGCTAGACTTTGATTGAAAATTTGAAATGATTTGTTGCCTTTTGTATATCTTACCCTTTGACTGGGACCAGTTCGGAAAACCACAATTTTGTTTGCCAGCTTTAGTATGAAACCTGCTCTCTTCTTGCCTAAGAATTTGGATGCTTGGTCTCTGAGTCATGTTTATATTTATTCAGAAAATGAAGTTAAATTGATTGTCTTTGTCTTCAATGTAATGATTATGAATTGGGAATTGATAGAGCTGTTTGATGCCATGTGATTACTACATGGAGTTCCACGATAAATTTTTTCAATGACCCATTGCAGCTCAGATTAATAATGTTACCAGATCATTTGATCTCATATATGGTTTGGTACTGCCAAATTGCAGGATTCATGTTTGTCTGTCACTGTTTGCAGGACAATAATGGCAAGAAAAAGGAAACACAACACTGTGACAGCTGTGGTTTGAGTTTTCCGTCTAGAACAATGAAGAAAATTAAAGATACTAGATCTCAATGTCAGTTTTGGTGTGAGCACTGCATGAAGGTAAAGAAGTGTATAATATCTTGTGGTTTTCATCAAACTTTTTCTTTGAATGTGATCTTTACTTTTTAACATGGTGTCATAGTTAAGGAAATCCAAACAGTACTGTGGCATATGCAAGATAATTTGGCATCACTCTGATGGTGGGGATTGGGTGAGTTCTGCATTTTCAGTTTTTAGATCTGTTCGATCTTCTTTACTGTTAATCATCCTATTTTAAGTTTAACTACTAATATATGATTATTCTAAATGCCAAGAGATATACTGCTACTTCTTTCTCGATAGTGAATGTGACCAAAATGTTGGAATTTAGGTATGTTGTGATAGTTGTGATGTCTGGGTGCATGCGGAGTGCGCCAAAATTTCCGCTGAACTCTTGAAGGTTTGTTTTTAAAGCTTAAATTTGCAAAATAACTTTACTTTGTTGTAAGTTTCGCTTTTCTTTACGCATCAGAACTTACTATTTGATATTCATGCAGGATTTAAAGAGCATTGAATACTTCTGTCCCGAATGTAAAGCTAAGTCCAACCACGGACTTTTCACTGCAGCGAAATTACAGTCAAAATTCAGGTATTGCAGCAATTTCTTCTACACTTCTTGTGTCTTGATTTGGTTGAAACTTAATGAATATTTGGATTTTCTTTTTTCACTGAACAGATGTACCGAAAATAGTGAACCAGCTGTTTTGCCGACCACTTTAGCTGTTGTTTGCTCTGGTGTTGAAGGGATCTACCACCCGCCTCTTCATCTGTAAGCTCCTTTTGTTTTTAGATATGCATGAGCTTTTCTTTTGGCGTGTTATTTTCTGCCAAGTTTGTGCTGATCGAGAGAGTTGGCTGTCTGTTTGTTTGTGTTTAACGAATGGGCATCCTGTATATCAAAAAATTTCTTCGATCTTGTTTGGTACCAGCTTTGCACATTGGCTGCATTTATCTGTTGTTAAGGTTTACATCACGCATCTAAAATATCTAGAAACATAGGAATCTTGGCGAGCAATCGGCTTATATATGTTGGACGATGATGTTGTATGTTCTTAGTAATTGAGCTTTAGGATTTTGAAATTAATGAAGAAGTTTGATGTTTTATGCTCTTACTTTCCTTTAGAGTTCAATGCAAATGCGGTTCATGCGGCTCAAAGAAACTAACTCTTTCAGAATGGGAACGCCATACGGGCTGTAGAGCCAAAAAGTGGAAATGCAGTGTCAAAGTGAAGGATACAATGTTGACACTGGAGAAATGGGTGCGTGCGTCTCTTCAGTGCTTTGATGCCTGGTTCTCTGATTCATTTTTTTTTCTTTACAGTTTTAGCACGAGAACTGTACTAGATATTTATATTAGACTTAATTGGCAATTTTAAGTGAATGTAAGTTGAAGCATACAAGATCATTGTATTTTGAAGTGAATGATTTTCTTAATTTTGCAGATTGCAGAGCATAAACTTCCTAACTCTGATCCGGTGAAATTAGATAAGCAGCAGTTGTTTGGGTTTTTGCAAAGTATGTGTTTCTTCATTTTATACTTTACATAACATGTTTTTTCTTCTTGCTTTGGTCATGTTCTGGTGACTTTAGAAACTACTAATTTTGTTGGTCTTTTCAGAGAATTATGAACCTGTCACTGTGAAATGGACTTCAGAACGCTGTGCTATTTGCAGATGGGTTGAGGATTGGGAATACAACAAAATAATTATTTGCAACAGGTGCCCTCGTTTTTCCAACTTTTATCAGGGGAAGAATTTAGTTTTTGACATAGATCTCACTGTATAGTGTCTTCCTTTTCCTTGTTTTTTAGGTGTCAAATAGCTGTTCACCAAGAATGCTATGGAGCAAAAAATAGTCAGGATATTGCCTCGTGGGTTTGTAGGGCCTGTGAAACTCCTGAAATTGAGAGGAAATGTTGCCTCTGCCCTGTAAAAGGTTAGCTATCCAATGGCTTAACACAGTTTTCTGGTGTTTTAAGTTGACTCATGGTTTTGATGGTCTTGTTTTAAACACTTTGGTTTATTTGCAGGAGGTGCATTAAAGCCAACTGATATTGAAACTTTATGGGTTCATGTTACGTGTGCGTGGTTCCGTCCAGAAGTTGCTTTTGTAAATGTTGAGACTATGGAGCCTGCCACTGGTCTTTTTAGGATTTCTTCAATTTCTTTTACTAAGGTAAAAGTTGCTTACAAATTTTTTTAGCGTAAATGCTACAGTAGTTTAGTTATGCAAACTGGAAAGAACTTTTGGGGGGATAAAATAGGGTGTTATAACACCCTCGGTGAAGTCAGATTATATTTGTTTTTCTTCTTGTCTTTTATGAAGTCAGGTTATGGCTAAATCTTAATTCACTTCCAAATTATTGGCTTGTCCAGTAGCTTAGCTGTTATTATTTAGTATCTAATGTCATTATCTGAGATGCTCTTTGGTTTATTGTAGTCTTGTGTTGTCTGCAAGCAAGTTCATGGATCCTGTGTGCAGTGTTACAAGTGTTCCACACACTTCCATGCCATGTGTGCTTTACGAGCTGGATATCTCATGGAAGTAAGTTGAGCTTTTGTTACTTAAGTCATCTTCACAAGCTGAATGCTGGGTATTGGAAAATCTCTTTCATGCACTGGGTACAAATGTTGCTCTGCCTAAATTACAGTTGGTCACTGTTTTCTCGGGCTACTATTTCATAGTCATTTTAATTGTATCCTTCCATAAATCGTGTCATTTGTTATTTCACAGGTTATTTTGATTGTATCTGGTTGCAAACCAAGTCATGTACACCTATAATTTTCTCCATGTCATTGTTGTACCAATCGTGGTTATCTTTTTTGATTACTTTCCTTTGACTTGCTTTGGATCCACCTCCCCCCCCAGCCCCGGCCCCGGCCCCTCCTCTTACAGTAATTTCTGCTGTCTTTTTCTTGTATGAGTTGTGCCAGCTTACGGCTCATTCTTATTGCAGTTGCATTGCTCAGAGAAAGACGGTGTGCAGACAACAAAATGGGTATCTTATTGTGCCTCTCATAGGTATATTGCTTGATGTACCTTATTGATGTTTGTAAAAGCTTTTCCATTTTGATCTATATGTCGAATACAAATGCGTGTTTATGCGTGGATGCATATTAGTATGATGTTTTCAGTTGTTTCCTTGTACTCACCCTATATCTGTTAGGGATTTTGGAAATTTTTAATGGAGTATTATTTGATTTGTATCCAGTGCCCCAAATCCAGATAATGTGTTAGTGATGAGGACCCCAAATGGTGTTTTCTCAACAAGAACCACGCTCCCAAGCCAAAACCAAGAACAGTTGTCTAGAGGTTCAAGGTTTGTATCGTTAAAAAATGTGGATGATGACTCAGATGTCGAGGATAATGAGGCCGATCCTCTTTCCGCTGCAAGATGCCGTATCTTTAAAAGATCTAGAAATAAGGTAAAGTTTTGCGTGCTGGCTTTGCCCAGTGCACGCTTGTCTCTTCCAAGTTGATACCTTGAACTTTATGCTGACAAAATTTGTTTGCTCGCCAGAAGGGTTTATCTGATCCTGTGTTTCACCGACTGATGGGACCATGTCATCACTCGTTACATGAGATAGATTGCTTAAGTTCTTTTCAGGTAAACCTATTCATGGTGATGTTTTTCCATTTATCGTTTGATGACTTTGATTGTTGAAGATTTTTTTTTGGGATTTTTATGGTTTTCCCTGTCCCTTTCCACAGGTAGCTGAAGATGTACCCTTCTCATCATTTAAAGAAAGATTGCAACATTTACAGGTTGATTATTATGCTATACTGCGTGGGTAGCCTTTTACTTTTCTTTATTATTATTTCTCAAGAGTTGTTGATTCATTTTTTGGTCTAAAAATGCTGCAGAGAACTGAGAACCACCGAGTCTGTTTTGGTAAATCTGGTATTCATGGATGGGGCCTCTTTGCACGAAGAAGTATTCAAGAGGGTGAAATGGTACGCCATGTCTGCAATTCTCACAATTTTTATGCTGGACCTAAAGCTTTCTCTCATTGCATGAATTGTGGGTCATTTATAGAGATTGGATTTACATACTGCACCTGTGTCCTTTTGGTTAATATTTTTTTCTTGAGGTATTGCAATCTTATGTTGCAGGTTATTGAGTATCGTGGTGAACAGGTCAGGCGTAGTGTTGTAGACCTTAGGGAGGCGCGCTATCGTCTAGAAGGCAAAGATTGTTATGTAAGTTAACGTTTGTTTTCCCCATTTTTTGTGCAAGGCATGCATTTTTAAGTAATTTATTTTATGTTCCTGTTAGAATCGTATTGTTTTGTCAGGAGATCCATCATCATAGGCCTATGATATTTTCTGTTGGTGCTATGTTCCCAATAAAAACTTATTTTACTGGTCGAGCATGCAAAGTACTACCGCATATAACAAATTGATCAGTGGTTATATTACTATAAGGGTCATCTGATCTGTATTATGATAATTCTCCGAGAGACCTGTTCTGGTTGTAATATCCCCATGAATTTGCATTGCAGCTATTCAAGATCAGTGAGGAAATAGTAATTGATGCTACTATGAAGGGGAATATAGCACGCCTGATCAATCATTCTGTGAGTTTTCTTTCTTTCTTAATTGAGCCTATAAATTGTACGACAAAATTGTGACAAGCAGGAATGATCCTTTTGTCGTGGTTTTGTTGGGAACTTAATTGAGCCTCGGGTGTATCTTGGATGGCTACTGGTGTTGTGCTGAGTTTTTGGCGTCTTTAATGTTTGTAGTGTTTTGTTGACTCTTGTTTCATTTAAGTAGTGACATCTGAAAACTGTCTGTCAGTGTATGCCAAATTGCTATGCAAGAATCATGAGTTTTGGAGAAGAAGAGAGCCGAATAGTTCTTATTGCGAAAACTAATGTTTCAGCCGGTACAGAACTGACGTATGGCCTCTCACCCTCTCTCTTACATATATGTACACACAAACGTAGTTATGTTCATTGTTGGTGAAATTTTTTGTGGGAATGGTTTTGACAGGTATGACTACTTGTTTGATCCGGACGAGCGTGATGAGCAAAAGGTGCCTTGCTTTTGTAGAGCTGCAAACTGCAGGAGATACATCAACTAGGTGCGGGTAGTATTAATGATGTTGAGAAACTGATATTTTGAGTCTGACCCAGAGTTTGCGCGGGGAACTTTTAATTCCCTGGCGGAAATATGGTAGTGTTGGGTAGTTGTGTGTAGGCTGGAAATTGATATTTTGTTTTGTGTAATTGTAATATTCATTCATGGTCAAGTGAAAAGCCCGTAGTCTGATGGGGGACCTCTACTTGGCTGGATGTCTGAATGTAAATTCTTCCCTTTTGTTTGACTAATGAACATTGTTTAATTGAAAAAAAAAAAAAAAAAACCGACACATTCTCTCTGCACTTTTTCTATTACTCTCTGTTTCAAGTAATTTTCAAAATTATAATGTAAATTTGTTTTTTCAAGATGCAGAAAGTCTTTTTTTTTTTTTTTTTTTTTGTGTGTGTGTAAACTGAGTGTTCTGTTCACATATACGCCGATGGATGAACAAATAATTTTGGTGTATGTTCACTGACATTAACAAAGAAGAGAAACCAAAAAAAATAAAAAAAATAAACAGAGAATTCCAACTCATAAATGATCACATTAGTTATCTATAAAAAAATAAACCAACATTCAAAACCGGGTAAAAGAAAAAGATAATAAAATTTTTAAAACTTTAATAATAATAGAAGAGGAAATAGACTACAATTTTTCCCAAGGAAAATTTAAATTTAAAACAAGCCTGTTCCGGGCCCACTCAAAAGATCCGATTCGCCAGCCAAAAATCACAGACGCCCATTCGGATCCTAAACGTTCACGCGGGTACTATAAATATCTTTTTCATTCAAAAATTCATTTCATCACTTAGTTCACGTTTTCTGAGCTTCTCTTTCCTCACTGCTCCGAACGATTCCACTCAGCTCAACTCATCTCGGTCCGTGCTCTCCTTTCCTCCCCAATTTCCATCGTTCTTCTTGCAATCGCCGGCGCCGGAGATGGGGAAACGACTTCGGAAAATGAGGTCCATCTGCTGTTGCGTTTCTCCTCGCAACATGTCTTCTCTCGCTCCTCACTCCATCTTCTCCTGGTTCGTCTCTCTCGTTCGAACTCCGTTCTCAATTTTGATTTTTAGCGATGATATTTCTATTCGCGTTCAAATTTATTTGCGAATTTAAATTTCGGTTAGATTTTGCCTTCTTCTTTTTCTTTTTTTTGGATTAATTTGTCTTGCTTACGCTTAGCTCGTTCTGTTTCTCTGTGCTTTTGCTCAATATTAAGTTTGATTCGTAGTGATTTCAGCTGATTATGTTGGGTAACTGATTAGTCCAAAATCTTTCGTAACTTTCTGGCTTGCGTTATTTTGAATTTTTCGAATCTGAGTTTTGTGTTCTATGGTTACCGCTTCGGAAAATGATACGCTGACGTATAATTCTATTTTAATCGAACGTTAAGGAAGAATGTTCTGCTTAGTTTAAATCATAACAATCCACTGAATAACTCTGTTTTCATTTATCGTCCTACATTTTTGAGGAAAATTCCATTCCTGAACTGAGCATTGTGATTCGTTTGTGGATGTTAAAAGGTACGAAGAAGATGTTTGGACAGAGATTGCGAAGTTCTTGGATGGGAAATCTCTGTTGCAGCTTTCGTTGACTAATAAGTGGTTTCGTCGCCTCGTGATGGAGGAAAGCATCTGGAAACATGCTTGCTTGAGAGATCTCCAGGTTCCTAATCCTCGCCAAGTCGGAATCCAGTGGAGCAAACTCTATGCCTCTGCCTTTGGTAATGAACAGGATCCTTTTTCATTCTCTTCTAATATGCGATCTTTTCCTAATGAATTGTATTGTAATCTTAAGATTATGTGAATCATTTTTGTTTGATCTTTTGATGAATTGATTGATTGCAGATGGAAGTCACTCTTTCATGTTTCAACAGCAGGAGAAGCATATAGGTGATGTTTAACGTGATTAATTTGATTGATATTTTAAGAAGCATTTTTCTTAGCATTAGAGTTTAGTTGATGCAGATTTTCAAAGGGAAAGTAGAAACAAGTTTTGTTAATTTTTATCTTCATTGCACAATACAAGTTTCTTGCTGTAACAGAAGCTTTAAACTGAATGTGAATGTTTCAAAGAAAGAGGAACTTATTGTAGCTTCTGTTCCTCTGATTGTGCAAAAGTCAGTGCATGAAATTGTGGCATCTTAAGTGGATCGACTTAGAGATGAAATTTTTTGGATAGGCAGACAGTGTTCTTAACCTGTTCTCTTGTTTGCCAATTTATTACTGATTGATTGGATTTCAAAAAGCTGCTTAATCAAACTGGATGGCATAATCTTAAAGGCTGACTGCACATGAGATTTAATTATATATGATTAGAAACTATCATTTTGCAACTGTCACCGAGACAAGGATGTAAGTTGAATTCTTGCTATATCAGAATCCTATATTCAAAAATGTTCATTCTGTGTTTTTCCTATCTATACAATGATCAGATTGGATGCGGCTTGGATCATTTCTGTTTGACTCATCAGTTGCATTCCTCACCGATAGTCTTGCTGCGTCACAAAGGATTCCAAATGAAGAGACGATGGAGAAAATGCTGCAGCTGAGTGGCCGTTGTTTCTTGAAGAATATCAAACCTGGGATATGGTTGGCTGGTAAATTTCAAAGTGGCTTATTATGTGGCGTTATGAAGTGTTAGGCTCGCTAGGCTCCAGTGTGTGAAGTATATAACTCTAATTCTATTATCTCGAATGATGCGATCAGATTTACAGCTCGTTCGTTGTCCGGTATGTGATCTCAATACTTGTGATGGTAAGCCAATGCCTGCACTCAATTTGTAGTTTACAGAAATGGAATACTGTCATGATTTGGCTACTGTCAAAAGATATGAAGTCGTGATTACATAAGATTGTCCTTCTCTTTTGCGCAGGAACCATGCAGATATTGGATGCAAGGCACAGTGAGCTATTTCTGAATAAGGATTACCAGGAGGGGAATTGGGAATTTGAACTGTTGGGAACTTATGATGTCAAGAAGTGTGTGAAAGCAGCCTCAGGTGCAATTTTTGATATCAAACATCTCAAGGATAAATCCACAGCAGGTAAGAACTTAGGACAATTTCCTCATTCTGTTTTTACAGAGTTATTGTATGTTGGAATTCCCATGGCATGAGACTTCTTTGTTTCCCAACCAAGCAAATTCGAAGAAATTTTGTGAGTACTAGACTGGAAATGATCCTATCTAGTCGATTGAACAATCTGTTGATGCTGCTTTGAGAAAAACTGAAAGTCCTGGTCTGATGGTGTCTCTCAGGAATCTTTGACACCAACTCCTGGGTGGGCAAGCCAGATGACTGGCAACCAAAAGCTGCGATAGCTCTTCATGCAGTGGCAGTGAACACTAACTTACAAAAGAATGAGGGTAAAGAACTTCTCTACTATTCAAACAACTGGATTCTTTTTAACATTGATTTTTGTTGCCTGGATTTTGATGTTTCTGTAGTTTTGTCAAATATCAACATGGAACTGTGTCATTCTCTCATCAAATGGTCTATAAAGGAACTAAATCTTCACTGAATTTGGGTTCCAGGTCTTCAGGTCAAGTATCAGGCAATGAAAGCAGGGAAAAACGGTGAAGTTGTTTCAATCAGAATATCTCAGCAGCTCCTGTAGTGTAGTCCAGCAAAGAGGAAAAAATATCGAGGAGTTAACTTGCATTTTTATTTCCCATAGAAATTACCAGGCGTTAGTAATTATGGCAGCTCCACAGAAAAACGTACAAATATATGTATTTACAAGAAAATTTGTAGAACTGCACATCACTTTCTTGTGAGACTTGGTGCATTATTCATGTATGAAAATGAATTTATTGTCCAAAAATGTCCATGATTAGGTCGACTTGAAGGCTGAAACTTTGAGACTTTTACTAATGCTTTTATGTATAGCAGGAATAGATGTGTTTCTTCTTTCTCACAACTCCAGAAAGAGTAATGATAGTCATAGTTAATTATTGTCCTTATGAATCAATCCTGACAGTAGACTGACACCTTTGTGTTTAGTTACTATCTTACAGTTGCTTAAGATCCCTCGACAATCATGATGGGATGTCGTAGTGACTGATATAAAATTCACATAATAGAAATAAGCACTCTTTTTTTTTTTTTTCCCTTTTAATGTATATATAACAGCAAAGATAGAGCAACAAGAACATTACTTCAACCCCAGTTGGATCTTTTCAAATGTTATTCTACTGTGTAGTTAAAAAGCTCAAGTAAACAGTGGACCTTTTCACTAAGTGAAAATTGTAAATTTTGTTTCCGGAGCTACAAATGGGATGAAAATTTCAGAAACATGGCTAACTTGTTCAATGACGGTAGTTTGTCTCATGTGTCATCATTGCCATTCAATGCACAACAAAACGGAAAAATAAATTTATGCCTGGAAATATGAATTATGCCAAACGGAAATGGAGTGACGATGAGTACATACGCTGCACCACACATCTTGTACTCCCTACTTGCCAATGAATACTCAAAGAATGGTCACAATGCCAAGGACCTCTATGAAAAACTTTCAGATGAGGACATTGGAGCGGTGAGATCTCAGATCAGCAAATACGTCCATCCTCGTTCAATTGCATTGCCGTGGTTCAGCAAACACAAGAGCTGCAGAGGAATCTAAATTCCATCATGAAGCTCAAAGAAGAGTAGCCGAACAGGCATGTGAAGGACAAGGATAGTTTTGGGGGGCGAAATAATTTTCAAGCACCAAAAACAAAGAAGAAAGTAGTGTGCTGCTACACATGTGGTTAGGAAGGTCATATTTGCAGACAATGTCCAGATAAAATGAGAAGAGTGGGGATGGGAGGAAAGAAATTGAAAATGTTAGGTACACATGCTTCTACCAAGGAGGATCAGGAATTAGACTAATCTTGTTCTTGTAGGTTGGTACAATTCTTTAACAAGAGGTTAAAGACTCATCAGCTGGAAAACTGCAGCTCCTCATCGACGGGGCCACTTATACCCCCTATGCTTAAACAATTCAGAGTAGCAACTGTCACAAATGGTCCCTGATATGTACTGTCCTTTGCCGAAACAAATGGTACAATTGAACTGCATAGCATCGAGAACTTCCATTGGCGTTCCAGCTTCCTCATCAAGAGAGATGATGCTAACTGCTGCATTATCTGAGGGTAGATGGTAACGAGGGATCTCCTCATCTGTGGCAACGACTGAATTCACCACCTCCTCAACACGAGAGATATCAGCAGCCAATGGTTGGTGGTTGGCAGCATTAGTGGAACCAATAGCCCAGTGAGCTCAGATAGTGCTGATATTAACCTACCGACTGGGTTCTCCACCTCATCAACACCAGAAGAGGTATCCGCTTCTGCATTCTGAGAAGGTAGGTTTATATCAGCACTATCTGAGCTCACTGGGCTTTTAGAGAGCCGCCTTGTCCTTAGGAGAACTCTTGTTTCCCTTGAGGGAAGCGTAGAAACCCAAAGTGAGTCCGGCTACTCTGTTTGACAGATTTTAACTCCACTGGATAATCTAAAAGCCGCCTTGTCCTGATACTTGGGGGAACTGTATGAGATTGCAATGGCAAAGTCGGGTCCAGCAATGTTTCGAAACAGGTAAGCTAAGGTTTGAAATATCTCTGCCAGGTAGCGAGACTGAAAGGCCAGGCCAGTTTCTGCCGCCGGCTGCTGCTGCTGTTGAAGGAACCTCCGGTTAGGGGAGGGGCCAACAGGGAGACTCAGAGAGCCCCTGCCAAAGCCAGATTCCAACCCTGTAAAACACATCAACAATATCAAAAATTAACCAGTAAATTCCTAGACTCCTATACCAAGTATATATACATACCAACAACAACATCACATATCTGCAAGAATCCATATTCATCGCATTTACATAAAACACAAAATAACCAAAAAAAACTTCAAAGAATCCATTTTTTTGGGTCCAAAACAAAAGAAAAGAGATCAATCTCTCCCCCCACAACTGTCGGCAATTTATATTTTTTTCTAAAAAAATTCCCAAATAAACAATCCCAAAAACCAACGAATCAAAACCCTAAAGGCTAAACAAATTTATATTTTTTCTAAACAAATTCCCAAATAAACAACCCCAAAGACGGACGAATCAAAACCCTAAAGGCTAAACAAAAGAATCCTCCCCTCTCGAACTGTTCCAACTTTCTCTGCATTTTATAAACAGATAATTAAAAAACTTTACTCTAAAGAAGGAATCTTTAATACCCGGAGGGGTGGAATCAGGACGCAAAGGGCCAGTTATCGTCAAAAGCCCAATTACAGTCAAGAATGCCAAGAACTGGTAAACGGGATTCACAAGGCTTCGAAATTGACCTTCCCTCCGAAGCTTCTTTGTGGATCTCACATCACCAGTCGCAGAAGGAGAACGGGTGGTCTCCTCGCCATCCGAAATTTCTTTGCGGATCTCTCGTTACCACTTGAAGAAGGAGAGCGGGACCTCTTTGCCATCTTTCTTTCAGGTTTTCTGAATTATGTTTTGAAATTTCAGGAACTAATGTATTTGCTCCATGTAAAGCAGGAGTGTCTCCATTTAGTTATGTGCAAGCCACTTTCGAGGATTTCATTGCGTGGATTATTGGGCCAGAGTTTCATAGTAACGATGTCAATGCATCTCCCATGTTGAAAGCAAGTGCTTTGAAGTTTTTCACTATGTATAGGGACCTGATATCTAAACCTATAGCATTGGCTTTGCTCCCTTATGTGTTGCGGTTCCTTAATTCGGAGTCAAATGTGGCCCATTCCTATGCAGCAATCTGCATTGAGAAACTTTTGATGGTTAAAGATTATAGTAGGGCAAGGTACACATCTGCAGATATTGCACCGCATTTGCAGGCATTAATGGCTGGCTAACCTATTTACTGCCCTGCAGAAGCCCAATTCTGAGGAGAATCAGTATGTGATGAAAAGTGTATCATGAGGGTTCTTGGCGTGGCTGAGATATCACTCATTGTTGCTTTGGCTTGCATTGACAGCTTAAATATGATTCTTGGAAGGGTTTGTCAGGATCCTAAGAGCCAGGTACTGAATCACGATCTGTTTGAGTCCTTGGCTGCTCTTATTAGGCGAGCAGAGCCATCTGCCGTTTCTTCACTTGAAGCCCGCCTATTCCTGAGCATTGAGTTCATCTTAAGCCAAAGTATCTGCGAATTGCTCCCATATGCTCTCCAGCTTTTCGCACAGCTTGTGGAGCTTACTCCTGATGCTCAGAGATATGATAGGACTTTTGAGATCATTCTGACCCCCGATTTATGGACGATATCGGCTAATATTCCACTCAACAGTACAATGAAGTTCGCTAAGCAACTCGTGATTTTCATGTCTCTATTTCTCGTTAAATTTGGTGCAGATACGCTTGTGGCTTCGCTAAATGCTTTCCGTGATGACTTCTTCGGGTCCATTTTGAGGGAGTTCTGGATACCTTATCTTGAAAGCATCACGGGTTTTGCTGAAATCAAGCTTACTTTAGTTGCTTCAACCAAACTTATATGTGAATCTCCATATGGTCAAGATCCTCATATTGCAGGGAGACTGCTGAACAGCATTGTAAGACTTATTTCGCTGCCCGAGCTGGAGAGAGCAGTTGAGGATGAATTGGAAGCTCCTGATTTCATTCAAACTGCCATGGGTCATGATGCTAGCTTTGTTTATCTATACAATATTGGGAAGAAAGAAGATGATCCTTTGAAAGAAGTTAGGGATCCTAGGGAGTTTTGGCTCTTTCCTTGGCTAAATATTTTGCTGCTTAATATTGGATGGGTACTTCGATTGTTGATTGGCTTGACCAGGCTTCTCAGGCTTCATTATCTCAACTTGGCAGAGCTTCTAACCTGCCTTTAGGTTAAGAAGAGCTCTCTCTGGTATGTTTCTCCACTTTAAAGATTTTAACAGTTCTGTTTGTAGTATTTTTTTTTTTTTTTTTTTGAGGTTTCTGATGACCTTTTAAATGAAATGATTCTGGTATTATCTTTGAAAGTGATTTAAGACAGTTCATTAATATTTGACCTATCAATAATGAATGTTTCTGTATTATTTTTGAAGTAAAAATGGAGACGGGTCATTTGACCTGTAAATATGATTTCGTTATTCTTACAAATGACCTAGACTGGATGAAGAAAGAGGCAAGGAAACATGTAGATGGCTTTCAACATCCTGCTTTAATCTTGAGATGATGATAATGTAAAGAAAGCATCATTATCTTACTTTTCCTTTTTTTAAGTTTTTTTTTTTTTTTGACGAGCACGTCTTGACAGCTTCTCCTTCTTGTATAAAAATGGTTTAAGTTCTAACTTCTTTCCTTGAATCATCTTGTGTTCTCTTGAAGCATGAAGTTACATGATTTGTTTTAATCATTCCTGCTGTCTTTTCGGAAACTTTGTCAAACATTGAAATTGCAGTAAAATGTCGCGAAGTTAAGCTGTCAAAAATAGTTGATGGTGCATCTCTAGAACTCTTGGCAAACACTAGTGTGGCATAGATAAAGAATGCAACAAAATTGTGTTAGATGGTTCCCATGTTAATTGACAATTTAGGGCATTATGAATGACTTCTACTACCAAGTGCAAGCCAGGCTTCTGTATCTTTTGTCATGTGATTGTCAAACATTTTGAATTAAATATGCGTCTTAACCTATCTTCTCTCTTTTCTTCTGTGTGTTTTGTCAGTGTTACTCTATAAAGTATTCCAACATTCATCCTGGTGCCGGGCAGCAATCGGTATATTGGGGACGGTATCATCTTGATGTCATTTAGCGACCTGGTTAGACTTGCGCAAAAGCTACAAAGAACGATGCCAAGCAATTTTGAATTATTCTTGAGTTTTGTTTGTTAGGGAAAGAGAAAATTTATAGCAGTTGCGCCAGTTTTGCTTTGGTGCTCTTTGGTCCCTTGATTTCCGGTCCAGGACTGAGTAATTAGGAAAGGCCCAAACTACGGGGATTAAGTTTAGTCAAGTTGGATGGGTGCAAAGGTTTTGTCAAACAATGCCATACAACAAATATAAAGCCAAGCAAGCTAATCATCTCTGGAAAAAAGAAACGTTGATTTATTCCACAGCTTCGACATGAAGAAAGAAAGATATATGAAGCAAAATATAATTTGGCCAAACATTGTGCGCAATAAGATCCTTCATTAATCGCTTCGATGAACATGATCGTGAAATCTGGCTGTGAATGATATCTAAAATTGAAATGGAGTAATTTTAATTCGCGATTTTCAGTTATAGTTGCCTTGTTTCTCCAGTACCTTCAGCCGTATTTACTGCATTACACGAGGTACAACTTAGTGGTAAGACGTCTCACATGTTGACCAATAAGTCACGTGTTCGAGTCACGCTGGGAGTAAGTGGGGAAGCACTATTGATCCCTTTAGAAAAAAAAAAAAGATGTAAGGGAGAGGGCTTCAAGAAGATGTAAGGGATAAGGGGAGGTTTCCAAGAGATGTGCAGAATGTAGAAGAAACTACTTACTGTTTAAATACCGCAGAAACAGAGAAAAAAAAAAGAACCAAATCTGCTTCCAGGGATATAAATTAATTCTAAATTAGTTATAGTTTGATGGATTGATTTTGATAAGGAGTAGAAGAAGATTTTGGGATGATCAGGATAATATTGCCATAGGCAATGAACGCTAAACCTACAAAAAAGAGTGTAAACAACTTCTCTACTATTAGAACAACTGGATTGTTTTTAACATTGGTTTTGTTGGCTGGATTTTGATGTTTCTGTGGTTTTTTTTGTGTGTCATTCTTGACAAATGGTCAATATAGGAACTTCAATCTTCTCTGAATTTGGGTTCCAGGTTTTCAGGTCAAATATCAGGCAGTGAAACCATGGAAGAAAAAGGTAGAGTTGTTTCAATCAGAATATCTCAGCAGAGGAAAAATTCAATGAGTTGAACTGCAATTTTTTATTTCCCCTCGGAGTTTTCTTCTCATGTTCTAAGAATATGCCACAGCATTATGGAAGTACATAGGAAAAAAAAGTACAAATATATTTAGAGAGATATTTTGTAAAACTGTACATCACTTCTTTGTGAGACTTGGTACATCATTCTCTTTTATGTATGACAATAAATTTGTTGTCCAAAAATGTCCATGATTCAGTGGAATTGAAAGCTGAAACTTGATAGTAGGATTATACGGCTTTCTTCTTTCTTATGAAGTTACTGTTCTTATGAATCCTCAGAGTAGATTGACGCGGGGTCTCAACCGCTGCTCGTTGTACAGTTACTATCCTCAAGAGTCTTGCCAAGAATCACCCGAAAATCGCCGCGAAAAGCCGCTGTGAAATAATTCATAGGGATTTTACTTTTCAGTAGTAACAGTTTTGCTTGTTTTTCCAGTACCGTGTTGCTGCATCACATCAGTTGAATCCATTGTGAAAACACCAACAAAGTTTTCTCTAATTGAGAGAGGCACACAATAGCTTATCATTAATCTTTTTGACTTTGGAGAAGCATATTTTATTCATGCAAGTGTGCTTATATATCTATCTTACAGCCTCTAACCCCCCAAAAAAGCAAGCTTCAAGCATATGGACATTCTGAAAATCTTCTTCGCCTTTTCTTGGCTCATCGTCCTCATCTCTGCGACACAAAATGAGTGTCCAGTTTCTTCATGTGGGCAGCGGAATCACCCGAGCTACCCTCCAATTAGGTTTCCCTTCAAGCTCCAAATCCAACCTCAAAACTGTGGCTATCCAGGCTTTGATCTCACTTGTAGCCACTCCCCAAACATCCCTGTCCTTAATCTCCCTCATTCAGGTGAATATTGGGTTCGCGACATCAATTATCTCGGACAACAAATTGTTCTTTCTGATCCTCAAGATTGTCTTCCCAGAAAGTTCTTAGACAACAATCTTAATTCCACTTCCATTTCTCCCTTCGTGTCTAATTTCAAGAACTACACTTTTCTGAGCTGTCCTCCTGAGGCTGTTCTTTCCAAGCTCACTCCCATTCCTTGCCTTAGCAATTCAACATCTTCCATATTGGCAACTTCTGCTTTTAATCTTGCCAAGGGAATGACCATGTGTACCATAATCGGTGAAAATATTGGTGTTCCAGTTTCATGGCATGTCGAAAATGAAGAGGATGACAATGCGGTTGTAGTTAATCTTGCTAATGAATTTACCTTGTTTTGGGACCTTCCAAGTTGTGCGACTTGTGAAGCAAAAGGTGATCTTTGCGGGTTTGCTGACAATACCACCCGGGAGATTACATGTTTGGATCCTCCTAATTCAGGTAAGAATATCTTCAACACTTTTGCTTTTAATTTCCTGAGATGAGACTTCAATTGGTAATGTTGTACAAACATAATTATGCATAAAACACTACTAATTGATCAAATCATTACTTGATATCGAACATTGGAAAGTTCGTAGAAAAGGGGGTTGCGTAAATCATGAAGCAAAAACAGCTGACTTTATGATTGGGTCAACTCATTCATCTGCAGCATTGTCTAAATCTTCCTCTGGGGTCATTTTCTTTAAGAGGTTAAAGGTCAAATCTATCTAAGATAGACATTAGGAAACAGTAACAAGGACATCAGTTTAATCCCAGTTGGATCTTTTCAAATGTTATTCTTCTTTGCACATTAATTTAAAAACTATCAAGTCAAGACTGCTATCAGATAATGACTTTGGTCACTAAAATAATCCATGAAACAGATGAATGTCAACTCCATTAAATGATGATGAAGTTATTCATTTTTATTCAAAGATTCCAACTTGGGGCAATCTGACCCAATCAAAAGTCAAGAAAAGTATATACTATTAGTTCTTTCTTGTCCAAAATTTTTTTGCTTACACCAGTCCGTATCACATATTGGCCATCAATGCTAATGCAGTGAAAGATGGTGAATTTTGTTTACAGGAGCTTCAAAGGGTCTGCGAATCTTCCGTATTATGGCTGCAACACTGGTGGTTCCAGCCTTAACTTGTTCACTGACGGTATGTTGTGTAATGTACCTAGCAAAGAGGTCAGCATCATCATTCAATGCACAACAAAACAGAATTATCAATTCCATCATCGAGGCTGCGATAGCACCACCACCGCCACAGTTCACTACTACCACTCCTACCTCCCCAGCTGGCCTTGATGATTCTACCATTGAAACCTACAAGAAAGTAGTGCTCGGCGAGAGCCTGCGCCTTTCCGGGCCGAATGACAATACCTGCCCTATTTGTCTAACAGATTATAAGGCAAGAGAAACAATCAGATGCATTCCTGATTGCCAGCATTGTTTCCATGCTGACTGCATCGATGAATGGCTACGGATGAATGGTTCATGCCCAGTTTGTAGATGTTCTCCAAGAACTGCCGCCTAAAAAATTCATCACAAATTGCAAATTTTGAACACCATATCAGGATCTATATATATTCTTCTACCAAAACGGATTCTTTGGTCTCATTGTTGTGGCGTTATGTATTTATTATCTCGCCTAAGGGGATTGTATATCCTACTCATTGGACATTCTGTATTCTTTCACTGTAGAACACATTTCATTTGGTTTTCGCTGCCCTTTAGTTGAAATCGTGAAGAAAAAGAAGCTCTATTCATAGAACCAACGTATAAGAACCATGTGGGCTTATATGGGACTATTCATAGTAGATATATACTCTACAATCTCGGGAAAAGATAAGGTAACAGCCCTAAGATTGAGGTAATTTAGTCTCCTAATCTGAGAAAAAAGTCCTCCTTTTGGCTATAAAAAATAAAAATACAGAGAAGTTATTGAAGTGTACACACAATTCATCATCATCATCATCATCATCATCATCATCATCATCATCATCATCATCATCGATCAGCCACAGGCATGGAGGCGGGGGAGCTGTCAGAAATGCCACAAGAAATCATTCATCGCGTACTATCAAACATGACCACCAGAGAAGCAATAAAAGTGGGTGTCTTGTCAAAGGATCTGTACTCCGCAGTGGTCACCTGTCCAACCCTAGTTTTCGACCCTGAATCCTTCATCATCTCGTCTCGCATATCTCCCTTTTTGGACAGCACGGACAAAAAGATGCAGAAAATATGTAGGGACGAAGTTGATTATATGTTGTCCACACTGCTTAGGTACCAGAAGGTCCAGAACCAAAATATTGGTCTAGACAGCTTCACATTGAAGGCGGCGCGCATGGAGGATGTTTGCAACCCGATGTGTCGAATTGGCCGCCACTAGAAAAGGATTGAGAAGCCTGACTCTGACTTTGGCTTGCGACTTTACCACTGTCTTGCCTTGCTCAGTTTTCCAGGTTGAATCATTGGTTGAATTAAGTTTAGAGAGGTGTAAAGTTTTGCTGGAACAACATCAGGGGGCCCGTACCCAACTTTGGCCTAATCTCAGGAGACTATCTCTGGAAGACGTACGTTTTGAAAACCCTCAAGCCTGGTTTGACAAGATCACTCGGAGCTGCCCTCTGATTGAATCCATGGAGATCAATGGTGTCAGGGGAACTGATATTTGTTGCCAGGATCAACGTGGTCATCAGCTCCGGAGACACTGTTTCAAGGTTACCAATTTCGAAAACCTTAAGCAACTGAGTGTTTTCGTATATCCAGGGCATAGTGTTGAAGTGGATGCAATCCCAAATCTGGAATCCCTGAGTCTTACAAGAACCCGTCTGTGCTTGGGTCAATCTTGGTCAACCCCGATACCAAAACCTCAAAAGCTTGTACCTTTTTCATAACCTGGGAATCAATCACAGTAATGGGAATGACTACTTTTCCTCCATGGACTGGACACACCAGTTCCCTCAGCTTGAGGAATTATCCATCCAATACTACATAAACTTGAAAAGGCTCAACATCTCAAGTCGGACATTGAAGAAAATAAAGCTGGAAGGCCTCATAAGATTGGAGGAGGCTTACTTTAATGTGCCTAGCACTGCTGTTTTCGAGTACAACAACTGCCCCGTTGAAGCCCAAAGTGCCACAACTACACCCAAGTTATCATTCGCCTCGTCAGGAGAACGAAAATGGATATCTCGCCTGGAATTAGATTGCCAAACCACAGCCTCCTCCTGGTTGGTTGAGTTGAAGGAATTGTTAACTTCACTCAAAGGGTCTCAAATTTTTCTTACTGTTTGCATTAGGTTCACTGATAATGATGGATATTCTTCGTCATTGCTGGAGGAGGCGATCAGAAACTGGAGACTGAAGAATTTGGAATTCCTGAAAGCAGGAGGGGAAACTAATATCATGTGCTCATATAGTTGTCTGTGGCATCCTTGGGTTTTGTCGCCCTCAGAACCCTAATATTTCAAAAAAAAAAAAATAAAATTGTACAATTGTAAGAATCCTGGGTTGATTCAAGACATAATGATCATTGGGACTGGGAGGTGGTCGTCTGAGTTTTGTGGCGTGACAAGTATCGGGATTGAGATTATCCTGTTTGATGATAAGTTCCATGAAACAGGACGTAAACCATCCGACAAATGGGAATTTCTAGATCTATTTTTATTCAAAAAAGCTCGTGCGAAGAGGACTCCATCACCCCATGAGTTTGCAGGATGATTTTTCCTGCATTGCTTTCTCAATCATACACCTAGTTAATTTAACTTAGATATTCCTTCATATTGATTTTATTTTATTACAATTATGTGCCATCATAAACAAATAATGCTGCTTACCAAACTTCTTAGCTTTAATTTTATTTCCCCCTTCCTTTCAGCTAGGCCCCCAGGGTATGCATTTGTAGAGGTGAGTTTCATGTTACTTGGTATTCATTGTGTTGAAATATTCACTGTGCAAGTTTTAATTCATTAAACATTAGCTTGCTGTATTGAATAGCTATGTTTTAATTCCCTAAACATTTTCTATAGTTTGAGAAGTTGTTTGAATTGTGTGAGCTGCTGGAATCTTGCCGAATCACATTCCCGAGCATCACTTATATAATCTTCTCCTTTCACAGCAATCAATGCCACATTTGGATTAAATAAACAATTCAAGCTACGATTAGGATTATAAGACGGTTTCATTTCCCTTTTTCTGCTTCTTGTTTCTCTTCGATGCATTTCATACATGATGGATATTTTTGGATAATTAGTTAACTAAAAATGTTCCTAAAGAACCAGAATGTGTCCTCGTATTGTTGCTTTACCAAAATTCTTAAATAAGTTTTTTCAACTATCATTCAAGATATAATACTAAATACCCTGATTCTCACAAGAAGTTGACTTGCAGAAAACATAATTAACACAACTTTGAGTACTCTATTCAATATTGAAGCTAAATTCAAACTGTGAGAAAATGCAAAAAGTCTAAAGGTTCTATAAAAACACTGGCCATTGGTGTGTTATGAACAAGCGAATACATCAAGCTTTAAGAACTCCAAAGTAAGTGTCTAGCCAACGCTTCCCCCCAGAAGTAGTCATTTTTCCATCACCACGAAACATTGATGCGTCAAAGATTTTACATGTTCATTACACAAAGGGAAAGCTACAGCTATCATTAGCATTCTTCATAATTAAAGCAGGAGAGAAAAACAGACCTTCATTTATGTAGTATACAACAATTCACTTCTTGACAAATAACTTCTTAGGAATCATCTCTATAGGTGTTGTTTTGAGAAGGAAAAGGCGGGCTGCACGTTCTTGCAAAGTCCCTCCACATTTCAACCCTCTTGCCTGAAGCTCTGATTTCAACCTATCCATGCCAAAAACCTCTAATTCAGCAGCTGAATTGATTTCATCGAAATTAAGGGGCTTCTCCGTATTCAGAGATTCTGCAGCTTCAATCATCACTTCATTGGAATCACTGTTCCCAACCACCTTAACATCTTCTGTGCCACTGGCTTGGTGGTGATTGGATCCATTGGACGCTTCATTTTCTTCCAGGACAACTCCTAATTCCGGTTCAATGGCGGTTGCAGCTTCCTCCTGCACACCCCTACTTCTATCAGGTTCTTGACTCTGTTCATAAACAGCCTTCTCTTCATCGGATGTACTCCCTGATGCACCACTACCAGAAGAAATCATATCATGGCGGTCCTCTGTAACTGACTCAGAAATACCTTTGGCTTCTTCACTTGCATCTGAATGATCACCATTATCTAACACAACAGACCTGTTATGGTCCTCATATTCCTCATCCTCGCTATCATACTCATCTGAACTGTCGCTGTCATCATCCACCAATTTCTGCTTTCCAAGCCTGTCAAAATGTCAGTAAACATGATTATTAAGAAGTAAGAAAAATTTTATTCCTTAATTAGATTACAAACACACAGACGTGCAAAATTAAATATATCAATCAATCCAGTCAGCTGGAGTCACACAGGCCAAAACGGTTCAATTCAGGGAAATAACTTGAAAACCCCGTCATTTTCTATGTAGATAAACAAAAATCTGACACAACTTCAAGACAGAAACAATCAATTTAGGTGCAGTTATTACAGCCATGCTACAATACAGAACTCAAATAAAGAAACTAACCAAACTAAGAGACACTAGAAACTGCAGGCGCTCTGATGACTTTCATCAAATCAACTACCATGTAATGAGGAAAACAGTAGAACTGCTCAAGGAAGGTAAATTTATGCCAAAGCTCAGCCTACCATAAAACTCAGTAACATCATTCTAACACGTTCAAAACAATGAACCATGCATACGTTTAAGTTATAGCTGCTGAAAAACTCAATCTGTGTTGAACAATAAATCGAGCAGACGGAATACTATTTGAGTGTTTCAGATTATAAGGCAGAATAACCCTCTACCATACAGCCTCTTCCTTTCTCTGAACACATCCAATACTGCCTGAAGCTTATGAATCAACTATCTATAACAATACGAACCTAATAACTTCACAAATTATTAAAAAGTAAGGGGGCAAAAAAAATGTATACTCCACATCTCACACTATAGCTGTTAAAAGAATCAAGCTTTAAGCTACGCTTAGCCTAAACCATCAAATATAAATGTAACAGAACATAAAACTTGTTTAAGGAACAAAATTAAGCATATCCAAGAGATACAGTCGAATAAAAGCTTACTTACCATATCTTAGCCCTCTTAGAATCAGGTCCATCGGGTTCAGCAGAACTGCCTTTCTTCCTCTTGGGACCCAGCAGCGCTTGCTTGATACTCTCCCTAACAGACCTCTCCACCTCTTCCCTACATCTTTCAGAATCCTCCCTATACTTCCTCACATACTCATCCACGGCAGCACCAGCTCCATTCCCATTTCCTTTACCCTTCTTAGCCATCTCCTTACTCTTCTTTTTAATATACTCCTCCGCGACTTTTTCCAGCTTCCTCTCATCCGCCTCCGCCTTCCACTCCTCGAATTTCTTCTCTGCGTTCACATGCCTTATCCTCCGCCCACTCATATCCCTGCAAGCATCGAAATTATTCGTCTTTTTCTGCCCCGCCTTTGTCGCGGATCCTCTTAAAAGAGATCCGAACCCACCTTTCCCTCCTCGTAGTCTCAGCAACAGGTGGACCACCGCCGGAAAATGTCCCGACGAAGACCCGCATGGAAGATTCTCTTCGTCGTGGAGGAGGGTAGGGGGGTTATGATGGTGGAGGAGGAGGAGCTGGAGGTGGGAGGGGACGGAAGTTAGGGTTTCGATTTGGCGTTTTAGGGATTGGGTGGGGATGATCGGGTTTGTGAAATTGAGGAATCTATGGGTTCCATCGAGGAGTTTTACTAGCACTTGGTAAATTCTTCCCTCTCCTTCTAGTTGATTGGTCTCCATTGTTGGGATTGATTCTAGGGCTTGCAGAAAAATATGTAATGGGAATGAATCGGTGTGTGAGTGCGTGTTTTCTTTTTTGTCCGGGAAAACACTACAACGGGATGGATATGAAGAAGATTTCTATGTATAATAAATAGGGATCGATGACTTTGACTTGGGCTTTTTGAGCCTGCTTCTTAATTTGGGCCGAGGTGATGTTACTCAAACCCAATTAGCTTGAATTTATTTATTTATTTATTTTTTAATTTGTTGAAATTGAATTGTCCTGATAAAAATCAAATATGGAGCTGTTGGTTGTAATCCACTCGAAGTTCGAACAAATCAATAGTACCATAAGCAGCTTATGATGGCTAGAGCATGTTTCGTAATGGTAGTGAAGGGTATATAATTTGTTCATAATTTTCAATATATTATTATATCTGTGTTTCAATTAATGTAATACAATTGAGATACACAAAAAAGTGAGGTAAACTTGTCACTAATGTCATCATCATCAACTCTTAAAGTTTCCCAATATATTTGTATAATCTTTTCTATAATAAGAATGCATTCCTCTTGAGCCGCTTCTTTATCTAGCACTCTTATAAAGCTCTTCAACCATATGCTGCAAGTTTTTCAACATTCATATCAAAAGGTCAGCTCGATTACAGAACAATATGCATCCTATTTGATTCGATTAGGGTGATTTAGGAATGGGGAAAAAAAAAAAAGAAGAAGCCAAAGACCTTGTAATGTTTCAGAAAAGGAGCTCTCTTTTTCTTATAAGTTGGGGTAAGAAGGTCGCGCTCCATGTCAAATGGCGTTGCATCCAGATGTACAGCTTTGATGAACTCAAAGCCCTTCAGCTGTCAAACCATAATGATGTTCAGACAGGTTAAAACGCTACATTGTTAATCATTTCCATTCTGTAAGAAATGAAGGCGATTGAATGAGAGTAGTCTATATGAGTAAGAAACAATATTGCATTGGCATGAACCTGTTTTTCTTTCCCAATCTTGGTTAGTTCTTTTAGAATGTAGTCTTTTGCCATTGGATTTTCACAAAGCGCATCAAATGTTTCTGCAGTTATGCCATTCTCCTCGGCCCAGGATTCGAGTACTTCAGCGTTAGGGTTGACAACGGCAACCAGAAATGACTCGTAGCTGCTACCATAGACCCATATCTGCCATCACCAAACAAGTGGTCTGCTGTTAGAGTGTATGGTTAAGTCGCATGGTTTAGAAAATGTCTTCAAATAGAGGAGTAGAACGTGAAGTTTTTCTTCAACTATACCGAATCAATGCAAGTAGCAAGGCCATAAATGTTCTCTAGATTTTCAACTGCAACATATTCTCCTTGGGAAAGCTTAAAGATGTTTTTCTTTCTGTCAATAATTTTCATACTACCATCTGGTTGCCATTCGCCAATATCCCCTGTCGATAGTGGATTTTGCTATCAGTTTAGTCTTAGAAAATAGTATATCTTAAAATGTGATCATGCATTCAAATCATTATGTACTAATTTAACCTGTGTGAAACCATCCATCGACCATGACTTCTTTCGTGAGATCCTCGCGCTTGTAGTAGCCTGAAAACAAACACTTTCCCCTTATACAAATCTCCCCACGAGGCGTGCTTGCAAGCGCGTCATATCCCATTTCAGGGACCGATTCAAGGCACACATCCACAATTGGCAACGGAGGGCCAACTGTACCTACCATTGATAGTTCATCAGGCCTTGCCACAAATGAACCAGCGCAGGTTTCTGTCAAACCTGCATTAGACCGAGTAAGGCATCTAGTATAGAAACATACTGGCATCAACAGTAACTCTTATACAGAATAAGCAATTGTAAGTCTAAAATGATGGTCTAAATTAGATTTGTACCATATCCTTGAACCACATGAGCACATGTGACAACTCGTAGATAGGTTTCCACAGTGGAAGACAGAGGTGCAGCTCCAGATAATATGAGACGAATATTCCCTCCAAGACCTTCTTTCACCTAAAATTCATAGTCATACCATTCGAAAGCACCCCATCAAACATAAATATCCAAAAAAAAAAAAAAAGAATAAAAAACAAACACTGGAGATCTAGTAGTACTAGTTTTGTTCCACCTTACTGAAAATGATTTTGTCTAGCCTTGGTGCTGCTTCCGAATGTTTGTACCCTTTGCTCATGTTTCGCAGTTTGCTGCAGATGAAAAATAAATGATGATTAAGCACTTCATAATGGTTTAGTAAACTTCCTATATACATCAAGGTGCACAACATTTTCAAAAACAGATATGTAATTAGACTAGGGATGCAAAGGATCTTACTATGAGTAGGCGACATTGAATAATGTAGACTTGAGAAGTCCAGAAGAAGAAACCTTCTCTGTCAAACCTGATTCAGGTGAAGAAGTTACAACTATAATCATCTAACACTACTAACCGTGTAGCAACAAGATCAGATTGATGTAAAGGCAACGGGAAATTGAGCTTAAGCGATTAGCGAACAAAAGGTCCAGAGCCAAATACTACTTATTATGAGTAGGAACACAAAAAGAGGAGAAAAGGTAGCCAGTTTCATTACCCGAATATATTCTATCTAACACTCGAGGGACAGAACAAAATACGGTCGGTTTGAGCTCTTTTATGTCATCAAGCAATTGTTTAACATCCTGCAGAAGCAATGCAATGTACACAATTGTCATGTGTACATTGGTAAACCAAAATTGAGCTAATCGATAGACTTAAGACGACTCAAACCTTATGCCAGAACCCTATGGAGGCGCCTCTGTTGATCAGCAATTCTTCAACCACACGATCAAATATGTGTGCTAAAGGAAGATACGACAGGTAGACATCTTTTTCGCTGAACTGCCAGAGTTGGTCTCTTGTTGAGAATTTAAAAGATGTTTCTCAATGAAGACGAATAGTGTAAGACTTGATATGTGTAGAATGTTTTACCTCTTCACTTATGCTTTCCAGTTGATGATCTACGCCTGATATGATGGAAAGGATGGCCTCATTGGAAATCATCACTCCTTTCGGGTCACCAGTAGTTCCACTGGTGTACATTATTGTGCAGATATCTGTCTTCTTCTTTGCCGGAAGATCAAATTGCTGGCCTTGTCCCTGAAAGGAATGAATTAAAACAATGAAGCCAAGTTGCATGCTCTTAAGTGGCTCAAAACATCATCAAATGGATGCAATGGTTGACAGCACAGTCAGATGGACCGGAACTCTTCCCAAACAAGATACTAATGCTTAGTAATTGAACTGATAGCTAACGCGATGAAAAGTAGCTCACCAGTAGCAAAAACTCATCCCAAGAGAAGATTTTCAATCCAAAATTCATAGAAACCTCCTGTTGTTCGCGGGAAACCCTGCCAAAGCTCACAACGGCTGCATGATCAACCCACAAACATTAGTTTCCTCGTCCGCTAAAACCAGATCTTAAGCTCAAAACAATTGAAGACTAGGCAAACTTACTTTTCAGGTACTTTCCAGATGATGGAAATGTTTTTAACACCTGAAGAACAATGGAATCAAAAAAAGTTAGTAGCTTATATGACAAATTAGGGAGAGAAACACTGCAACATTGATAGCACTTACCTCAGAAACTTTAGTTTCTTCCACAAAAGCTATGGAAACCTCTGCATGACAAATTATATACTCAATAGCACCAGCACCTGAAAGAATCCCACAAACCAAGCCGACTTCTTTAAGAAACTATGCTTTCAAACTGCAGAATGCGCATTACTGAATAAAGACTTACTCCTCCAAACACAAAACAGATAGAACTAGCTAGGTAAACCAGGTGAATGAAATTATCTCGAGCGAACAACTTACCAAGTGTATCATATAAAGGAACACAGTAAAGTCCATGAGCGTTGCAGGCCTGCATAAAGACATCTTATTGATGAACTAAAAAGTTGGCTTGAGATACACAAATCACCCTGGAATGACTGTATTTTAGTAGTTTAAGTGTGACAAAGTACCTGCATACTGACGACCCATTTCGTGCAATTGGCACCATAAATTCCACATTTGTCACCCTCAACAGAAGCAACAAAAATCGAAAATTCATGTCAAAACATCCAAGTTGCTAAGGGAAATGCTTGCAAAAATCCAATACAGATTTAGACAAAAATCATCATCTTCTCATACATAGATAGATGAGTTGAAATTTTGTGGAGAGAGTTTATTGAACAGGACAATATCTTAGCAAAAATTAATTTGACAAAGCTCTGACCAGAACTTACTGGTGTAACGCCACAACTGCGAATGGAATTCCCCACCTTGGAAACCAAATCAAACACTTCTTTATATGTCATCCAAACATATTTACCAGCCTGCAGAAAATTTACATGGCAGCATTTACGATGGAGAGTACTCATGATTAAGCCTATAAGATCCATTACTTAAAAATCAAGGTATAAAGAATCAACAATAAATACATCACAGAAACCAAATAAAATTAGCACCTTTCCATTAACCATCTCACGCTCTCCCAGCATCCGATTTCCGGCATAATCCTTGGCAGACTTACTGTCATAATTAAAAAAACAGAATCAGATACAAACTCTCCCGAGCTAATTAACATTTGCATTAATTCCAAGAATAATAACGCTAATAACAGTAAGTACTACAATGATAACTTGTGAATAATGACATGATAGTCATGTATAGACTTACAAGAAAATGTCCCAACAACAGTCAAGTCCTGGAGCAAGAGGCTTAAACCCATCTTTTGCTAATGAACTCCTATAAACTGGACCCCTTGAATAACATTCTCTAGTCTTTCCATCACCCTTTTGAACCTCAATTTCTTTTGCTTCCTCAATTTCGACTATGAACTTCCCCATGATCTTCCAACTGTTATCAACGCAAGACATTGTGCTCTTGATATTTATATATAACACACAAAATGTTAACCTTTTTTGCAAGTTGGGGTGTTGGAACTTTGGGTTCAATTAGATATATGATGATGCTCAAAAATTTAAGTTGAACTGCTCTAACAATTTTATTGACTAATAAATAGTAATTTGGGTGAACCACAGAAATATAAGGCGCTAGCTACCCCTAACGCTAACGGCGGCCCTACCCATGCAGAGATGATGGTTTGCATGGAATTGTAATTAACTTAACGTACAGGGCATTATTGTGGTTGTTGTGGCTTTTTGTCTTGCCATCACAAACGTGCTGCCCTGATTTATGAAAATTCTTTAATTTGTTCCAACTACCCCCCCATTTATATATCATCAATATATGTTATTACTTCACTAATTAACTTTGGATTTTGACATTTGTCTTATCAGAACTACCTACTTACTTTATTGAATCGGACTTGTGGAAAATGTATATTGATATATTTAGACAAAACGTACAAAAAAGCATATACTCCCTCCATTCCGAGAACAAGAGTCATGTATTTTGGGACGAAGGCAGAGTACCAATTAAGCATGCAACACATAGATAGCAATTAATTTGTATTGTCAAATTGAATCCAGATTTGAAGTTCAACCTCCTATAGATTATTGTGTATTATTGGGTACTAGCTTCCATTCCCTATAACTCCAATCTTCCATCCGGATTGAAAGAAAATATGTACTTCCTTCGTCCCAAAATTATTGTCCAGTTTGGAATTTCACTTTTAGTATAATTTGAATTACAAATGAAAATCCAAACTGGACAATAATTATAGGACGGAGGGAGTACTAAGTCGACGTGGCTCATGGAGTCATCATATGATCCGTATTCATGTTACGTCACAAAGCTTTACGTAGTCAAGCTTATCATATATGCAGCTTTCTTCCTTATCCGAAGTTTATAGCCCAAGACATCCGGACTCGCAACTGATAACTCTAAATTACGCAGTGACGCTCATCGCAGGAACTCCCAAAATTTCTTTGTCAGCCAAATTAAAGCAAATTGGACTCTCAAGTACGAATTCATTAAACTTGCATTTTAGAACATGATTTAATATTAGGATCAAGACCTTCCAAAGTAAGTTTTTTCATCTGTTTTGGTTCAAGTACTTCCCCCGTCCCATAATTATTATCCAGTTTGAGTTTTTATTTTTAGTTCAAACTGTATTAAAAGTGAAATCTCAAACTTGACAATAATTTTGGGACGGAGGGAGTATATTTTTTTATCAGGCCTTCACTTTTGAGGAGGTATTCTTTCTTGAATCCACGAGGACAACTGGTCTTAAATGTGTATCATCATACATCAGCTTTCCATTTCGGTATAACAATAACAGTAATCATCATCTTCATCACTGCAGGATATATATATATATATATATATATATATATATATATATATATTAACTCCAATACATTACGCAGGTTGATTGTCATCAGCCTTGCTACATTACATATTATCTGTAAATTAAGAAGCTTTATCGTATCCCCAACAGCTTCTCCACAGCATTACTCTTCTAGTTCAGCATCATCTGAATTCATCAAAGCCAATGAGAAAAAGGGATCCTGCAATCATACATCCACAAAACAGTAAAAAACATCATCACATGAGGAACAACATGTTGATGCGTACACAAATAAAAATGTGAGGATAAATGTCATTGAGTTCGAACTGGTATATATATGTATAGATATAGATAAGGCAATTTACCGAGCACAATTGTAGTGAGGATCAATGGGGGGGAAATTCCTGGAGACTCCACATTGATGTGGAAGATTGGCGATTCGAGAAGCATTTGATTTCTTTCCGAGCTTGCGGAGTTCTGCTTTGATGCAGTTACAAACAGCTATGAGATCTTTTTTCGTACGCGCGCCATTGCTCACCTTTTTCACTCCATTACAGCAAGCACTGCTTGGTTTATTCGCCAAGTTGGTTATGTATCCCACACATGGATTCAGTTGGGAACTAACGTATCCACAAGACAGCGCTTCGACATCATCATCGGTCACACAAACAACAGTGGCCGCAGCCAAGAGTGCAAACAGTCCCAGCAAGGTTACTAGCCGTGCCATTGCTTCTTCTGTTCTGCGTGATTTTTTTTTGTAGCGAAAAGAAATAAACAAGATCTTTGTTTGGGTTGTAAGTATCAAGGGTGTTTATATATACAGTTTGTTCGGTGGTGGTTATGCCTGAGTTTTTCTTCCAGGAAACTCATTCTGTTAAGTCATTCAGACATGCACTTTCTATGATCAGAGTATCCAGATGACTGAGTCCCACACTTCACTCCAATGAAAAAAAATCAATCATACTCTGTTATACTTTGATTTCCATCTCAAAGAATCCTCTAAGCAGAGATTTTAAACTGGGCCACTTGAATCTACAAAACTATCAGGAACACGACAATCCTGTAATTTTTCAGTTCAAAATGCATATTCACACAATGGAGAATCGAACTGACTAAACTTTTCACAGGCTAATAATTACAGGAAAAAAGGGGGAATCAAGAAACCAAATACAGAAAAAGGTTTTATCCCTTATATTAATATTGGGAAGGGTCACACGCGTTGTCTGAGTTACACATCATTCAGTTCCTACTGAAAATCAGTGTGGGTAATAATATACTTACAGATACAGTACTCTGGCAACTAACATGGTCAAGTTCTATTTTCTGAGGCCATCCAGGTCAGGATTTGGCAACTGTAGGTCGTCGACTACTGTACAAAGAGCTTGCTGCAGCAGCTGTAACTTCCGGTTGAGAAGAGGTACCCGTCGTCGAGAGGAGTGGCTGGAAATTCGTATTGCCTACAAACCAGTAGAGTGCCCACTTCAAGTTGCAAAGAGTGTACTTGAGGGCTTTAGTCCAATTCTCCTGTTTGTTGAAGCTCTGGGTGATAGAGTAACTTTCCACCTTGTCGTTTTCAATCCTGCAAATAACGAGAGCTGAGTTGGCATATTTTATGCTGAAAAAGAAGCAGTGAAGAGAGAATGAGAGGCGCCTCAAACACGTCAACTGTATTTTTGTCCTAAAAACTATGGCCAGAAATAGATATCGCAGAAATGTTTCTTTGTGAAACAAAACAAAAAAAAAACGAACAAGCACTGAAACAGTTTCGGGCTTGAAAAAAGCAAATCAGCAGATACACCATATCGCACTTCAGTAAAAGGTTTTTAATAAAAAAATGCCAACATACTTGTAAGGGAGCTCAAACTGTTTTTGAGGAGGAATATTGTTCTCTTTATCCTTGGCATTTGCAAACTCAGCAAAATCCTTAAGGCAGGTCAAGAATAATGTCATTGCCTTGTCGTAGCGTGTGCTCCAGAACAAATTGACAGGACCAAAGCTGAGAAATAAACAAATTAGATGCATACAGAGAATTACAAAAAAGATGAATGCACAAACACAATCTTAGATGATGGCAATGGACTTCTGTGAACTCGACAACAAACCACAGAAAAAGTAATGGTGCTCAAGGAAAATTAGGAATACAAAAGACAAACAAGAAATGTATCCAGCCCACCCTGCAAAGGAGGAAACTAGACCTGAACGATGCTCAGTCGTCAACTGTCCTTCCCTTCTCTTCAACTAAATAAACTAAAAAAATTCCCTTTGCCCAGCACCCTCTTAAGTTTAGTCCTCGAGTTCACTTATTGGTTCATGCCGAAAGATTTCAAAAGAGTTGGCAAGGATAATATCTACTTACAGTTCATAAGTATTGTTGTTTGTGTCCATGATGCGAGGATAGCTACCCATTGGGATAATTTTTATGCGGTATCTATACCAAGCTCATTAAGGAATTTCAAAAAAAATAAGCCTTTGGGGAACCAAAAATTTTGGAACCCCAAAGAAGTTACAATGGTAACATTATCCATGAATAGAAAACAATATAATGTCAGCAACAATAAACTTGTTAAAAGGATACTGAAACTTTGGCCGGAAATATTGAGCCATTGTATGAAGGAGAAGGCAAGCTTGACCCCAAGCAGCATTTATCTCATCCCACTCAACCTAAGCAATCACAAACAAAATTAAACTTCCATATTCAAATTGACTTGCAAAGGAACATATACCTCAGTTCTGCCTCACATACCGGAACTCTAGGAAGCCTTCCTAGGCGGAAAGTGTTGATTGTTCCGAACTCTCCGTCATGCCCAATTGGAAAAGCATCATTAAGCACATTGGTGCGTTTCAGTAACTCTAGATGAGCTTGTGAAACTTCAATCTTAGCCAAAATTGCGTCCCTTTCGTCCTGTTGGCAATCAGAATCTAGGCTTAAAATTAAAGCAACACTTGCAATAAAAAGAAAAAAGGAACTTGACATAACAGACAACTCGCCAACAACCATAATTGTAACAAACCTGATGAGATATCAACTTAAACTGATAATTATTTAATTCCTGCCAATACCTGCCAAGGATATAAATTTTAGAAAAACAATGAAGCTTAACAAATGCTGATAGGAAAAAAAAAATTAAAAAGAAAAACACAACTAGAAAAGCCAAGCAACCATGAACAGACATTTTACTATTAAAAAATGTTCCAGATAAGATGAAATTACAACCAGTGTGACTTACCGTTCCTCCAGCTCATTAAAGCGACTAGATTTTAAGTCCAGTTCTTTCAGTTGAGAAGTAACTTCCGCACATTGTTTTTCAGTCTCGTTAATGGCAGCTTCAAGCTTTCTTTCTTCTTCCTCTATCTTGAATTAGAAATAATTAACAGAGTGAAAATCAGGAAGTCATAATGAGGACACAGCAAATGAAATGCCATTCAAAATTCCAACCCAATGGTCATTTTCATCAACCCAATTAATAATGATCACATCCTATGCAGTACAACTCACTCAGCCACTCACTCAGTTAATAAGTGATGCAAGAGAGGAAATGAAGAGGACAACTATCATGAACAAAGCATTCAAATCATTCGTCTTTGTATCTGAAGAACAGCAATTATTATAGGATAAATCACTTTGAAATACGAACCTTAAGTTTCTCTTTAAGAAAATCAGCTTCGCTGAGAACATTTCTGGCATCCCCTTCCAATTGTTGTAGACAGGCTTCATATGCTTTTAAGTCCCTGTTCACATCTTCAACCTCTTTCTCAAGTTTATCAGAAAGAACCCGCATGCACTCCAGACACAATGGTTGTTCAACCTGGTCACAGCAAAGAAAAAGAGAAACTCCAAGATCAAGTAAACATCGCAATAATCCAACAGAAAAGCATTCATTCGCAACCAAATTTAACAATATTTTCAATCAGCAAACAGGCTAAAAGAATATACCTGCGTCTGGGATGTAGCAATGTCAAATGCACGCTTCAAGATGGTTATGGTGGTGTGGAAACCAGAATTATTCGGCTGGGACGGAGTGTTAGTCGGGCCCCCTTCATGCGATAGCAAATGAGTTCCAACTCCATCAGCTCCAGATTCTGACTCATAGACAGAAGCTGCTGGAGGAGGCACGACTACAAACGATTCTTCCATTGCCCTAACCGACTGAACACTATTAGGCTCAGGCTGAGCACCTCCAACACGAGGGCGAGGAGGCATCCCTGGTGACTGATTTTGCTGCTTCGGCAGCACGACAAACGAATGATCCATACGTGTTGAAGCTAACACACTACTACTAGGCCCATTTACTGCAGGACCCAGTACTCCTGCACATGCATCCCAAATCATCACCACACACTAATATCATCATATCCCCTCCCTTGAACAAAAAATCCACAAACATAACTAAGCTTGTATTCCATTATGAGGAGACACGCATACCAACGTACTCTACCTATAGTTTCATTAATATTCGAAGAGACCATGTCATGTTCAACATTTTCTTTTCCGCTTAGCCATTTATGTTGAGTTAATGATTCTAAATTTTCTACCAATCAATCCCACCAGACTAGAAGTCAATCATATTCCTTATATGATGTTAGTATCCTGCATCAGCTATGGAAATTACAGAATTCAAAGCGTACTCATCTAAACAGTTAATAACAAAGAAAATCATCAATTAGCAGCCGTTTTGGCTCATCAAATTCAAGAATGGAGCCACATCATATCACGACAAAAAAAATTCAAAAACTCATCGTTAACTTCAGGAATTCTTATTAACAAAGCAAAAACGAGAAATTTAATTGAACCCCGAAAGAAAAAAGCAATAAATCGTAACCGGAGCGAGCAGCATCGAAGGTAGGAGGAGCTAAGAGCTTGTCAGCGGCGGCGCGAGCGGCGTCGACGCCGTCGAAGTGGAGGTAGTGCCGGCAGTTCTGGCAACGGGACCTGGGGAGATTCGGGTCAACGGGTAAAGTCCGACCCTTATCATGACTATGAATCATCATCCCGGGGCCGCAATTATTATTGCCACTACGATTGATGCCTCTCCCATCATTGTTCTTCGTCGTGGACATAATTCTTCCGATCAAATTATCGATCAAACAAAAAGAAGAGATTGGATTACAGGCGAAGCTCTGTAATAAGTTGCCGGATTCGGGTTACCGAATGCGCGCCAAAGTGTTATCGCCTTGTGCTGTGGATTGGATTTGGGTTGTTAGAATCCTGTTTGTTTGTTTTGTCGGAGCCTATTTTATTACAGTTTGGGTTACATTAGGATCAACACATAGCCAAGCCCATCTTTTCGGGGTTTCTTGAGTCTCAGTTGCGTAATAGTCCAGGCCCAACTAACTCGATAATTTTTGGATTTTTAAGTAATCACAACAAACATCTGAGTTGAGTTGAGTGAGATTAATCTAATCAGGAGTCGGTGGAATTGTGGAAGTAATTGAACCAACAGTCAGTATGCATTAGTATATATTTTAATCTTAGTTTAGGACAGATCCATATGGAGTAGTAGTATACTTAGAAATAGATGTTCAACTTCAACGTCAAAGGATCATGTTCCCTCCATGATCATCTTCTGATCAGATATATGGCATTGATATACGGCACAGCTGTCCCTCATTTCTTGGAGTCAACCCCAACCTTATAATTGATTATATAATCATCATCAACATTAATAACTACACTTTATGATCAGCTTAATTAATTAATTAGCTGTTCCTTCGGTCGTTCCCTCTCAATTATAGTACTACTGAATTAAATTAAACCCACGTCTGCGGCACTTATAATAGTTTTCAACACAACGTAGTAAGCATTGGCGTTGTTTTGGATTTTTTTTTTTTTTTAAATTAGTTAGTTAGAGAGAAAATATGTGTTTAGTTCAATCATGATGAACTACGCATGAGTTGGAGGCGCAGGCGCCTACGTTGGATCATCGAGAGGAGCTTTTTTTTTTTTTTTTTTTTTGAGTCCTTTCCAAAAAAAAAGAAGAAAAAGAGTCAACGTCTAGACATGCCAACGATTGATGATCATTCTAGATTTGAACAGCTATCGGCCGGAGTGACGGTTCCTAGGTCCTGATAAAACAAAGGGAAAATAAAATTGATAAAATAAGAAAAAACAAAAGAATTAAAAATAAGAGTAAATAAGAAAAAAAAAAAAGAATTGGCATCATTAATTGATATTAAAGTTGAAACATTATTAACATTTATAATGCCTGAAAATCTTAAAATAATTTCTATTTTATAAAATATTTCATCAATAATTATAACGATCGATATTTTGAAATGGACGTAGAGGATATAGTGGATAATAAACTTGGTCATCACGAGGAGTGGAGAGGAGCTTCTTGATCATCATAGCACTCACAGATGGCATCGCTATAATGTATGGGTGACCCTAATTTCTTGGATCCAAAACTAATAAAATTATCGTTATTAGCTGCATTAATTATCTGTTCGTCCATTAAATACACTTAAAATTGATAATAGATCCCCACTTCTGCAGCACTTTCAGTTTTTCAAATAAGAGAACTTAGATTCAAATAGAAATTAGGCTAACAGGTTTTGGTTCACAAAATGGCATGTGGAAGCATGATATTGGCCAGCTGTGATTAAGGATCTCGAGAGGATCAGCTTTAGGTTTGTTTGATCTGTTTCACACTTAAACTTGTGACACTTCTTTTGTTTATCTGTGATTTGATCACCATGTAATTAATGGTTTACTAATAAGTATTGCTCCCCACGTCCCATAATTATTGTCCAGTTTGAGTTTTCATTTCTAATTTAAATTGTACCAAAAGTGAAATTTCGAACTAGACAATAATTTTGGGACAGAGTGAATAGTATATAATGTGTATTTAAAAAATTAAGTTGAAAATGATTGTGCAATCAATTTGAAATTTTGAATGAATTACCAATTCGTAGTAACCAGTAAACTCCTGGAGATCCATTGCCATTAATTTGTCCTGGGATCAATCTCAAACACCGATCATATATGTATCCTCTGTACTTCTTTCGTTCTAATAGAAACATCATTTTCTTGTGGTATGTGTGTTTGTAAATATGCTTCATTTGTAAAAATCTTAGGTGAAACATAAAAATCTTAAGATTTATAATATATTATGTCTTTTTAATTGGAATAAAAATCTTAAAAATATTTCATAATAATTAAGAAAAAACAACGAACGTGAAAATATATTTTTAAGATTTTTTTCCAATTAAAAAGATATTATATGTTAAATATAGGACGAAATCAAAATGCCTTCTAATAAGGCCGGAGGGAGGAAGATATAAGAAACCAAGAGTAAAATATCTAATGGAGAGTTTGGTCTGCATTATTTATCTCCAACCATTAAGAGGTAGTGGACGCTTACTCCAATAGGATCTATGGTCATCTGTGTGGAGCAAATCACGTCATTGTGAGTGATATATGAGTACGTAGTGTTGTTAATTTGGAAGTCAATCAAATTAACCCGAGACTAATTCATTCTAGAGTGCCGCATTTCTCAGGTAGTGAAGCGGTTTTGATGTATTTTTACACTATAACAGTATTAAGATAAATTGACAAAATTATCCTCCTTTTAAATATCAGTATTATCCTCAATTTGTTTTCTTTGCTTTTTTTTTTTTTTTTTTGGATCAACAAATCAACATCATCATCCATTCATCCTCAACCTCAAACGATCCCCTCTTTAAAGTTTAAACCCACGGCCGTCCTCCGCCCCCGCAACTCAATCTGATCGTTGTAGAAGCCAAAAGAGGAAGCCTAATTTTTTTAATATGACCGAAAAAAAGTCAGAGATAGTGTAAGCTAATTAGAGGTTAATTATTTAATTCCACATTTCCAATTCTTCACAGGCAACCAAGAGAAAAATCATCCAATTTATTGTGAATTTCTGGGAGAGGGAGAGAAAATGTAGCGCATCAATTTAAGAGAAGGCAACAAAGAGTCAGAGACACCCGATTTTATGAAAGAGAAGACAACTATAGAGATATAAAAATTTGTTAGTGGCATTCGTCCGTGCTTGAAGATTTATTTTTCTAAATTGCTTGTTTGCAACAAAGGTTTGGAATCAGGTGATTCATTACTATGCAAAGTTGTTCTGAGTAGTATTTCTTTTGAATTCGGGGATGAAAAATTTTCAGATTTTCTTCGTAATCGGGATGGCCAGTCGGAGTGGTGTTGAAAGAGGGCTGTAGGAGTCGACGAGGGACGAGAGGCGAGAACATGTTCATAAGTTCTGATTTTTAAAAGAGGATAATTTTGTCAGTTTATCTTAAATTTGCTCTGGAGGCTAAAATTAGACTTGGCAATGCCACACTCGATAGTTGAATTTGCTTTCCTGGCCATGTCAAATAAGTATGATTTGATTCGAAAAGATGTGGTAATTAATTAATTGCAAATACTTGCTTTGAGGGTCAAGGTAATTTAGTGGTTGGTGTAAATTAATTAATTTCGTTAGCTTTTGAAACCAATTGAAAGACAAAATCAGAAAAAGCTTTTTAACTCGCAAGGTACTGAGTAGCTATCTCATTGAGTTGAACCCTAGTCCCTAGGAGAAAAAAGCAATAGATATATAGACTTTAATATGGCTTATTATTAATATTATTATTATTATTATTATTATTATTATTATTATTATTATGGTTTTGAATTTCAGCAGGAATCAACTCACAACGGGGGGAAACACGTACAGCGATGGATAATTAATTAGTTGAAAAGCAGAAAGGGTGAAACTGTGAAAGCCACGATCCCAGCACGTACATAGAAGTTGTTTCAGTTGGTGATGAGATGATGAATTTTGTACCCCGTGAAGAAATAGTAGTGATAATTAGAGTAGTAATTAAAATTAAAGTCCAGCACAGAAACAACTTGCATTATAATTGAGATACAGTAGTATATAAAATTAATTAAATGGATCAGAGATTAATGAATGTAGAGCCCTAGCTAGTGAGTCGTCTGGCTAGTTCCTTGGGGGCGTGCTATATCTATAAATAGGGACCCCCATCAACTCAGTCTAAAGACACACACCAAGAGAGCAAATTAAGCAATCAAAGCCAAAGAGCAAAAGCAGCTAGCTATTTTTCTTGTGTGGGGGAAAAAAAGAAAAGAAAAAGAAATGGCCGGCGGGAGAGGTTTTTTGGTGTTTTGCGCCCTGGTGGTGGTGGTTGCGAGCACTGTATCATTGTCAAGTGCCCAGATCATCGCACCCCCAATCGGAAACATCGATCAGGCCCTCGCGGTTCTGGAAATCGTCCAAGACCTAGTGGCAGGAATCCCTGTGGGAGCTGGGAATCTCCCTAATTATCAAGCCACTCTTAACAAAGCCCTGACCTACCTTACCGCCGTCCAAAACTTTTTTAACAATGGTGGTATCCCAACGGCCGGCCTCCCAGCCCCCTCCTTGGCCACCGTGCTAGGCCAACTTACCGCCATCCGAAGCACTCTTGCAGCTATCTCCCCCGCCCAACTCCTTACTTCTCCTAACACCCTCCTCACCCTTATTAACACCGACAACAACCTTATCACCACTGTTACTAAACTCCTCGCCATAACCTCTCTCCCTTCAGTTGCATCAACTGACGCTCTCACCAACACCATTAACAATGCTGCTGCAAACCAGCTCCCAGGCACCCTCGGAAAATGATCTCGTATACGTACGTGGATCTTAATTTCTTCTTTGGGCTTTTTTATCTTCTGGACGTACGGCCAAGCAAGCATTCATCTAATCTTTGTTGCTTTTATTACTTTCTTTGTTTTGCCCCAAGAGTTTTGTTGTTGTTGTGCTTTTTTTGGGGGGTAATTTTCCCCCATTATATATGTTGTTGTTGTTGTTGTTGTATTGTATCGGGATGGGATGCTACATACACACATACTGGGACTCTGGGAGTGCCATTATCACAATGTCGATCCATGTACCCATGAATATGTAACGACCATTTTCTCGACCTTCTTTCTATCTTTTTTAACGTAGCATGTACTACATGTAACAAACTAAATCATATATATACTCCGGGTCTCCGTCCCAAAATTATTATCTAATTTAAATCACTTTGAGTTAAAATTATGCTTACTAAAAATAAAATATCAAACTGGACAATACTTTATTTGTTCAAAGAAAAAAAGAAGTTGACATGTAATCGACCTGTTAGACATAGCAACGATGAACAACGATAGAGTTCATTGATAGGTCGGTGTTGAACTGTCGGTTCCAAGGCTCCGCAAGTAAACCAAAACTAAATTAATGTTTTTTAGACCATCAAATTTTTGTTAGGTTTCGACTTTCGATCCTTTGAAAATTTAATAGGTCCACTCACAATATTAACATCATTAAAGAGGGGGAGCAAAATATATAAATATATGAACTAATAAGAAACAAAGAAAAACCCTAGTTTACGTTTCAAAGTAAATCAATTTTTATTTATATCATATTTGTACTGTATATGGTACGTGTTATATAAAATATCGTACTAGCCATTACTCCATCCGTTCTAAAATAACTATCATTCTAAACTTTGCATACAGTTTAAGAAAACATTAAATAAGGTGACTAAATTACTATAATATCCTCAACTAACCCCATTAAAATAAATATTACCAATAATATTATTTCTTTTAAAGGTATGTATGGAAATTTTTGACAAAAAATGCATTGAAATTCGAAAATGACACTTATTTTGAAATTTCTTCATTTTGCCAAAATGACATTTATTTTGGAACGGAAGGAGTACGTATAAAGAATATTTTTCTAAGAATGAAATGGATTTAGCTAGCTAGGTTGTTGTGCGCAAGGATCTTCATCAAGATCTCGGCAACAGGCTGGCTTCCCTCTTTTCTTCGACCCAAAACGAATATCATCAGCATCAAACAACTAATGATATATTAGTTTAGCTGCTTTAATCTAATATATAGTACATTAAATTAATTAATTAAAGAGTAAACCACTCATATAATTGATTACACTTTAAATATGACCTATATGATTAACTTGTTTTCACCATTAACTATGTATTTTTCCATTTAAGTTCCATAATTTAATTTACCGCAATCGGACACGTATGTTATTACGGTTTAAAAAGGGGAAAAAAGGAAAAGAAAAGAAAAAGGACCAAATATATGGTGGATAAATTTTCAGATTTTACTTTCTGAACACTCACGAAATGAAGTTGGTCACCATGAGGGAATGAAGGAGCTTCGTGATGGTCAAGAATATGATCAAATCTTAGCACACCGATGGCAGGCATGGATATAAATTACTAATGCATGGCGGGGTTGACCCTAATTTCTTGGATCCAAAACGAATATTAATCATCGTCATTAACTGCAATGCTTAACTTAATTAATTAGCCTCCTCTTCCATTATTATTATTATTATTAATTATTACACTGGAATTAACAAAACCCCACGTCTGAGCACTTTCGATCGGTCTTCCCACAGAAAATAATTTGGGTCGTGGATATATATATATATATATATATATGAGAATTCTAATGATAGAGAGGATAACAAGTTTTATTTTTGTAAGCATGTGGAAGCATGCTATTCGCCAGCGGATCATTACACTTAATTTAAGTGAGGCGAGTTGATTGAAATTAATGTCACTCAATGAGCATATGTAATTCGATTCCACCCTTTTTTTAGGTTAACAAAAAAAAAAAAGAAAAAAGAAGCATTAAACCTAAACTTCAAACCATTACCTTTCGAGGCTACGTATAAAACCACGATTTTATATCGTGAAGTAAGCATATATTATAATATAAATCAAACCATTTCATTACGGATTACATCCCGCGATATAGCTTTATATGTTTAACTTAATTTCATGCAGCATTTGATCACCGCGTACTTTAAAAGTAAGTAATGTCCAATTTACATTTTCGATTTTAGTACAAATTGAACTAAAAATAAAAATCTAAATTGGACAATAATTTCAGGACAAAAGGAGTACTCCCTCCATTCCAAAATAAGTGTCGTCCTACACTTTGCACATAGTTTAAGAAACTCTTAAATATGGTAATAAAATTACTTGAATATCCTCAACTAACCCCATTATAAAATTATCCAGCAATAGTATCAACTCTTTTGAAGGTAATTTTGGAAACTTTTGACAAAAAGTGCATTGAAATGTGAGAACGACACTTATTTTGGAATTTCTCCATTTTGCTAAAACGACACTTATTTTGGAATAGAGGGAGTAATAATTTTTGGGGGTTAAAAAGAAACTATGTACTGAGACTATGTGTCCCAATATATTTGATTACATAATTACAAAAATTGCAAGCTTAATTATTCTGATCATCACCGACAAGATATGTGGTGGTACAGTGGTACTTGGGAGTTTAATATTGAGATCCAGCCTAAAGTAAGTAGGTAACCCTAGCAAGTTCCTCCCACCATTCCCTCCTATAAATATAGGTCCCCTGCATCTCTTTAATTCCACAAACACACACTTACAAAACAAGCAGTTTTTCTTCAAGCTTTAGCAAAATTGTGAAACCCAACCAACCAGCCTTCTCTATCTCAACTAAGATGGCTAAAAGTACTTCTCATCTTCTCCTTGTGCTTTCTCTTCTTCTTCTTACGTTATCATTTTCAAGTTGCCGTCAGCTTCTTGATGCAGGGGATCAAACAGGCCCACTTAGCGTTGGAGGTCTTACAGACACTGTTGGAGATCTTACAGACACTGTCAATGTTGGAGGTCTTACAGACACTGTTACAAGCACTGTTGGAGGTCTTACAGACACTGTCAATGTTGGAGGTCTTACAGACACTGTTACCGGATTACCAAGTACTCTTGGAGGTATTATTGTCCCATAAATTGAAGCACAACGGAGCGAGGATCAGACAGATACGAGGGTCTTTCAGTAATACCCTTCACCAAAAGATCCATGATTGAGTTTGTGTTGGTTGCTTTTATATTCCTGTTCATCAGCATTTTCACTTCTCTACTTTTTTTTTTTTTTTAGTATTTTTTATTTCCACCATATTTTATTCTAGTTTTCTTTTTCCTCTCAGTGTTGGTTGATCCTTAATGTATATGCTACATAAACACACGTGTATGTAGCAAAACAGAGTTAATGAATTTTTATTTTATTTTTTGGTTGTTATTTCTCATCTTTAATTAATTTCAGTGCTAATTATCTCCTCATATGTTCATACAAACTACGACCCACTGTATCCTAATAACATTAATAATTTGGGCTGGGATCTATAGTTTCTCCAAAAAAATAAAAGATAAAATTTGCCAGTAAAAAATTTCGTAGTGTTAATTAATTAAATTGGCACATGTCAAGCATGACGACACCAATATATATTGATTCCATCTCCAACTCAATAATAAAAATATACGTAAAAATTTAAAGAGTAATTGAATGTGTCAGTGGAACAAAAAAAAAAAAATTGTCATCTATATTTATTATGACATTTGTAACGATATATACCTCCACAGTTTTTTTTTTTTGTGTGTTTTTTTTTCTCCCAATCAAATTAAGAAACCTCCATATTTGACATTCGACAAAAGAATGTTGAACATTTACTTCGAATTATGTACAAACTGTTATAGTTTTGCTGAATTCTAACCTAACTGCTCAGTAAAACTACCTTAAAATAATGTAGTATAAGTTGTACGTACGTGTTGAGATCCATTGAAATCAGTCTAGTCGTAACAAGAGCCCGAGACAGAGGATGAATACACACATTTACTAAATGTGCCCTCATACATGATTCCATAACCTTTGGGTAAAAGAAAAAAAAAAGAAGAAGAAGATGATTTTAATTTAATTACAGCCATCTGATTTTGGAATAGACACATTTCTACCAGTGTAATGTATTTTGGAACAGCCACATTTCTACCAGTGTAACGTATATTTATCAATATTCGCAAGAAGCTGTTTATGTGCATTTACGTACCAATACTGAATGAATAAATAAATAAATAAAACTGACGATATATACAGGTTCTTAATTTCTTAAAATAAGATTGTATATATTTTCATTATTTCATAGACGACAAGTCTATATTGGGCAGTCGACATATGTATAATTCTTGGAACCCCTCAACAAGTACAATTTCATGGTAAACAACCCATCTCTGAACCACATTACATAATAAACGGATATGAACAGTTTTGACGAGGAGATTTGAGTGTTTGATACGATGCGCTATTCTTTTGCAACTAGCCAAGTGAAGGGAACAAAACAAACCCGATATTATGGCCTTTCTTATTAGCCAGGAAAAAAACGCACTTTTCACCGTTCATAAAGAAATTAATAAAAAATTAAATACAGAAATAAAAGTTTGACCGTTAAGTCTTTAAAAATTCTATTAAATTGACTGAAATTGACGACAAAAAAAAATTTAGGAAACTATTTTTGCTAATTAAAAATTCATGATGACTCAATTTTGGTACCTCCAAAAGCAGGGACGAAAAGTACGTTGTCCTTCTTATTATGGCATAATTTCACGGCATTAATTTTTTGTTTGATGATACTTCGATTTTCGTTATACTCCCTATATTTCAATTTGTAGGTTGTTTTAGGTTTAAAAAGATTTTTCAAAAGGTAGGTTGTTTTACAAATTTTCGGCAAATTAATGACTATTTTTATAACTTTACCATCAATAAATGATACTAATTTATTATTATTTAGTCTTGTTTATAGTTTCAATATAATTAATGAGGAGTAAAATAGATATTTAATATTTAAATTAATTGTTGGATGATTGTCTCCTTAGTTTATGTGACAATTCTAAAAAAATTTACATTTTAAGATGGGGGAGTATCCAACAAGCCCTCCAACCCATCTTTTATAGTAGTACCAGTATTTCTTTGAATTTACACATGCATCTGAAGAAATTGATGCTTTCTGCAAGTAATTAAATGGGGTCTCCACATCGTTAGAAACTTGCACAAATTAAGTTATAAAACTTCCTTTGATGGTACTCCAGGTGGTACAATCTCCTGAATATTAATGGGAGCGATTAATTGATCATCATCGTCTTCATAATTACTCTCAAAGTCGATCATCATAAGCTGATTTTGTTCCCCTAACACATAAACCAACCCCTTGTGAAAAATTATCATGTCTGTCACCTAAGATTATTGAGTTTCAAATCTTGGAAATAATTCCAAGGTTTTATTATTATTATTTTTTGAAAGCTAAACAGTAGCCTAGCTCACAAGTCCAGCAAATTGCTCCAATGATATAATCATCCGGATTTATCCTGGGATCACAAGACGAAATAACTTTTTGAACAAATCAAAAAAAAAAAAAAAAAATCCCCCGATGATGATGGGAAAGGAGTTTTAAAACTCTTTTAGCTAAAAGGGTTTGATTTAGCACTGACTAATTAAGACCAACCATCCATAGGAGGAACCATAGTAATCAGCTGAGGATTGTGTTAGTTTTGAGTGGTAGTGCGGATTATTTTGTCCAAATTTAACTTGTGATTTTCCTTTGTTTCCCCAATTTCTGAATTTATATATATACTACTACATCCGTCCCAAAACATAGTTTATATTGCAGTTTATGAATAGAACTTTAATAGATTTTAATGTCGGCTACTTTTGTGAGATGGATAGAGTGACAGCATTCCGCTCTTAAACAGAAACGTAAGCGTAGGTCATCTTTAAGAATATTAAGAGTTGACAAGGTTTTAAGTTCATTCTTAGGGATCAGTCGACTATATCTTCCCGCACAAAATACTACCTGGAACGCAGCCCGGGGATGTTCTTCAAACCCATCTTCCCTAAGACTAATTTAGGAATGGCCGGCGGGTTGTCTAATCCCATGCTACGGCTGAACTCGTTCGCAAGCTCCACCAGTCTGTACTTGTCTCGTCCTACTGTCTTGTTTGAATTATAGTAGCCCAGCCAAGCCTGATATGCTGTTTCTTTGCTCTTCATCTCCACATGAGATAGCGCACGTTCGACCTGAAAGGTAGCGTATATCTTGTGAGAATTGGGGACCGATTCAAGAATTTTCTATATTTATGCAATATTACTTGCTGCTAATATATATATATATATATATATATAAATGTTTAAGCACGACTATGATACTATTCATGTGACAAAATGCCAACAAATTTCCCAGAAACGAGAAGGGGTCAAGATTTTCCAGGCACACAACATGACCTTTTTCCTTTTTTTTTTTTGGGGGTGGGAGTGGGGAGGGGAAGACAAAAGACGAAGTAAACATTGAACATCATGCAACAAAAGGCAAACCACCAGTTTAGATAAAAAAAATTTACCTTTTTCTTAGTCTCAGGATCAACAAGAGGCTCCTCAGCCTTGGTCACGGGCAAATCTTTTATAGTGGACAAAAAGAATTCCTCCCAAGGAGCCAACATTAATATGCCTTGTCCTTCCTTACCTTTGCGGCCAGTTCTTCCAAGGCGATGAATATATTGTTGTCTATCAGCTGGAAGGCCAATCTACCAATTGACAGAATTGTACATTTAGGATCGTGCACAGAATATATTATCTGTCAGATGTGGCAACCAGGTTTGAAGCTAGTTTCGTTCAACGAAGGTTTTAGGGCAAGAACATTACCTGAACAACCAGTGTGACATCAGGATAATCAACACCGCGCGCAGATACATCGGATGTAACAAGAATCAGACCTTTTGACTTCCTAAATTCATCAGAAATCCTGGTTCTGTAACTCTGTGGCTTTCTGGAATGTATTTCTCGGACATTCAAGTTAAGTTCACCAAGAAGGTCAGCAACAAGTTTTGTGACCATTGCGGTTGTACAAAATACAAGAACCTGGAAAAGTCAAAAAGTGGTTGTGAATGTTATGAGACAAAGGTATTTAGAATTTTCCCAACGCATGATCAAGCACGACTTGCAGTTTATATTGCAGTTTATGAATTGAACTTTAATAGATTTTCCCAATTTCTGTACCTTATAATCTACATCAGCAGCTGTATGCTCTTTCAGAAGAGTATACAGAAGCGTAAAATGTTTTTCTAGAGGAGCAACCATATGCATCTGCCTGACCTGAAATACCAATATTACAACATTACAAATGCAAACTTGTAAAAGGGAATGAAACTCAAATTTTACTTCTTTTTGGTAAACTAGATGGAATAGAATGAAAATGATTAAACAGGATCCCCACCTTTGAATGAGTTTCTTCACTGCCTTCTTCAACTGTGTTAACGTATTCATGATCTCTTTTCAGCGCAATATGACAAATGCTACGAACCTGTAATCATAATTTGAAAGAGCTTTACATCAATCTATACTCCAGCTTGTCAGTAAAAAGTGGGCAAAAAGATAACCTGACCTCCTTAGGTATTGTTGCAGAGAAAAGAAGTGTCTGACGCTGTTTCGGAACAGCATCTATGATTTTTTCAATATCTCTACGGAATCCCATGTCTAATAAATGATCAGCTTCATCAAGCACCAAAACTTTGACACCCATCAATCTGGTTGCAAACCCAGCTGTGTTCTCAATATGATCTCGAAGTCTTCCAGGTGTGGCGACAAGAATCTGGCATTCACAGTAACACACTTCTCATACTACATCAAACAGAAATACATAGGTGATTTGACTCCATAACAGGGTCTCAGAGTAAGACCACCTAGGGCAGATCAAACACTCAGACTTAGATGATCGTAAAGCTTATACCCTAACTCGGGCATGCTTTGGAGTTGTTATGGGTTGATAGACCCAAGAACTATTCTAATTATTGTCTTTACAAGAACTATAAATTATTCAACAACAAGAAGAAGCTTTTTTCCTACTGTGGGGTCCGCTATACACGGATCATATGTTTCCATCTTGCTCGACCAACCATAAATTATTCAATTGATGCTAAAAACAGTTTTTCTCGCAGATATAGAGGAACCAATAGAGTAGCACACACAAGACAGGAAAATAAGTTTTAAATAAAAAGTGAAGACCTGAATTTTCCAACACTAACCCAACTCGAAGGATACCGATGCGAGTATTCACTAAAAACAGAGCTGGTAAAATTCAATGAATATACACTTCGAACAAAATGCTTAACTGCAGCAAATATATGCTTACTTGGCATGGATTTGCTTGCATTCTTTTTTGTTCCAGAGCAAGCCTCGTGCCTCCGATAACAACTTGAACCCCAATTGAGGGATGATATTTCAACAATGTATTGGCCTCTTTAGCAGCTTGACTAGCTAGCTCCCTAGTTGGGCAAATAACAAGAACGAGGATCGGTGGTCGCTTCTGATCACGAGCAGCAGATGGAGAGTTTACAACTACTTCGATAGAAGGAAGCTGAAATGGATCGTTAACAGGCAAGTTAGAATTTGTTTTGTTTGAGTATCACAAATAAAGATAATATTTCATGGAATCATATCGGTATAAAGTAAGTAATAAAACATATATTCTAACGGACTTGTATTTTATTTCGACAATTATTTTCATTTCAAAGTTGCATGAAAGCATAATGTCCAGGCAATCCGTTTCATTTCTTTGTACAAATTTGTAGAGGCTCCTGTTCACAGCCTCAAGGGTCAGGACTGCAGTTATACAAGAAACTTGTAACGTAGATATATATGCATCGGCAGTTTACTATATGAGTAACAAAAAAAATCTACAAGTTGCACAGAGATAGAATCTCGTTACCAAAAATGCAACTGTTTTCCCAGTTCCAGTCTTTGCCTTAGCCAGCACATCCTTACCTATGGCAAACAAAAGATATAATCAAGGGCAATGTCATTACACTGCACAAAAGAATGACAAATCAAACGAAAGCCAAAAAGAAGATCGATGCTAGAAATTAAGAGTATGTAGTCATGAATCATGACCATTTAAGTTCGAGTGGGACAATTATAAATCTTTCATATTGTACAGTAGCCTAAATTTTATACACTGAACGCGCTAGAACTTAACCATAAGCAAGCTTGCAAAAATGGACAAAACCTTCTTTCAAAAAATCCAGCCCGAACTATAAATACTTTTGCAATGCAAAAATATAAAGGTTTCAGAATACTTATGAGAATTAAGAAATGATTTGATGAGAAAAGTGAGCTCTAACTCTTTTTCTTATCTACGAAGCCCAAAATCCAAATTGGAGTTGAGAAGAATACCTTTTAGAATGACAGGTAGAGTTGCCTCCTGTACCACTGTCATCTTATCGTATCCAACATCTTTAAGTGCTTTAAGGGACAAGGGAGAAACGGGGCACTGGTCAAACCTGTTGAATTTTAAACAATTTAGCTGAGAAAATAAAAATAAATATACAAAAACAAGAACTCTATCCTCTGCAAGCATGTGTTTTTTCTCATTTATTATCAGCATAAATTTCAAAAGAAAATCTACCAAAAGAATTCAAGATAATATTGCGACTTGCGAGTAAGCTTCGGCGTATGCTTGTTAGATGACAAGAACTAGATAGCATAATCAGTAACATACTGATCCACACAAGTGTCATAATACTAATAGAAACTTAGACATCTAGAAAAGCTTACCTGGATTCACTCAGGTAGGAGTCGCTTCCTTCAGCAGAACTAGATGGAGGAGCTCTCACAGTGGTGCCTTCACTCCTTGCCTGAGAGAAGACGTTTTCTTCCTCAAGCGCATCATCGACAACCTCGTCATTGCTGTCAAAATCGTCAACTTCACTACCTTCCTCACTATCAATCAACTCTTTAAAGCTCATATAACTCTTGTCATTCTCATCCTCTACTTCCTCGTCTTCATCTGACACAAATCTCCCTCGCCCTAAATTATTCCGCTTACTACTTCTTCCAAAGTCCATTCCAGAGCCCTCCCGTCGCCCCTGATTTCCACCACCAGGCCTAACACGCAATCCCGAAGATCTCCCATTAGCATCCCGACCCCTCAAAAATCCATCTTTTGAATCCCTACCATTTCGCCTAAACATGTTGTCGCCACCGCCCTCTCTATCCTTCGAACCCCTCGAGAACCTGTCATTTGATTCCATACCTCTCTGCCTATCGCGAGGACCACCGCGCCTATTTGAAGACCCGAAATTGTCAAAATCACTTTCCCGTCTTTTAGGAAATGAATGTGCTGAATCACGGGGGCCACCTCGCCTAACAGAATTAGCCCTAAAATCGGTGAAATCGCTGTCCCTCCTCCTCTTCCCACCCCTCTCTTCCCTCCCATCATCTCTCCTGTTCCTACTACTACTAGTATTCCTACCTCTATCATCATCACTATCATCACTATAGAGCTGAGTTTTATTAAAAGACTTGGAACTTAACCCACTTACCCAGTCACTAAGGTCAGCCTCATCCTCCATCAAACTCTTGGAACGGGCCCCGGCCCCGGCCCGAACAATGCCTCCTCCTCCTCCGTCGCCAGACCCGGAAGCTGTCCTCCTTCCCCGGGTGGACAATGCCCGAATCTGTTCATTCCTCCCTGGATAATGAGCCGACGACCCAACCGGAAACCTCAAGAAAGATTGGAACTTTAGCCTGTGAGGGAAGACCCGAGAGAAGATGTCAATTGCCCTGGTGGGTTTCAAATTAGGGAGAGTTTTCATGGTGATTGTAGCCGCCGGATGAAGAAGATAGCTACTGTGAATCGGTGGGACTCGTCCCGCCGGAAGAAGCTTGGGCCAAATTGGCATCAGTCGGTGACTGCGAGTAATGGTGAAATTTAACCAAACAAAAAAACCCAGAAAATTTAGAGCATGAAAGGTAAATGATGGAGATGAGATGAGTTAAAGAAAATGCAAAAGGAGGGGATAAGATGAGAGAATGGAGGGTTTAAGCATTAAGGCCTCCCTTCCTGCACTGTGCGTGTGTGCGTGTTTTTATTTATCTGGCCTTTTTTCCGAAAGGGTTTAAGGAGGCTCGACTTGAAAGCGTGGAAGTATAGTTAGAAAGCGTGATCTCTGCAATGTTTGGTATTGTGGTGGAAAAGGCATCAATAGATACTTTGTAAGATGAAAAATTAATTATAACTCTGGAAAACAAGTAGAGTTAACTCAGAAATTCCTATAAACATACATCATCAAACGAAATCATGGTTGGTGAAGTGATAATTAACAATAAATACTTGCTACTAAAACCAGAATTTTACTTTACTATGAAACAAAATTAGCACTAATTTTTAGTACTATTAATTTTCAAGAAGAATGAAAAAGCAATTGTGATAAGTAGCGGGACTTTAGACGTAAAAAGCCCAATCCCAATCCCAAAACGAGAAGGAAAGACGAAGAATGAAAGCTCTCTGTTTTTTCTTTTCTTTTTCTTTTGGAAACTGTATTTCTCTATAAATTCAGATGCCCTGCAGTAGCCTCATTCATTCATTCATCATCATTCCCCTTCTTAATTCTCATCTTTTGTTATAAGTCGGCGGCCGCCCCAATTTTAGTTTCCATATTACTAATTTCTTGTTCATCATCGAAGAAAGAAAGAAAAAAGAAGACGCAAGAAGAAAATGGCAGCAGTTTGGGTGATGAAGACAATGTATCTGTTCGGGCAGAGGATTGAGGCGCCGGTGGCTTTACCGGAAACCGGCGGCGATCTCGGTCAGGGTGAGGTCATCACGTACGATAAAGAACTCGTACAATCAGACGTCTCAGCGGGTCAGAGTAGGTTGTTGGTACCAGGGGAATTCTTGACCAAGGGTGAAAGAAATACCCTGAAGGCCCTATCTAAAGAACAAGAAAACCAACCATCAACAAATTTATCACTGTCTTTGAGTATGGCGTCGGAGAATAAGAAGAACAAGAATCAGAAGAAGATGCCGGGAATGGAAGTTGAAGTGCGGGATGAAGCAGGGAGGAGTTTCAGGATGAAGTTGAGTTACTGGGTGAGCGTGGATAAGTTTGTGTTGAATAAAGGATGGAATGAGTGCGTCAAGAAGAATGAGCTTGGCATTGGTGATGTGATCAGGCTGACTTGCTATGGCCGGCGGATTCGAAGAGATGATGATGATGATGATGGCAAGAAGAACAAGTACAAGAACAGCATCATCAACAACAACTCCTCCACCGTCTTGTGTCTGGGTCTGCAGATTCGCACAAGAAGAGCCTGCAATTAAGTCTGATGGTTTCAATAATCACGATGTGGTATATGATCAAGAAAGCTGCGTATCATAAAGATCAATTCTTTTTGGGTTTTTTTTTTTTTTTTGGTTCTTTTTGGGGTGGAATTGATGTGTTTACTGATTGATTTCCTGAGACGACTGAGGTGCAGTATTAGAGTTCCCCTGTTTTTTCTTGTATTCCAGCCATGCCTAATTCTCATTCTCTATAGTTTACTACGCAGTAATAATTTGCATCCATTGCTGCAAGTCCAATTGAAATTGTGTGGTGGGTTTGGTAGTTCCTGAATCCCAACTTCTTGCGTTCTTGGTTTAATGTCTGAGGCTGCTCTGTAAATTTGTTCATTCTCTGTCCTGGTTTACATGCATATATTGTTGCAGACTTTCTTCAATCACACGTCGTTTCATCTACTTGCTGATTTAGCCTTCTAATATGGCAAGTTATGTAAATTTGAGTATGTAACTACATACCAGTCGGAGTATGTATCATGTTATTTTTAGCCCATTTGATCTGCGGGTATGAAATGAGAAAACTGATGTGAGGCCTTTTTTCTAAAATAGGCCCAACCTAAATCGAATGTAATCAGTTAGGGCTCTCCAAACTCCAAAGTGACGAGAACAATAGGCCCATTTTATCATCATTTTCATATATATATATATATATATCATTAATAATTTTTTTTTATATTATTTGACACTTAGCACTTTCGGCTCAAATTTTATTATTATTATGTTTATTACGGAATAAAATGTTTCACATTTATCAATCACACTTTTTATTTCATGTATATACTTTTTACTATCCTAAATAAATCACATCACCATTTCTAAATTCCGTTTTTAAAAATATAAAATTTCCTTCTTAATTAATTTATTTAACGAAAAAAAAGAAGATTCGCCATCCATTTTCCATATTGAGACATAAACTTTTGTTGTCCTACACTTGAGAAGTTTTCGAAATTAATTATTTACAAAATAAAACATTTGTTTTTTTTTTCTCCATCTTCGCGTGTCAGATTTAGGTCATATGATTTTCATCTTCATCTCCCCAAATATAAACGTCAAACTAATTTATTATGTTGATTTATTAATTTTTACAAAAAAATTTCTGGTATTTTTTCTATATTCCTTCCCATCTCTCTCCTCTCTGTTTTCGCCATCAATTTTGATATATTTCCTCCAAACACATACAAAAGACAACACTGAAAATTTTTCTCATTTTCAGCCCTCCAAATTTCTCGATACGCTCCCGAGAAGATTAATCTCGCTTTTCCCCCCAACAGAATCACGATCCCTTTTACTCTAATTTTCTTCTTCACTCATTTCATTTCACATATTTTTTTTCGCCCCTGTATCCTATCTTTATTATTAAGCAAGGAGAAATTTCAGGGGGAAAAACAAAAATCTGGGCTTTGTTACTTTTCTATCTTTTCATTCTTCTCTCAAGTTTCTTACTTCTATTCTTGTGTAAATGCAACCTTTTTTAGGGTTCCATTTGATTTCCTCGACATTCCTCTGATTGGATTTTATTGGGGTTTTTTTTTTTTTTTTTTCTATGGTCTGCAACTCCTCCTCAGACTCTTTTTGACTTAGGGTTTGGATTGTTTGTTGATTTTGGGATCATCCCTCTTGAAATTTGGCTGTGTTAGGAGGGCCTATTAATTGTTTTTTTTTTGCTTTCCAAGTATTTAGGCAAGAGCTTCACTTTTTTGTCCCCCTCTTTTTGTTTTCTTTTTGATACTATAAGCTGGGTTTCTTGGACAATCCCGCCATTGGATTTTAGTTTTTACTGCTGCTCTTCAATTCGTAAAGCTCTCTACTTGGAGTAGTTTATTGGGGGTTTTCAATCGATGTTTGTAAGACACGGTTGCTGGCAAGTTAAACTTTGTGGACAGCCCTGAAGAAAGAAAGCAACAAAGGGAAGCTTGCATTTTTGTTGGAATTCGTGTTCTGGATAAGAGGTTTCATTAGGGAGAATTGAGTATATTTTACCGGGTGAGAAAAGGTCTAGTGTATGGGAGGACATGAGGAAGGATGGCCTGAGCCAAGTGGGCTGCTACCGAATGGGCTCTTGCCCAATGCCGGACCGGTGATTCCTTTGCTGGACTCCGATAGATGGTTAAGGGCAGAAGAGCGAACTGCAGAGCTTATAGCCTGCATTCAGCCAAACCAACCATCGGAGGAACGCCGGAATGCGGTTGCTGATTATGTCCAGAGGCTTATCGTAAAGTGCTTTCCTTGCCAGGTTGTTACTTTGTGGCCATTATAGGGATTCATTTTATGTAATGTTACTGTCTTTTGAAAGGCCTATTTTTACATGTATTGTTTTTCAGTTTATCTGTTAGGTTTCTGCTTTCTTTTTTTAAAAAAATAAAGAGCTTTCATCACTTTGAGACATTCATTGTGAGTATTGTATATGCCACTTTGTGATTGAAATGTCTATTTTCAGTTTATAATGTTTTATTATCACTGCAGTTAGGACGTTGGAGACATGAGAAATTTGTTTTGTGGGGTGTGAGTCGGAAGTTGGGTAGTTGTCTTAGTTTATTGTCATTTCCATGTGAGTTTTTTTGTGGTAGCCTAGTAACTCACATTATAACTCAACTTGTAACTCACAATGGTTTCGTACCAGCATTTTTGTGGCACCAGAAGCTTTTTATCTGTGCTTAGATTTTTAACCTTTATAGTGAATCCTGTTTTACCCTAGAATTGAATGGAAGAATTGAATCAAGCTAGCCCATTTGTTGTTCTTTTTGTAGTTTTGTGTGGATAGGAGTTGAGCAATTTAATCATGCACTAATATGGGATGTCCTTTCTCATGATGGAATGAAATTGCATTATATCGACAATTGGAATCTGCTTGTTTGTGCTGCGATTTTTGAGTGAATTACCTGTTCCCTTCGTAAACGATGACATGGAATAACCCCCTGTTTTTGCATTTTGCCGATTGTCCTCTCACGGACCTATTGTTTTTCTGGTTACTCAAAAATAGGTTTTTACTTTTGGCTCTGTACCGTTGAAGACCTACCTACCTGATGGTGATATTGACTTAACGGCTTTCAGTAATAACCAAACCTTGAAAGATTCCTGGGCGAATCAGGTTCGAGATATGCTGGAGAGTGAGGAAAAAAATGAGCACGCCGAGTTCCGTGTGAAGGAGGTCCAGTATATTCAGGCTGAGGTACTACGTTTCCTATATCTATAACTTGCAGTTTCCTCATTTTTCTGTGAAAGTGCATTACTTCAGTCTTAAATAGCTTTTATTGAAATTATGAAGTTCTTTTAGGCGTGTGTTGATTATTTGTCACCCTTTATGTCTTTGTCCTCAATTTTATATATTTCTATAGGGAAGTGGTTGTCACAAAAAATTTCCCACAAGATGTGGTTAGCTGTTTTTTGTTCTTGCTGGAATAAAGGAATGTTGGATCATGCAGTTCGGTTACCCTTGCTGAAGCATTGCTGCTTTGTATCACATCTTACCACTTTGGAATCATGCCTTTTTTTTTTTTTTTGTTTGTACTGAGCCTTTTCCTGGTTACCTTGGTCATTCATTATCGTCTTCTCGCAGTCATCAAATAAGTTATAAATGGACCAAATTTTCATCCAAGTTGTTGCAATTCTTGTAAGTATTCTCTTTTGGATAATATCAGAGGGAGGAGCAGAATTCTTGAGCTAGCAGACATGCCTTGTATGTGTAGTATGTGAATTTTCTGAAACATGGAATTGTAATGTTTCTTGGCAGTAAATCTTAACTTTTGTTTCCGGCAGCCTTTCCATATTCGTTTTTCAGTTTTTGGTTAGGCTTCTTGTCATGCTGTGCCAACTATTTTAGAGGTTACTTGTTGTTTTCCTCTCAAAGGTGAAGCTTTGTCTCATGAAAGTTCTTGTTATATTGAATTGATTGTTTCCTTGCTTCCCTTTTCTACTATGGCAGGTGAAGATAATAAAATGTCTTGTCGAGAACATTGTTGTTGACATATCTTTTAATCAGCTTGGTGGACTTTGTACCCTATGCTTCCTTGAGGAGGTTTGCGACTACCCTTTTTTTGTTTTATTAAGATGTTGAGAGTTATTTTATTTTGCCAGTGATCCTTAACTTGCGGTGATGATTATTTCTTATGTAGGTTGATAATTTGATCAATCAGAACCATTTATTTAAGCGTAGCATTATATTGATTAAGGCGTGGTGTTACTATGAGAGTCGAATACTTGGTGCTCATCATGGACTGATTTCCACTTACGCTCTTGAGACCCTCGTCCTTTACATATTTCACGTTTTCAACAACTCCTTCACCGGGCCACTTGAGGTCGTTATCGATACTATGATATGTTAGAGTTTAATCCTTTATATTTTGTTCTAAGCTTTGCATTTTCTTTTACCAGGTCCTATATCGTTTTCTGGAGTTCTTTAGTAACTTTGACTGGGATAACTTCTGTGTTAGCTTGTGGGGGCCTGTACCGATCAATGCACTTCCTGACGTTTCTGGTAGAATTGAATACCTTTTGACTTCAAATGCCTTTTGTTAATTTTATCTGAACTATGGAATTTAAGACTTGTGATTTAAATTGTTTGCAGCGGAGCCACCTCGAAAGGACAGTGGTGAATTGCTACTTAGCAAACTGTTTCTTGATGCATGTGGTACTGTTTATGCCGTTTATCCCGGTGGCCAGGAAAATCAGGGTCAACCGTTTGTTTCTAAACATTTCAACGTGATAGATCCTTTACGCGTTAACAACAATCTTGGGCGTAGTGTTAGTAAAGGTACATAAGCTTTTTGAATATATTTGCAGGGTTGCTGTATTTACCTATATCACCTTGTTTTTCTCCTTCTGTCGTTCATTATCTTGTGCAATTTGTGCAATATGGTTCATTCGTGGGATATTTCTCAGCTATATTCTATTTCAAAAGTAACTTGTCTCAAGTAATCTATTCACAGAATTTTTGGAGGTTTAGAAATTTGGGTGTACTTCTGAGTTGTCTGTTCCTCTGGCTAGTGTTAAGTTGGTATTCAGTTCAGCATGTGATATTCTTGATTTAGCATTTGAAACTATTTACTCTTGTGATGCAGGAAGATTCAAGAAACAGTTTTAAATTAAGTATAAGTAGTTTCCCTTTATTTAAGAGTTTTATTTTACGTCAGTTTTACTCCTAAGTTTTAGGAATTTAGTAAGCCTATTAGGGTTAGGATTACTCTCAGAATCTCTGTATAACTAGAAGTCTCCTTTTATTTAAGAGTTTTATTTGACGTCAGTCTTACTCCTAAGTTTTAGGAATTTAGTAAGCCTATTAGGGTTAGGATTACTCTCAGAATATCTCTTTAAATAGTGAAGTTCTGCAGTCTTTTTTTTCACGTTCTTCTATCTGATTTATTAAATTTAAGCTCTCTTTTTTTTAAATCCCTATAGCTAGGTTTGTCTATTTCCGTCTGTTTTCAATTCAGCCCCTGTTCCCATCATCTTGTTGCTGTTGAGTTGTTTCTTTTTGAGGTTTATTATAGAACTTCATGGAAATCTACAGAATAAAGGGCTAGTTTTGGGACCTACTTATTTTGTGAGTAATTAGGGAATAGTATAGGAGAAATTATTTGCAAATACAAAAGCAAACTCGTAGAATTTTTACTTTTAGGAAGACGCATATGACTTTGCTCACTTTTCTGTCGGGAATTCCATTGATATTGATTGGGATTCACTGTCTGTGAACTAACTTCTTCTTTAATTGATGAATCAATTCTAAGGATGTGATGTGGTTCAACATGCTACGCTCGTAGTTCTTGTTTGGTTTTTCTTTCTTTTTTTCGTTTTTTTTTCCGGTTTTCTTTGGTTTTTAATGTCCTTGGCCTTTTTTCCTCCACACGTGCTTTTCTGTAACTCAATTACCCCAACCTTGTGTTGTTTGTCAGGTAATTTCTTTAGAATTCGTAGTGCCTTTGCATTTGGTGCTAAGAGATTGGCTAGATTACTTGATTGCCCAAAGGAGGATCTAATTAGTGAAGTAAATCAATTCTTTATGAATACATGGGAGAGACATGGCAGTGGTCCTCGGCCTGATGCTCCAACTACTGACCTGTGTAAGCTGAGATTGGCTGCTCCAGATCAGGGATCCGAGCCTGGTATTGTTAGGAGAAATACTAGCAGCAAGAAGTTAGGTGGCAACTTTTCAGTTCACGGGGTGGACACGGAGGAGGCTCATGCCCCTTCTACTGTCCCAAGACGTGGTAGTAATTTGTCTGCCAGCATATCTAAAATGCGCGAGTTGTCTTCAGCCTCGCAGAGACAGAAGAACCATGGAGATTTGAATAGCTCAAGGGTTGTGTCTGATTCAGTTGCAAGGGAAACCATGTCAAATCATGTTCAGCATTCTGAGAAAGTTCAGAGAAATGTGAAATCTGATCACTTGGTGAATGACATCCAGGAGAGATTTGTTTTTGCTAGAACACGATCTAGTCCTGAGCTCACGGAGACTTATGGTGATGTCTCTTCTCAATTAAGACGCAATAGAGTAGTGCCTGAGAGTGCAAAACTGCAATCTACTTCTTCAAGGCTGGATGTCCATAACCGGAGGAAGAACAATGCTGGCGCTGAAAGTTTGGCTACTAGCCATAGTGGTCGGTCTTCGAATGAAGATTCTTCATCTGTAAGGCATGCGCTTTCTCATCAAAGCCTTGATGCGACAGCTGAATCTGTTAGCGGTTCAAATAGCTATGTCCAGGATTCGGGTTTTGATGTTCAAGAAGAACGTTCCTCCACAATTGGAGCTCCAGGGATGATGCATCAGGAGGAGCAAGATCTTGTAAATATGATGGGATCTACTTCACTTCATGGTTTCAACGGCCAAGTTCCTATGCCTTACAATTTAGCCTCGGCCCAAATTCCTTTTCCGATTTCACCATCTTTCCTGGCCTCAATGGGATATACTCAGAGAAATATGCCTGGATTGGTTCCTGCAAATATTCCTTTGATAGATCCTTCATTCTCGAACATGCAGTTTCATCATGGTTTGGTTTCTCCAGCTTTAACACATTATTATCCGGGCATGGGATTGAACTCGAACTCGGAAGAAACAATTGAGGGAAGCGGTGAGGATTTTGGATCCATGCAGATGAATCCCGCTGAGGCTGATAACGATTACTGGCAGGAGCAGGAAGTTGGTCCTTCAGGTGGAGTCTTTGAGGCTGAAAATGGAAATCTTGAATTTCCGCACTCAGATGAGAGACAACATTCGACATTTCCCGGCTTTAACTTTGTTCCCCCTTGGATAAGTGGTGGTTCTGGAGGTTCTATTAGAGTTCAGCAAAAACATAGCAAGGAAAAACATGGGCCTCTGCTGGAAGAATATCTCGATGAATTTAAATTTCAAGATAAAAGAAGCGAACTTCATTCTGAAGACAGATCAACTAGCTCAAGGTTCTCATCTGCTGCTCATAGTAATGCAATTAGAAGTAGAACCTCTTCAGAGAGTTCCTGGGATGGTTCGACGAGTAAGGTGTCGAAGTCAACCAGTAGGGAGAGACGAGGTAAGAAAGTAGCTGCTGGTGAGTCAACCGTTGGATATGGAAAGGGTAAAGGTATGTCTGAAAATACTACTCAAGGCGATGATGATGACCAGGAGTGGAATAATGCCCATTCGATAATGGGTTCCGCAGACATGGCCGCAGAGAGAAGTCCGAGAGCTCAGTCTGTTTCTTCATTGCATCTCCCTAGACACCATCTTGTGCCTGGCTATGACACTTCTTCTCAAGCTAGTGGATCGGATTCCATGGTGCCTATTGCATCAATGCTTGTGGGAGCGGCTGGGTCCAGGCAAAGGATGACTGACAATTCTGGTGTCGTTGCGTTTTACCCTACTGGACCTCCTGTCCCTTTTCTCACCATGCTTCCAGTATACAATATACCACCTGAAACTGGTGATACATCATCGAGTCATTTTGGAGGAGATGATGTCTTGGACAACAGTGATTCCCATCACAACTTTGACACATCCGATGATCTTGATCATCAGTCAGGGGATGTTAATTCTTCCGCACCATCGTTCAGAATGCCTACTAACCCTGTTGACATCTCTGAGGAGCACAAGTCCGATATTCTAAATAGTGACTTCGCAAGCCATTGGCAAAACCTGCAGTATGGCAGATATTGCCAAAACCCCCGATACCACGGGCCCGTTATGTATCCCTCTCCGGTCATGGTTCCTCCTATGTATCTCCAAGGTCGTTTCCCATGGGATGGTCCTGGCAGACCTGTTTCAGCCAACAGTAACCTCTTCACTCAGTTAATGAGTTATGGTCCTAGGCTGGTTCCGGTTGCCCCTTTACAGTCTGTTCCGAATAGACCTCCAAATGTTTATCAACGGTATGTAGAGGAAATGCCTAGGTATCGCGCTGGGACTGGGACTTATCTTCCGAACCCTGTAAGTTTTATTTTTCAGAAAATTGGTCATTCATTTGAAGTTTCTTTCTTCTGCTGTAGTTGTAATATCATGTGTTATGCTTCGCCAATTTTGGGGGCTAATGTTTTGTACGCATGAATGTGGAGACAAAATGATTGGTTTATTGAAGGATAGATCCTTTGTTATGGCAATGATATGAGATATTGAGATATTTACTGTGGTACCCAAAAAGCTTGTCGTTTGGGATGGAGCAACTTGTTTTGAAAATTGTTTCTTTTTCCCAGTGTAAATGCATTTGGACTCCATCACATATTACCCATCTTCATCTAGCTTGTGGATGATTTCCTCATGTGTTTCTGCATGCACTATTATTTTGTCAGATGTTGCCCATCTTCATATCTGTGATATATGATTTCATATTTGTTGTTCAGCAGAAAGTTTCTCCTCGGGATCGCCACTCTTCTGGTGGCAGAAGAGGGAATTATAACTACGACAGAAATGACAGTCATGGGGATAGAGAAGGGAACTGGAATGGGAACTCAAAATCACGAGCTGCTGCTCGCGGTCACAACCGCAACCAAAGTGATAAGTCAAACTCGAGATTAGATCGATTCTCCTCCAATGAGAGCCGAGCAGATAATAGATCTTGGAGTTCATACAACAGACAACATGATTCGTTTTCTTCGTACCAGAATGGTCCTTTGCGTTCTAACTCTAGCCACCAGAATGGCCCTCCTAATGTTGGTTACAGTATGTATCAGTTACCGCAAATGAACCCCGGTGGAGTGTCATCCAATGGACCTAGTGTTCCGCCTGTTGTGATGCTGTATCCTTTTGACCACAATGCCACTTTTGGTTCGCACGGTGAACAACTTGAATTTGGATCTTTGGGGCCGATAGGTTTTGCTGGTGTGAATGAACAACCTAATTTTGGTGAGGCTACCAGAACAAGGGGAGGAGCGTATGATGAACATAGATTTCATGGAGACTCTGGTCAAAGATCTTCTCCTGATCAGCCATCTTCCCCACACCATCACAGGTATTGTACAGCCATTATGCATTGTGAATATTGATTTCCCGTGGCTTTTGGTAGTTGAATTAGTAGGTCTAGTGTTCTTTGATTATAAGATACCTCTCTGTTTCTTATAAAATCAGGTTGTGATGGTATGTTCATGAAATTATCTGCCCCCATGTTGGTTGGTTAACTGGTACCTGTTTTTTAACAGGAGGATTTGATTAGTTAGCTAGGCACGAAAGGGAATGACCTTGAAAAGATGAAGACTTGTCTTTTCCGTTTGGGTTTTTGGAACCACTCGAAGGAGTAACACTGGTTGAAGCTTGCTTGCCAAAGTGTGCGAACAACAGGGAAAGAAAATGTAACATTTCCGAACTGGCGTGGCCGGGGCACATGTTTATTTGGTTGTAGTAGCTCTTAAGTTGGTTCCTGAGTTGATATAAATCCTTTCTAGGGCTACGTCCTGTATGTAAACTATCAATCAAAGCTGGTACGAAGCTGATATCGTCAAAGCTGATTTCTTGGGATGCGGCAGCCATCTGATGAGGAGGATATAGGAATTAGGATTTACACATAAAAGTTTTCCCCTCCATTTCTTATTATATTAGGGGAGTTACATACTCTAATCTCATCATTAAGGTTAGAACAAACACCCCCCTTCCTTTTTTTGTCTTCTTTTTTTGGAGGTTAAAGTTAAGGAAATAGAAAATTTAGAATTTTGACTTTTGGTTATAAATGTTTATTTTTGTTGGGATGTGGGGGAGCCTGTACCCCATACATGATGCCTCTCGTTAAAGTAGATGTGTATTATTAGGTACAATTCTGCCTCCCTTTTTCCCTCTTTCCTGGTTTATTTGATGGGAGAGTTCTTCAAATGCTGTGAAGAATTAGGGTCCTTGTAGAGTAAAATACTCCTGTACCAGCAATGTTGCAATAATTTGCAGTGACAAACTAGAAAATTCAAATGGGTTTTGGAAGAGGATAGAAACCATAAAAGAAAAAACGGTGAATTCAATCTCTGGAAAATTCCTCAAAACCAAAAGCATCAACGAAGTTATTGAAGTCTGAGGCAGAGTTCAATGGGAACCCTCTGAACAGAGTTGCTCCAGATTGATATGAAACCGACTCAATCCGTGGCAATGTCGAAGGTGTGTTAGCAATGTATGCATGTTACCTGTTTGAGAAAATGTTTCACAGAGCCGTGCCATTTAACTATTTCCAGAGACGAACACTAGTCAATGTGAAGCTGAAATGGGTAAAAGATCGTGTTTTGGACAACGCTGTAGCTGGTGGAATAGATCTCAGCAGCGTGCTTTATTGTGTCCATCTGCCTCCAACCCGGATAGTTGTATGCCTATTTATCACATCTCGCGTAATCGTAGTCAATTAGGCCTCCCGGACAGGATCAAGGTCTCTTCTTTTATGAGAAGATACCCGAATCTATTTGAAGAGTTTCATCTACCTGATACTAGTGGCAACACCCATGTTCCTTGGTTTAAGCTTTCATCGGAAGCATCAGATGTTTATCAGGAAAAAATCAGTGCATTTTAGAGTTGTGAAGTGGACATTCTTACCAGGTTCAAGAAACTATTGATGCTTTGTGAGAATCGTACACTTCCATTGCAGACGATAAATCAGCTGAAATGGGATCTTGGTTTGCCATATGACTACGAAAACTCTTTAATCAAGCGGCATTTGGAACTTTTTGAAATGGGTAAACTGGATGATGGTCGTGATGCGCTTAAGCTTGTGAAATGGGATAATAGGCTGGCAAAGTCATATTTAGAAAGGAATGCACTTAGTTACGGTTCAAATGTTAAAGGTGATGGCGGCGTGATGGCATTTCCTATTGGATTTACAAGGGGTTATGGATTAAAGAGAAAGTGTTTGAAGTGGTTAGAAGAATGGCAGAAGTTGCCATATACTTCCTCTCATGTTGATGCTTCGCATTTGGATCCTCGTACAGATGAATCCGAGAAAAGGGTGGTGGGAGTTTTCATGAGCTTCTGCGTCTAATGTTGCAGAAGAAAACTGAGCGTAAAAATGTGAGTAATATGCGCAAGCCATTGAGATTGCCTCAGAAGTTTACCAAGGCGTTTGAACATCATCCGGGGATATTCTACATTTCCAGAAAAGATGATGCCGATACTGTGGTTCTTAGGGAAGCATATAACCGTGATCAACTTATTGAAAAACATCCTCTTGTTGATGTAAGACATAAATATTTTAGCATGTTGAGACAAGGGTTTTTGGGCCGAAGCAGAGGATTCTACAAGAAAGAGAAGATCAAGGGCCTCGAGGAAGATCATTCGTCGGCTAACCTTTTGGATTGTGAAGTAAAAAATGCCGGATTTCAGTCAGGACAAGAATCGGAATGCAGTTCTCTTTCAGACTAGAAACCGATGAGTCCAACTCTTAGTATCTACGAGAGCTGACAAGGCATCTTCGGAAGTCTGCTGTGAATCTCTATCTACTATATATATCGCTGGTATTTTTTTGATTTTGTAAGTTTCTATGAAGTGAATCTGTGTTTGCAGATTTTTCAGTCTTTAAGAGCATATATATTATAATTTCCTTTCCATTCACTATCAAGTCCGTAACCAGAGTTTCGTTTCGGAGTTCATTACAGAAGTTGGAGGCAAATTCACCTAGGGTGGATTTCATAAGTCTAAAGCTGAGAATGCACCCTGAAGAGTGGTAAAAAAGCTGAGAATAATTTGCATCTTGTGTTCATTGCTTCTTGTACCCCATATTAGATACCATCCGTATAAAACTTAGTGACGAAATATGAATTTGTACCTACATCTCCAGTTGATTGAATCGATGGCCATGGCGGTATCAAAACCCTAACCTGCAAAAAAGGACTTTGAGGTCTCCCGAGAGTAGACACTCCAATACTTAAGTCAGTAAGAGTAATTGTAATTAGGGTATGAATTGTGATGCGTATAGCATACCTTTGATGTGAGGGGTTGATCCCTATTTCTAGAGTTAGGGTTACCTGTTTGTGAAACCCTTTTCTTGGTAGGAAAGTAATTAGCAATCGCCCTAGAAGCTTCTAAGAGCCGGTTGAACCGTTTGCCGAACTGAGGCCGGCCTATTCGTGGGTCGTATAATTAAGACTCGTCAAGTGCCCCTTATCAAACCTATACTTCGAGGTCTGAAAATAGGGTAGGCTTGATAATATGAAGTATAAAGTTTCCTCAAGTTCAGGAAGAACTGACTTGAATCGAGAACCTGTAACAGATTAGCATCGAGGATAAACCAAAGCAATGAAAGCATTAACACGTACCTTTTCTAATGTACGTGTCGTAAAGGGCGATTGACATTTATGCCAATTTGTGAAGAAAGAAGCGTCATCAGCCCAAACTTTCAAGTGAGAGTCGGTCGGTGATGATCTTAATAATCTGTCCCATGGAGATAATAAAGCAGATGCCCTGCTATTTGAGAAGATGATAAAGAAGTGTAGTGGAGATTCCCATTACTTCGTTTATGGAAATATGTTATCAAAAACCTCCAAAGGTACAATGATTGCCAGAACGAAGAATCTGGTCAAAGATTGCAATTCACGTCATTGACCCAAATGTTAGTCGAAAAGCCCTAGTGCGATGACTCCCTTGAAATGCTCCAAGGAAATATCAAAATCGGTGGCTTACTCGTTGAGAGAATTTTTGTAATTAGCAACGGTTAAGATATATCAACTGTTGAAATGAGGAGTCTATTGGAGAACTGTGACACATGTTTCTGACCGAGAGGTAATAGACCTAAACCTTCAAGAACAACCATATTGTAGTGGATCGAGAAGTATCATGAATGAAGACAGGATATTCCATTGATACTCGATGTCGAGAACATAAGTTTGAGATGGAACATTGTCTAAGGTTGAACTGTACGTCGAGAACTTGCCCCAACATAATTTTTTCATAAGCATCCTCGATTCTCGAGGAGAGACAGAAGAGTTGAAGACGCCATAGAAGATGCCACATGTAATATCGTCAATGCAAGGATAGCAAGACTCGAGAAGATTCTCTCCAGTAGAGAGCTAGAGTGCTAGACCAAACTCAAGAATTGTAACTATTTGATCTTGAAGAAGGTACACAAGCATTTAAGTTTATTTATATCCGCCCAACCGACCTGCTTGTCATTTCTCATGTCCCGAGAAATAAAGCATAAAACCCTTAGTCCAGGTTTAAGAAGTATGACCCAGGTTAATGTGTTGAACCCGAGTAGATAACCTTACACACCTTCCAGACATCTTACACACCTTCCAGACATTTTGCAATCTCTCATATACAAACGTTTCCTCGTTATAAATAACCCCGGAACCATTACTCATCTCGGAGCCCCCAAGTCTTGGGGTGGCATTTGGCAGACCGAGACTTTTAGATAAGAGTATAATTTCCGCTACTCAGTTCGAGGCGGTGCCTGATCAAGAAGCCCCTATACTCATAGGGTTAAGGCAATAAAATACCGTCTATCAGAAGGAGATGGATGGCAACCGCCATAATCAAAGAAATAGGCATGTGTTGACAAGGCACAAAGTGAACTCGAGAAAATCGAGAATAAAGTCATTTTCTTTCTATCTCGTTGGATGATATAATAGACCGATCCAAGAAAATATACTCGAGAACGAGTCTAGTTCTCATTGAGGTATAAAACACGTGTGTTTAGGTTTGAGGGATAGTCCACCTCTTGTTCATGAACATGACAATCTAGGTCTTTCTCAATGCCGGATGTCGAGTACACGGCTTATGAGTTATTTATAAAGCGCTTATAATGGTCGGATGTTAACTACACGGCTCTTTAATAGGCGATTCTAAAGAGAATACCTTTGCATAGACGATTCTGAAGAGAATGTCTTTTCAAGGACGATCCTGAAGAGGATATCCACGAGGAAATTGAATACGAGCTCCTCGAGTTTAGACTGTTAGTCGTAACAGTTAAGGGTAGCATGACCCAATGAATGTCCGGATGTTGAATACACGGCACTTTCGAGGATGGTACTGAAGAAGAGGTCCGTCTCAAGAACGGTCCTAAAGAGGATGTCCATTCAAATGACTAGTCATGTTTAATTGGGTATAACTAGATATATATAATACGTCAATTCCCATGAGTACTCGACTGGGCTACCACTATGTGCATTAGACCGATAGTCTATATCCCGGGTTTAAAGTATAAATGCCCTAAGGTCAGAGCGAACTTGATGTTGCCGCTATCCTCGAGGGATCATCTGCGAGAGTTATGTATCTCTACCTTTTTTTGCCCCAGAGTTCTCGGGGTATATTTATCCTGCAACTTAGTCCGAGACATGTATTACAAGTATATGTTTATGCAAGCAGTGAGAAATTCATTTAATAAGCACATAAAAGACTCTCGAACCTTGGAAACATTCAAATGTAATATATCGTTTTCCTTGATCAAGGATGCATATCCAAAGGCTCGTTCGAGCGTACCTTAGTGTAGAGGAAGAATTTGTCTGAATCCTTTCATGATAATTGTCGAGAATATAGTATTCTGATAGTGATGTCTCTCGAGCGCAGGCACCATGATAAACCAAGATGGTTCTCTAATTCTAACAAATCACATACTCATGCATTTGTAGATTTATTAGTGAGTAATAAATTATCATAGCACGAGAAATGGCATAAAATGTAATATATTATCGAGGGACTCTACCCCTTCAAAAACAGCCATTTTGAGACATAAAATGTAAGAAGTTGAAAGATCTCACCACGATATGAGCAAGGCTATTGAAGCCATGGTTTGGTTAACTCACGACAGCATGAAAGAATGCTGCAGAGATCGTACAACGCTTCTCCACGGATTTGTAATTACTACGGACCCCTGAAGAGCCATAGCGATTTGACATAGAACTGGACCATCAAATGTGAAAGCCATTGCAGCCTCGAGACAACAACTGAAAGTTAGTTGTTCGGTAGAGTAGATACAACGACCCATTGCGACTCATGGCTCAAGGAAAGGAAACCATCCTGGACTATGACCTTTAGAGCATATTACCGATAACTATAAGTAGGAGAGAGGTATCCACCCACTTTCAAAAGAAAGAAAATGAAAATGATTGGGCGTGCCACTTGACGAAGCATGAATTTGTATCGACGTCTCCAGTTGATTGAACCGGCGGCCATGGCGGTATCAAAACCCTAACGTGCAAAAGAGGGCCTCGGGGTCTCCCGAGGATAGACACTCCGATGCTTAAGCCAGTAAGAGTAATTGTAATTGGGGTATGAATCGTGATGCGTAGAGCATACCTTTGATGTGAGGGGTTGATCCCTATTTATAGAGTTATAGTTACCTGTTTGTGAAACCCTTTTCTTGGTAGGAAAGTAATTTGCAACTGCCCTAGAAGCTTCTAGGGGCCGGTTGAACCGCTTGCCGAATTTGAGCCGGTCTAGTCGTGGGCCGTTAATTAGGACTCGTCACTTAGAATCTTATTAAGAGTTAAAATAGTGGTGTCTAGAATAAGTGCTCTTCTTGAATGTAACAATGTATATAGTAGTTGCCCATAAGTGATCTTTTCTTCCTTCAACCAATAATTTTTGGTTATACTATAAGGATGTTTATACTCAAGTCATTGAATTATATACATTTTGGTAGATCACTTTCTCGCGGTTATCTTTGCTAAAATAAAATTCATCCCGGGTCAACTCAAACAATGACCGCACCTCGTGCAGTTCACAGCAATCTAATATACTATATATGTGAAATCTTAAAAATAACACAAAACTAGTAGACAGGATGAACATTGGATTTTGTGCAATTATTGAAGCATAAGTGGATAATCAAAGCATCATGACCATGGATATTCCTCATAAATAGATAATGGGAGTCTTTTTAAGATTCATAAAAGCAACTAGAAATTTATGATAGAGATTGCCAATTCCAACTAAACCGTCGACAACGTCCCGTATATTTGTTCAAAAACACATTTTCATGCCGTACATTTGAAAATGCATATTTTTGGTCCCATTCCATCCCAAAATTTGAATTTTACAACCTTTTACATCTCAAATCATATTCGTACAGTATAGCTTCAAAAGACATGGGTATTTTCAGTATCTTGGCCAATGAAAAAATTAATAAAATGAATTAAAAATATTATTAAATCAAATAAAGCAAAAAAATCAAAAGTAATTTTTCGTTTCTTTTACTAAGTGGGCAACTGTAAATTTTTTTTTAATTTTTGCTATAGTAAATTTTAAATTATATTAACTGTCTCCATTCTTGTGGAGCTTACTATAAACAGTAAACCCTAGTTTTAATTTTATATTATTTTTGACCTTGAGAAAAAAAAAAGAGAAAAACGAAACAGTGGATCTGTTAATTATATTAACTGTTATATTAAAATAAATTTTCTTTTTACTTTGGAAAGAAATTTTATTTTTTTTACTCCCTCTGTCCTAAATTATATTCCAGTTTGAATTTTCACTTTTAGTTTAATTTATATTAAAAATGAAAAATATAAACTAGACAATAATTTCGGGACAGAAGAAATATTAATTGCTAATGTGATTTTGAAATCGTGGCTGGAAAAAGATTTTACGTCCCCTCTTACATTCCTTTTTTTTCACCCAAAAAAAAGTGATGGACTAAATGTAGCCCGCTAAATCCTTAGAGGAGCCCACTTTATGACTATTTTGCCCTTTTTCATTATTGTTAATAAAAGACTCATCATTTTAACATTTCATAAGTTTAAAATTAAAAAATAATGAAATTGACATTAGCATAATTATTATTAAACTCAATCGTTATTAAAATAACTTGTATAATTTTGTAGTAGTATATTTTATATACTAACTAATAATTAGATAACATTAAACAAACTAAATTAATTAAAAAAACAAAAAAAAAATTAACTTTACCTCAATAAATGAATATTTAAATGGCCTAAATTAACTTTACCTTAACCAAAAAAATCATTCAATTAATTTGTATCAAAAAAATTAACCAACAAAAAATTATTACACATTACATCAAGTAATAAAAAACGAATACAATTCGACGCATAAATAAAATAAATAATTACATAACATCTAATTTTTTTTTTCATAAAACAAATAATTACATCGGATTTAGAGAAAAAAATTTAAAAAGAGCAAAGGTCACGCTCTCACTACGCGAACGGCAGATGTCACCGTGCCTACCGACCGTGGACAGCCCGACGGTGACCCGCGCACAGAGCGCGCGCGGCCAATGGCTTGCCCCCAATCAACCAGGCAGGCGGCCAATCTGTGCGGGTCACCATCGGGCTGCCCACGGCCGATAGGCGCGGTGCTGCTGGCCGTTCGGCAGTGAGAGCGTGGGCTCCATTGTTTTTATTAATATTTTTTTTTTCAAATCTGATGAATATATATATATATAATAAAAAAAGAAAAAAAATACATATGTGGCAAAATTTTTTCAAAGAAATAGTTAAAGAGTTGAATATTAATGAAGATTAGAATATTTTCGATTTTAAAATAATAAAAAGGAAATTAATTTTTATATTTGTTCAAATAAGAGGAAAATTGTAAAGATTTGGGCAATGCGAAAACCCAAAGCCGGTTGGGTCTATGCCTATAAAATACTTGAAACTTCAAAGTAGACCAAAAATATGTGCCGCGATTTTAGAATTTCGAAAAGGAAAGTAGGAAACCCAAAGCTAGACGGTCGGATCCTTCCTGTCGGGTGGGTTACACAATCCGCATAATTTTCCTTCGTCTTTATCCGGAAAGCTCTCCCGCCAAAAGGCCCTCCGTCCTCCGCCGCCCGTGACCTCCGCCGCAACTTGTTTCGAGCTAAATTGGTATGCTTTTATCAATATCCCTCAATTGGAACTTTGAGCAGCTTTTCTTCAAGTGGTTAGGGTTTTTTTTCAGTCATTAATCAAATAGTTAATTTTGTTCCATGCTTCGAATTAGGGCTAGGATTGAGCTCCCTTGCTGAATTAAGGTTACCGAGACTTTAGCGATAACCGATATGTCGGAGTCAGGAGAGCCTCAACAACAAGAAGAACAGCAGCAGCAACAACAAGGTGGGTTCTTGATTCTTTTGTATTTTAAAATTATATGTTTATGTGTTATTTTCAATCTTTCAGGGATTCATACAGAAATTTCAAATCCTTTTATTTTGATTGGCACTGGTGTTGCATGCTTAATTTTGTAATCAAAATGTTGGATTTAGCCTTTGATGCACCATGGATGTGGTTTTATTATATTTATCTTTTTTCAAGAGGTCTGTTTCACTTTTCTTTTTTTTTTTTTTTTTTGTCAACAGATTTGTTTTAGATTTCATTGTTTCAGTCTGTATTTGAATGAAAAATCTTATTTGCTGACTGTATACATCTTTACATTGGCAGTGTGCAGTTTCTTCAAGAAGCCAACTAAAAATAAAAACATCAGAAAACGCCCTACTCTTGAAGAAAATGATGGTGATGAAGATTCTAAGGATGAGGGCACAGTAACTTATAAGAAGAAGCAGGTAGCTGCAGCCGACAATAAGCTTTACTTCTCGACTGGGTCATCCAAACGCCAAGTTGACACTGGATCAGATGAAGATTTAAAAGGGCCCCTGTTTCACTATGAGTCTTCGAAGGAAATTCAGGTCAATAATGATAATAGAGCAACAGCCACACTCGAAACAGAGACTGAGTTCTCAAAAGATGCTCGGGCAGTTAGGGAGAGAGTTCTCAAGCAAGCAGAGGAATCCCTGAAGGGAAAAGGGTCAAGTACTAATGATGGAAAAACATACAAGGGAATCCACGGTTACACTGACTACAAGGCTGGATTTCGGAGGGAGCATACAGTTGCTAGTGAGAAAGCAGGTGGTTCACATGGACCTCTTAGAGCATCTGCCCATATTAGAGTCTCCGCAAGATTTGATTATCAGCCAGATATCTGCAAGGATTACAAGGAAACAGGTTATTGTGGATATGGCGATGCTTGTAAGTTTATGCATGATCGTGGGGATTATAAATCGGGATGGCAGCTAGAGAAGGAATGGGATGAAGCGGAGAAGACAAGGAAAAGGAATCTGGCTTTGAAACTACTTGACAATGAGGATGATGAGAATACAGCAGATAATAGTGATGAAGATGATCCCTTGCCATTCGCTTGCTTCATTTGTAGGCAACCTTTCGTGGATCCAGTGGTGACCAAGTGCAAGCACTATTTCTGTACCCATTGTGCATTAAAGGTAACAATCAGTAGTCCTTTTCTTTTTCTTTTTTCCTTTTTCTCATAATTAATTTACTAAAACATCATATGCATTATAGAGTGTGTCAATTGGTCTGCATTTACTTAACCGTCTTTCTGAAGCTGTAAATTTCCTGTTTAAGGATCAGGGCTGGTTATGGAATATTTTTGTGATAATATGCTCATACAGAATCCATTCGGTATTTTGGACGGGTCAATTATTAAGTTTGATGAGAGAAATTTATTTGTGCTCGAGTAGGAAAAGATAGTAAAGCATTGGATCTTAACATCTCAACATTTTTTTGTACCTTTTTAAATTCTCTAGTATTTTAATTTTACTTTCCCATGCTCAAATTTGTACGCAACTATGAATTTACTTTCTGACACTTAAGTCTGACAAGTGAATGAGATAAAGATGTCACACTTTTGTTTCTTCATACATATGAGTTGGATTTTGGATCTGGCAGCTTATTACTCCGGTGTGTTTCCTTTGGCCTCTGGCGCGGAATTTTGCTATGTTAGTTGATTTAAACAGTTGCTCACGTATTCTAGGTTTGTTGGCTGATATTATACTTTCTTTTTCTTTGTTGACAGCATCATGCAAAAAATAAGAAATGCTTTGTGTGCAACCAGCCGACACTCGGAATATTCAACACAGCTTTTGACATAAAAAAGAAAATGGCAGCAGGGGAGAAATGAAGAAGTGGTTGAATCATTAGATATTTATTTCATGTACTGCTGATTACATTGGTTTTAGTGTAAGTTCTCCTTTTCTGCCAATATTATTTACAGTTGTAATTTTGACAGTATGGGATTCTTGTCTGATAATGAAGTTGTAATTTTGACAATATGGGATTCTTGTCTGATGAATGAAGCTTACATATAGATCTTGCATATATTCTTACTATCGTTTATATGGTTTACTTTCTTATGGAAGTGATGTTTGCAGTATTATATATTTCTAGTGGGGCAAAGATTATGGTTTTTTTCCTTTGTGGCCAGCGAGATATGGCAAACCATTATTCATTTGGTGCAAGTTTAGTGAGAGGGAGTTTTGTGAAACGTTTTAACTTTTATCCTGTGTCTACTATGATAAGAAGATTTGAAGGAGTCTGTTTAGAAACAATTATGTACTTGGTTATTTTCCACCTTTTTAAGGACAAGCTCAGATTTTTTAACAATGGGGGTGCAACCAGCCCAAGGCTTCTTCTTTTTCTTTTTCTTTGTTTTGTATTTTTTATTTTTGGTGTTTTTTTTTTTTTTTTTGGGGGTTGGGAGGAGATGTGGAGGAGGGTGGGGTGTTGGGTTAGGAATGAACCATTGATTCGTTCATTTCAAACAGACCATAACAAGGATATAACACACTTCGGGGAAACTTTTTCTGACCTGTGCATGTTTTCTCCTGCATTTCTACTAAGATTTACAAACCTACTTTCCTTCATTTGAATTTTTGAAATGCTACTACCCTAATGTCATCAGTGCTTGTGCTTGGTTCAAGAGCAGCATAATACTTTCTCTTCATAAACCTGCAAGCTAATTGAACAAAGGTGACTCCTATGATAAATTCTCTCTGGGGATACATTGAGAGCATCAAATTTGATTTTTGAAACACTATGTGGATGTATAACATTCCGCATGGGACATTTTCATCTGCTAGCTTTCTCATGTAGATGTATATCATTCCGCATGGGACATTTTCATCTGCAAGCTTTCTCAAGTAGAAGTTTCTGGAGTTCTCTCCAGGGATGTGGGTTCAGAATTGTTCTTCTCATTTCCTGTTTGCTGATTTTGTCGTGGCACATTAGTGATTAATTGGAGACATTTATTGAGTCACCCATGCAACAAGGTTTGAATCACATATTGGAAACCTGTTATAAGGGCAACAGATGATCTTTAGTATGTTCACATATTGGAATATAACATCTATTGGTAAAAGGCAATACACACTGTATGAGTATGCTTTAATGGTATATATCTACAGGGTCACGATCTACCCTCATTTAGGAACTCATTATTTCCTTCAAAGTCCTGTCATGGCTCCATGCATGAGGAGACTGAGAAGTTAACAGAGGCCACGGTAGATTCTCTTCTCTTGCTTTGTTGAACACGTGCTTTTTATGCTCCCTGACCACCTCATTCATTGCCTTCAAATAATTGTTGGAATCATGGTCCCTGAGAATTGTGCCCTCAGAACCATAAGCTGTAAGATCACTAAGGGTGTCCAGTGGATGTGGGTTGTTGAGGAATGCCCTGATAGCGCTTGCTATGGTGGGACGGCAATGGGTATTTTCTAGGCTGTATATACCGCTTCCTGGAGGAAGGAATGGATGACCTGGAGACAATTTCTCATCAGGCTGGAGGATGAAGATTTTACCCATTGGTGTGTACAACATATGCTGCAGTGATAAATGGAGGAAACTTTGTAAGTTTTCAGGTTTGGAGAGGTCAAAATTTTCATGGAGAAAATAATATAATTGAGTAATTTTCCTTACATTCTTATTCAGGCAAGGATGCAACTGAAAGGTGCCATTCAAGCGTTTCAGGAGTTGAGCTACACGGTTTGGATAATTGCAGGAGAATGCTCTGGGGACGATATCTCGGTGCATCATCACACAGTGAACATGGTCTTCATTCAAACCTAGTTCTTGAAGAACCCTTTGGCCACCACAAAACACGAAAGGTGATCCAAAAGTGACAACTGGCAGAAGAGTGGAGGGCTTTAAAAACCCTCTTGCTATTAGCATCAAATGGATTAGCAAAGACAGACTGCCCCCAAGAGAATGACCTGCAAATTGGAACTTGGCTCGGTTTCCATATCTTTCGAGATGAAGATAGATTTCAGGGATGAATTGTTCGTATATTCCCTTTGCAGCTTCATATATCCCCCTATGAACTAACACATCGGTTTCCTGCATCAAAATAGTTATCTCAAGTGTTAAAACAATGGCCTTTTTTCCAGTCCGTGTCCTATGGTTTTTTCCAATGATGTGTACCTCAAATTTAGTTGGTTCAAAAAAGAGATTGGTCTGCCATGATGCCAATGAGTCTGACCCCTGCGAATCCACAAGACAGAGTTATTAGTCCACACTCATCGGAGATATTTCCAGGTGTCTCATTTCTCCATTAGTGTCTCTTCAATCCGAATGGTTTATCTTCCTTGATTGGTAGTTACCTGGATGATAAAGCAGCGTGTGTATACGGTTGGATCATCACAAATAAACCATTCACAAGGTGAACTCTTAAGTGATTGAAGGTCCCTTGCTGCTTCCTGTTTTCGCATCTCATTTGCTGCAACCACTGTTGTCATGGTTGATGCTGCTACACGGGCTGCCATCCTTGAGTTGTACTTAAGGGGAGGGGTTCCTTCTTCTTTGGCTTCGACTCGGCGTTGTCCTTGCCCTTCTATTATTGCTTCTGAGGATGCATCATCATCATCATCATCTATAGGTTCAGAGGCAAAGGCCAAAAGGCCTTTGGCCTTACACTGGACATAAGATGAAGCGGAAGCAGCTATCTCATAAGCGGCAGATAATCGAGGTAGATTATGCTTTTTTTGCTCCGACTGATCCATTTCTTGTTCTGCAGTTGATTTAACTGCTGTCTCCGTAGGCAAACTGGTGGAATCTTGATCCAGTTTGTTTTTGATAGCTGCGGCTTCTGCTTTTCTGTCTAGGGAAGAAGTCACAAGCTCCAAACCATAATATCTCCTGAGGTCCTTGGTCTGCATATACATGAATCAAAGTCGTAAGATAGAGCAGCCCTAGGAGAGAAACTAATGGTTAGTTTTCTTCCATTTTTTAATGATGAATATAATATGTAGTGTGACAGAGTACGAGCTGACACCACATAATGAGAGATAGACTTTGTTGTTACTGTTGTTGTGATGTCCCTGGACATGAACAAAAAACCATACCTTAAGTTCTGGGATGGCATAAGCCATGTTGCTCAAGAAAGCCAGCTTCGCAAAAAGCCAGGTGTCTGACCATGAAACACGACTTAAGAGCCTGGGGAATCTCTCACCATCCATCTCCTCATTATTTCCTTCAAAATCAAAGCCACCAATTTCTTCATCCTCATAGTCCACTTCGCAACAACCATCTTCCTCTTCCTCAACTCCATTCCCATCATCACCAAAACTACCCTCGTTGTTCTTCTGTAGCTGTTTTTGTTCCTTCCACTGAGCTTGAAGTTCCAATATCCTCTCAACCCAATTTGCTTTATATACCGCATCCTCAATGTCAGCATCAATATCTTCCTCTTCTTTGTGTTCTTCCACCTCGACATCAGGATTGATCAATAGGGATCGGAGGGACTGGGGAACGAGCGAGCTCGGGAACTTGAATATTCCCACAGACACAACATTCTTCTGAGAAGACTTAGGCTTTGATCTCCTCCTTTCTCCCAATGATGCTTCAACTTCAGCTGCTCCAATGCCCTTTTTAGCAGCATAGCAGATGCTTCCCATGGGGAATGATCTCTTCGAAGCCCCATCCCATGCATTACAACCACCATGAAGAAGAAGAGCATCTTTCCCAGGATACTTCTTGCTGGAAAAACCGGACCTGGACGAAGAAGTTGCAGCAATGCTAGCGGTAGTGCCGGATAAGGACATCGAAGAAGTTGCCATGGGTAGCTACCTAGCTGCAATGTCACCACATTTCCGCTGCTAAGTCATCGCTCTCATTCATGGGGAAAATACCAAAATACATGAGTAAATTATGTGTGGGGGATTCTTCTTTTTCTGTGTTTTTAGCTGTTCTAGTACTACTGTGTTGGGATGTTGATTGAATGCTGGGATCATTTTCTTGGAAACCGAAGAATATAATGGGGGGAGGCAGCCCTTTATAAGAGTAACCGCCCTCCAATATGGCAATATGTGACAAAATGTTCATATGGAACCAACATTGTTTTGAACGACGGAAGAAAAAAAAATTAAAGACATACTAACATGAAATATACCGTCCTGTTCTAACTTCAATAATCACAAGTTTAGGAAAGTTCAACAAATTCGACTTTCTTGTCTTTTTTCGTTGGGATAAAACAAATTGATAATAGCAATGCTTAAACCGACTAATCGATGGTTTCTTTCAGGAAAAAAAAAAAAAAAAGACTAATCGACGGTTTAAGTTTCTAAACAACAACCAACTAGATGGTTTCAGTTGATGTCTTTATGCATGAAGTTGTATCCTATGGTCAATACCCAATGAACTTTGAACTTGAACCTGAAGTTAAAGAGTTAAACTGGGAACTAAACAGCAAGGTTTTGGCTGCTCTCTGTCTCAACACATTAACTATTACGTATTACCCCCTCTATTAGTTATTGTATTATTTTAATTTATGACAAAATGAATTATCATATCGAGACGAGAGGAAGAGTATATAAACATTGCAGCACTCACTAACATATACCCATATCATTCTAGTTTATTGGACATTTCTATGCAAACAATCAAAATTTCTCGTCAACGAATTATTGTACAATTCTTGCTATAATATCTTTTTTAAATTCACTCTACTTCTGTGCTGTCAAACACATTCTTATATATACACAAGTTTTTTACTTTTCTCGTTCTTTCTAAAACTTATAAAGTGCTATTTGTAAATTTGTTCAATAACCCTTTTGCTTGATTTGCTTCACGTTTTTTAAGCATTTATGGATTCATGATGTCTAGTTTCATTTCACTACAACGACACTCAAAATTTGGGGGGAAAAAAATTCAATGATCTAGAGGAAACATTTATACTTCATGCACAAGTAACAATGCGTCAGAAAATGATCATGGTTTGATGCTAAAAATAGTCCTTTCGTCCACAAATAATTATGCAGCTTTGATTTCAATTTTAGTACAAGTTATACTAAAAGTGAAAGTCTAATTAAACTAGATAATTATTTTGAAACAAAAAAAAAAATATTTGAGTTCAGAACCTATTGCGAAAAGAGAAATTATTTCAGTATAAACATTTCGACAATGTATAACATCGATCATCGATGGGCTTTGGTTAGATGTCCGAAACACGTTTTTATTTTATTATTATTATTATTATTGGGTTCCCTAATGGTCACGCGAGTAGTTTAGTTCGATTCCTAGGAAATTTCAGTTGTCTCTTTACATAGTTTTGGTTTTAAGAACTTGCGTTCACCAGTAGCAAAAACTAAATTTTCCGCAGTCTTTTTCCATACTAGCTACGGAAATTCCTAAAGGAAATGGAAATACTTTCAGCCGCTTAATTGAGTAATTGACGACCTATAGTTATTTGTTCAGTTAAAATAATTTCTATTATCTTTTGGGATGTGTAAAAATTAGTTAAATTAAATATACATCGGTTGGTTTTTAAGGCAAATCGCAGTTTAGGTTATAACTTGTGTTCATGAAAAATAACATCGATTAATTTTGTCTAATGAACTATTTTTGAAAATGGGATTTTTATTTATTTTTAAATAAAGCCCTAACTGGTTTTAGATTGCTAGCTCACTCTTTTTTAGTTCATTAACTCTATTTTTCTTTTTTGATTTACATATTCCACCGGATTAAAGAAACAAGTAGCATTGAAATATTGGATAAAAGAATACAAAATCGAAACCAAATTTGCAAAAGCAGATAATCCATACAAAACTTCGTCTCACATTTCTAAGAATGAATGTATATAAGGATCGTATCCATAATGTGTTTTCACATTTCTCGGATGCACACCAAATGAAGTAAAAAAATTAACATGTGTTTTTGTTCCAAAATGATTTGTCATATTTGTTATACTAAAATAATTCAGTAAACATAACAATCATTATTATAAAATAAAATAGAGGAGTAATTAACTTGGACAAAGACAAAACAATACTCCTATTCTATTTTGTATGGCGGATTAGATTAACGAAAATAACGATCAAAATATACAAGAGATCACATAAAACATAAAGAGAATATACTTAATGATCGGTTTCGAGCGTGAAAAGTTAGGGCACGACGAAGAAATCCATGCACTAACGAAAAGTAAGTCTTAAAATGAAGTAAAGTGATTAGAAAATACACCTTACGTAAATAACAAAAGTTATTTTTTAAAGCAAACAATAGTTTTGAAAACAAAGCGTTAATCAAACCCGGAGGCTTAATTAGAACTAAATCACAAAGAGGAAAAAGAGTTTGTAATGAAATAATACTACAAACCCTAGTTATTACTTTTTCTAGCTTTGGATAAGTTTACTTGCATGTTAAGTAAATAGAAGGGTAAAAACTGATCGAGTAATCTGTACTTTTTAACTAAAAGTGAAAATTCAAACTGAATTATTATATATTGTTTGTTGCTTAATATGAACAAAATGACGCGGGAGGTCGGAAACATAATTAATTGAATACGTTTTTGTTTTCTTCTTACCTCCAAAGAAGATGAAATATTTGAAAATAATTTTTTTTTCTTTGTTGATTAAAGTCGAAAGCGAACTTTAGTTTATCGAAATAGAAAGTTGCTAACCGTTCTCTTTCTCATGTACCTAAAACAGTTCCCCGTAAATAATTTTTTTTCAAAAAAAAAAAAAAAGAAAAAAAATCTCTTATGCACAAAAGTAATAAATAAGTTGAACCTCATCGGATGTTTTAAGGTTGATTTAACTTATCAATCTAATTTTCAAGGTACTAGTATGTATTATTACTGAATGGTTTTCTTTCTTTCTTTTTTTTTCTTTTTAACGAAACCAGGGCAATACCTAGGTTAGATATTATTTCATAGAAAAAGAATTACAAGTGAAGAAGGCTAAAAAGCACAAAGTACCTATGAAATCTACTAAATTTTTCTCTCTAATTTTAGGATTAAATATTTTTTTTAAAAAAAATGAGAATCATCTTTGATCTAATAAAATTAGGCTAAGTACTTTCTTTAAGCCGTATGAATTGAGTAAAACTGTGGTGTAACGTTAGGAGCTAGCGTTGAAGAGAGAGTTTTTCGAGGCACCATATAATTAAGTAACTGATAAGATAAATGGCAAAAAAATAAAGTATTGAAAATGCAATCCTCTTTTTCTGATTCACCGCAGAATCGATCTAAACACGAGTTCTTTTTTTTTTTAATTAATTTTTTTAAATAGAGAAATTTAACTTTGTTCCTTGAAAGATGATCAGCTTAATAATCAGTAACACGATGATGAAAATAATTAATAAGAATGAAAGGAATTACCAGGGGCCGGGGAATCAAGGAAATGAATGATCGAGAATGGAAAACTGGGTCGGTGCTAGCTAGGCTAGATGATAGCCGATATATGCTGCTGGTCTTGTTTGGCCGCTGCAAAATGATCAGAAGAAGCATTAGAAATCTAACACACACACACACACACAGAGATTGATTTTTATAAGTTTGCAATATGAACTTAATTTTCATAGAATGTAATAGTAACAAATTAAGAGAAACACATGCATGCAATTCCGGAGCAACCGATTGTGACATTTCTGAAGAAAGGTGTGAAATGATCAAATACCAATAATCAATTAATTGCACTGTTTGTGTGTGCCATGTGTCAGAGTGTGTTCTTCATCTTCATTAAAAAACCGTCTCTTTTTGTTTTTTTATCCCCCTCATGTAGTTATTACTACTTAGGTGTGCACAGAGAAATCAATAGCTATACAGATAAGAGAACTGGCTTAATTGATTTGGATTGAATCACCATTCAAGATATCCTGGAGGTGCTGAATATACTGCATCTATACATTCTTAATTATGTGTGTGCACAACCCCCAAAAAAAAAAGAAAAAAAAGGTAAAAACTAAACAAGAATAGAAATGTGTAGCTTTCCTAACAGTCCTTGGCTGAAGAACACCGCTGTGGAGGAGGAAGAGGAAGAGGAAAGAGGAAGATTTTTTTAATTTTTTTTTTTTTTTAACTTTTTGGTTAAAAATGTGTGTGCATTTTTGAGGTATATATAACGTATGTAGAGGAAAGGCAGGAAGAAAATAAACGTAGGAGGTGATGCAATAGATTATGTGTAATAATGAACCTCTTTCACTGGGAGACTCCAGGTGTCTTTGTTTAGTGAGAATATCAAAACCAAATGTACTCTCCAACCTTGCTACCTACCCACCGATCTTCCTCTATAATCAATGGAAAAAAAAAAAAAAAAATCTTGATGGAATTTTCTCCAACAATTTTCATCCTAGTGAAATGATTAATAATTAATATTTCAATAACATGTGTGACGTTTATGTGACATATCAATTAGTAGTAATTACTAAATAACAATGAATAGTGAAAATTTTGTACTTGGAACTCATGCTCCGCTATAATATGAAAAGCGGCGTTCTGGTCGATGTGACATTATGTTAATAATACTTTGTATACAAATCAAGTTCTGATACACACTAAGATGTACGGAAAAGCGGCGTCCTGGTCGATGTGACATTATGTTAATAATACTTTTGTATACAAATCAAGTTCTGATACACATGACAAGGACAATCTCAATATTTAATTACTAATGTTCACTTGGGAGATAGTATATAGATATATATACCACCCGTTTTGAATCGAAATTAGGGAAACTTAGAATAGGGAAATTGTATTGGATTCATAATTTATTATGCATAATATACAGATTATATATAGATAATAACAAACCCTAAACTAGGACATTATAGGAAATATAAT